AGTCTAAATAGTATCTCTATCACCTGCAAATTGCAGTAAGTGGTGGTGGTGTTGCAGCATATGCATTGCAATCATCTTAACTCTGTTAGGTGGACCACTCGCTTGGGTTGGACCGCTCGCTTGTGAACTACGTTATACTTGGATACGGTGCAGCTGTTCGATCAGAAGAAGCCGTGAAGACGTGCTTCGGGGAACCGGTAGCATGACGATCAAGCAAGCCCGGCTGCGGGTTACGATCGCATCCTGTCACGACTCACCACGCATGAGCAATCGATCTTGACGTCTGCACTGTTACGGAACAACTTCCGGAATCTCAGGTGCCTAAGCCTCAGCCCTCGCTCATGACATGAGTTGAAGCCAAGGTCGATGCGAGTTGACATTATATTGTAGTGGAGTTTATTGAAGGAGAGAGCATGCACCTTGATATCAGACCCTGATTACTCACAGGTATGGTAGCGATCATGATAGAATGACCAACACAAGATGGGTTGTAGGATTGCATTACAGCTTTCATCACGGGCTTTTTCCAAGCGCAATTCAGCTCGATTTGCGTTTTCCAGGCTCGACAAATTCTTGTCCAGTCGATGCTCAAGTCGATAGGCCATAATACCAAAAGTGCTGTAGTCGCTCGCCCAAAATGGGATAGTGGAGGCACTCTTTGACGATGCTCGGGAAGTAAACACCGGGCTCCGTATGGGGTAGGTATCACAGCCTGAATTTGGGCAGCAAGGCAAACCACGGCCCGGGGAAACGCCCGCCGAACTCGAATACGAGGCTTGACTCGGCCGACATACATAATGGTCGACGTGGTGTTGACATTCGGACCGTTTGCAATGAGCGATACGCTTTGGTGTTTCGTAGTCTCAACGGAGATGCCCGTAGGTATACGAGGACACTGTTCAGACTGGCGGCAGCTGAAGTTTTCCAGGGTGATATTGCACCAACGGCCGGGCTACAATATGATGATCATAGACGATGGTCGAGGGTAGCTTAAGGCCGGCTGAAGCCACTACCGAAGACGGGGCGGTTGGCGGAGTTTGTAGTTTGAGCTTGAGCAATGGCAAACTTTGAGGACCAGCCCGTTCTTTACTGCACGGTCCAGCACACCATAGCGGAGCTGTCTCCGATACCACCAGCTGCATAATACGCTTCAGGGGTCCCAGCAGGGAGGTTCAGTGGCTTCCAAAATCATGATTCACGACTAGTGACCCTGATGCTGGGAACGGGGTCCGCTGAAGGTGTGCGCTAAATGTGGTGGGCGTATCCACGAGGTCGAAGCGTGCTTTAGGTCGCATACGTGGATAATTCTGAGTCGCATTGACCTGAAGTGGTGCACACATATCGTGCACACATCTCATGCACAGAGGATGGCGCTGATGAATTCGAAATGTCAAACGTGGAGATGCTGTGTGTGGAGGTGTGGAGGTTGTTTAATAGTGCAATACATGGAGCTAAGGTCAGCGCCACATTTCGATGGTAGTGACCCGGACCACTACCAACGGCTTGCAAATGTTACATTTGTTCGGAGCGTATCGTAAGAGATGCAGACTGGCTAAGGCTTGCGTGCATTGAAGCCGTCTCCCGCAGGCGATGGTGCACATGGCAGCTTCTAGACCTTAGATTCATGTCAGCTTCGATCACAGTCCTTTGACGTACTCATAGAGTTTCACAGCTTAGATAGCTCCCCTTAGTCTTCGCACCCACTTCCGCACACCGGAACTGTGATTCGCTAGCGGAGAACAAGGAAGCAAACGATTGGTGTCCTTCTCGGGCTTTTGTTTTGACTGATGACATATCGCGCAAATTTGTCTTTTGGTACTGGATTGAAGATCAGGTACAGCAACGAGTCCATGCCGAGGGCTAGAGCAAGAGATCGAGATCGACTCAACGGCGAAGTCATCTTCTAGCTGATGGCCGCCTTTCAGCTTGGTTGGTTGGTTGGTTGGGGGGGGGGGTTCATATTTGCGATCCGTGGTTCATCAGATGTGCCGCTGCGGACGGACGTGATGGGACGGACGCAGCGACGCATCCGTCCCGCGAGCTTCCCACAGAGAGACGTTCTGGACATCTGAATAATTGGACTTGCATAGACATGTATACTCGACATATTTGATGGAATATAATGTACAACTTTGAAACGAGGTAGTAGACGCACTCACGTTGCCGTGGGCTGTCGGTCGATTAGACAATGACAAGTCGCAAAGACCTGAACGTCTAGATGTAATGTCTATGCGTGATACTGATCAAAACACTCAAAGCAGCTCGCAAAACAGGAGCGTCTAGCGCTGGACAAGGGTATATAACAGATGTTGCTCGGCTTTGATGAGCCGCTACAGCAACGAAAATGACACTGTCCTGATTAAGAGGCGAAATAGAAATGAGGGGTCAGACTGAACGACAGCTGATCTCTAGAGAAATAAAGTAGTGGCTTGAATGAGGCCATGCCCACAAAGGAGATAGCTCAGGCCCGCAAGTGATGATCCGTCAAGGGAAAGGATCACGGTATGAGGGCCGCTCCATCGTGGGTAGCTGCAAAGCTGGCAGTTGCCCTTCATCGTCCGGAGCATATCGCTGATTGCGTGAAGAGGGGCCATGTGACGGTGCATAGCCGTGAGAAGAGAAGGGCGACATGTTCGTGTCTAATGGCGAGCGGCCTGGACCCAGCTGGTAGCTGCCGGTGCGTCGTCGCACATTGCGGCCTGTGTCACACCTTTCATCCTCATAGTCGCCGTAAGACTCGTCAGAACCACCTTCGTTCATCGGAGAAGCCGTATGCGAGGGAACGGACGAAAGGCGTCGTAGCACCGGGGATGTCGGTCTTTGGTAGTGTCTCTCGGCGCCTGGCTGTTGGTGTATAATGGCTCTGAAGAAGTCTCGTTCTGACCGATAAAACTCAGCTCTATCTACTGCGTCGCGAACCTGCTGTTCCAGTTTTGAGATGGTTGTGGATGCCTCACGCTCCTTTTCTTTGCGACGTGCACGGAAGCGAGCAGATGCGCCTGCATTTCGTTTTCTCTTCTCATCAGCAACTTTCGACGCAGCCTGTACATCAACTGGAATCTGTACGTTGTGGCCCTGTTGGCTCTTGATTGTCATGATCTGAATGCTGCTCTGACCGCTTGGCGCAACAGGGATCATGTTGCGCTCGTGCCCCATAGGGTAGCCAGGCGTGCGAGCCTCAGGTGCACATGCATAATGACCATGGGGGCCGTGACCTTCATAGCCAGAGGCAAGAGATGCAGCTTGGCTATAGGGAGAATACTGCGTCATTGGACTTGCACTTCCCGACGGCAGAAATTGCCCACTTGTGCGTCGGCCTTCGGTAATTAGTATGTTCGACGCGGGGGCTGAAGTGGCCAGTGGCGGGAAATAGCTTGTCCTGCTTCCAGCCGGGGGAGTAGGTAAAGCAGGGTGCGTGGTCGTTGACTCGGAAGGACGCACAGTTGCAGTCAGGAATGGAGACTGGTGAGCATCGATCGTGCCTGTGGGACGATTGAGACCACCAAGGCTCTGTGCCCTGTGCAGGCTAGGTGACTTAGGGGTCAACATATGTCTAGCAGAAGGCCTGCCTGGTGGCTGAAACAGTCTTTGGGACCTCTGTTCGTCCTGCGTAGAGTCCACACTCGTTGGTCGACTGATGGAGGGAAGGCTATTTGAGTGGTGAGTGTCTACAGGGGATGGGGTCTCCATCTGATATCCATTGCGCCTTAGCTCCCTTTGCTGTTCGATAAGCTCAGCTTGAGGGTTCAAGATAGACTGCACACCCAAGGGATTGTCACATCGGCGACTTGAAGGGGTTGGTGGCGTACTGGAAAGTTGACGGAGGGGCGGTAGAGAGAGCGACATGTGACCTGTGTTGTGTGGTGGATGCATAGCTGGTTGTGACTGGATAGGCGACAATTGAGGGGTGTTCTGCTCCGAACGATATCCGGCTGCGGGCTTGAGGTAGCGGTCGTCAGGGCCCCGAGGAGGACGGCCAGCCATCCATGAGCGAACCGGCTTAGAGTCGTCGTGGTAAGGCGGAGTTAGGCGGTTGAGATAATGAGTGTGAGGGGCCTGAATAGCCGGAAGCGCTTGGGTAGCCAGGATGACAATATTATATGGATCGCCCGAAAGACAACCCTGAATGTAAAGTAGGAAGAATTTCAGCGTGGTCGCGAAGGGTTTCAGGTTGTTAGAAATAAGGCTGGAGAATGGTTGTTGTCGTGGAATGTGACGATTGTTGAATTCCAGGCCTGGGCCTATGATGTCTTGGATCAAACGCTTCGGTATAGCGTGCCTGACGTATCAAAATGTGTGAGTAGGTCGGAGTATTGTATAAATAGATGGGTGGGAAGTGAGGTTGTTGGGCCACGAGGACTGAAGCGGGACTATCGAGTATATATTAGACTGTCACTAGGAGGAGGCGCAAGGACCCGGTATGATATAAGAATGTGCGGTGTAGTATCCAAGTTGGAGATCGCTGAAAAATCATGAAATCTGCAGCCACCCCTGTCTCCCTAGCTCGATGTCCCGCGAGAGAGGAAGGGGACAAGTACATGAAGCCCTGTCTTTTTCGGCGCCTTTGAAGACAGCGCTAGGCGGTGCTTCTTCTGGGCTTACCGGGATATGCTGGCATGCAGTGCACGTACGACTTAGGCGCTACTGCACGCTTGACCATGACCACGCGCGGAAGCGGAATCCAAGTCCCCCACCGTAGGAGCGCGCAGGCCAAGACATGACGGATCCGCCCAAACCGACGCAAGCGCATGGACCGTGACTGACGAACCCTGCGGCTCCTGCACAGGCCAGCGGAAGTCTGTCCGGCTGTCATCTTTGCATCTTGCCGCGCCGCGGCTCCCTCAGCTACCGGACCGGTTAGCCCTGGTCGTTGGCGGGACATGTACGTGATGTGCACGAGCATGTCTCAGGTGTCCAGCATACTTTCGCTTGCAGCTGTGCAGGAGATGACATCGCAACAGAACTGTCTCGTTCAGCGTCATCATTGGTGCCATTCTATGTTGTTGAGATCCCTCGAGCCTCTGCTCGGCATGGGGAGCTTTCAGCACCTCTGGATGAAGTTGCTGCCTTTAGCACACTTGCGGTTATTGACTCAATTGTCGCATTGCGTTCGTGCAGCAATCTCGAAAGCTTCGAACGCTGCCATCCTACAAGCAGCTTGCACAGATGTAGAGCGCGGCAGCAACGCAGCTTAGGCGAAGTCTTCGATGAGTGCCAGGTACGCTATTTCGTCCTTGTGATCGAATGTAATGAAGTGCATGCGCTCGTAGCAAAAGCCATGGATGTATGACTGCCATTTGTCGCCTTGCGTGTTTTGTATGCACTTACTGAGGCCGGCGGCTGGATGGTTGATTCTCGGCTGTGGCCGCCAGTTAAGTACGGGCCGGTATTATAAAGCGTCGACCATGTGACAAGTTCCTGTAATTCTCCAGGGTACTGTGAGCCGACATCTGACAGTTCGCCCAATCTGCGTACTGGACAGTTGGGCGCCTCGGGCCTCCACGTAGGCTCTTGGCTGTGTTGCTTGCGTCTTCCTGCGGTGGGCACACAGTGCACTGAACCTTCCGATCTGTAACGCCGTTCGAAGGTATATGCAGACGATACCGAGCTGTCATTATTGGATGCCATTGGTGAACGAGCAAGTACCGTGCACGTGCCAAACACACGGCTTCTGCCCCCACTTCCCTATATTGCATGCATCGATCTCGCCGTCAAAGAAGATCGCAATGTAGAAAAGGCGCAGATGTAGCTACTCGCAGCCTCGGCGCCATCCCGGAAGTGTGCTGTATATCCTCTGAGACCATAAAATGAGCAGGATGATCTCTGCACCAGGCTATCGACTGTTCAGTCTACTATCTACGCGCAACATGGCAATGCCGGTTGTCGCCAGGGGTGGCTCCCAGAACGGCATAGTGTGAATCCAACGCCGCGGTCAGCGCAGCGCCGTCGATTAATCCGAGCTGATCAGTGGCTGGCTTTCTCCACCGCCTCCCGGCTCCACGCTGTCGGTCGTAGGGTTTACGCGTGCCAGGATGACAATGCTGGTCGCCGGAAGAAGTGCTGCCCCTGTTCCGGTGGGACGGGATGGCATTCTAATCTCAAACCAGCAAGCCGTTTCAAGAAGGCTCACCGTAGGCTGACTAGGAACCGCCAGCTACTAATCCGGGTTCTGCGTACGCTTCGATTCTGTGCATCATTGGCGTGATGGAAGATATCGGCACGTCTCAAAAGCAAAGCTAAAGCGGGCAGCTTGGCACCGCAATGGGAAAGAGGAGATCTGATTGCAGCATCGACCTTCATGATACGAACCTGCCATCCTCGACGAGCTGACCGCTGCCTGAATCGATCGAATCGCAACTGATTCATCCGTGATACTTCAACGTTCGCTCATCCATAGTACAGTATCCGCTCTCACCGATTTTGCAATGGTGTCACATGTTGATATCAGTTTTGTTAAAGGGGGCCCCGCGCAAGAGATCCCTTCAACGCTGAGGTTGCTTTTGGTACTGATGCTGAGAGCTACTAGCCTCCGTGCAAAGTAATGTCGAAGACGGCCCTTACTGCGGCCCTCACCGTAGATGTCCTGACTCGGCGCAGCTGTCAGTCAACGTCTTCAGCCAGGCTACAGGTTCCACTAGCAGTCAACATCACGCCTGGTCCTTCATCGACAAGGACCTTCCCGTGATTGGGTTCACGTTTGCGAAGTACCTATTTTCAAGACCCTCGCGTATTGAACCTACGGCCCTGGTACGTATGAGACCTAGCTAACGCAGTCCATGTCACGCGTCAGTAAAGCAACAAGATAGCGAACGCATGAGCACTTTCGGGCAATAGTCGCTGAAGCTTTCTAATAGCTTCACCCGTTAGCTTGTCGCAGCTTTGAACGACTGTTGTGTCAACTGCCGGTGTGTGGGCCACGTTTGACAAGCCTATGTGTTTGGGCAGTGCACTGCGGATCTTTCGTTCTGGTCCTCGAAGGTTTCGCTGCTTCGTGCGCTCTAGCCGTACATGGCAATCCTGGAAAGGCTCGTGAGCAGGCACCAGGGTACGAGGCCATTCTTCCCAAAAAAATGGCACGTGCATACTCGACCAGTGATCAGCGTGCGGAGACAGCCGCAGTCATGGTGCCGGACTCGAAATGGGGGTTAATTGCACTGCGTCAATACGCAAAGTTTCTAGCTTAGACCTTGACCTCAATTCGCATTCTGCCCCCCCCCCCCGGTCACGCAATGATCTCAAACCAGTTCCTGTCGATCCTTGCCGTCACATCACTCACTGCAAGACACAGATCGTATTGCACCGATGGATCGCCGTCTACCTTCTAGGGGTACGACGAATGGGATTTGAGCCGTTGCTCGTACTGCTGCGCGGATTCAATGGTGATCAAGTCACTCTCCAAGACTGCCGACACTTATTTCGCCGTTGACCGCCACCCCGGAGCTTTCACGGCGCAATGTCCCTATTGGGCATCAAGAGTGCGCCTTGAGTCCGTCTTCGCCTTGGTAAGAGCCTAACTTCACGGCAAAACTATCGCGATGGTCAGAGCAACGACGAATCTGGTCAGTCTTTTCGCATCACAAGAGATGCCGTGACCCAGGTAGGTTCAGTCCAAATCCTAGCTTTCTCGAAAGTCACGGCTCCGGTCGGCGTGACATAGTGTTGACCGACGTCCTGGAGCTGGATATGCCGGTCATGTCAAGAGCTTCATCAACATCGTTGTCTCCTCTCGTTCATTTCGGACAGACTGCTCTGCTGCACACATACTTGTGTCCTAACTGGCCGGTTCTGAGCTAGTTCACGCCTCACTTCGCCGGGATTTGGCCCACCAAGTGTTTCCAAGAACCGGGGCTCCAAGAAGGAGGCATCATCATCTTTGCTGTGTTTCCCGTCTGCAGAATTTCACTGTTCCTACCGAGCTGTCTAGCTAGAAATCCTTATCTGATCGACAGGGTCTGACTCACTTCACGGACAGCCCCTGCGGATTCCACATACCGCCCCTCCCCATAGGATTCCTATCCTAGTTGCAGCATTATGTACGCAATACCTTTCGTCATTCTCCTTACATATCAGCCTACTTACCTATCCCAATGATGATCGCTTCATTATCGACAAGCAGCTAAATGAACCAAGCCCTACTTGAGATCGAAATTGGAGGCGTGCCTATGCGAAAGATCACATACAGATCTTACGTACCATCAATAACTAGAGCTCGGTCGATGATGCACCAGACCCCGCAATCGGAGTGTGAGATTGCCATGTGCTTCGAATCAGTTTCATCCCCTCGTGAAGAGCGAGCGGCAGAGCATTCAGTCACACGCCTTGTTTTGCCGCCATAGCCGCGCGCTTAACAAAACTTACAATCCCTAATGTCCACAATGTCCACTAAATCGATCGAGCGACATACACTCGCGTCCCCAATCTAAATTGCACACGTGGGCTCCTCTCCACCGTCACACGAGTCCGAGTGCGACCTACGAAGCACTCTATCCAGCGCCGCACGCATTGCCTTCGTTCAGGTGCCAATGTGACTAAGTAAAGAGTGGTCGTACAGTTACACCTTACTCAAAATTCTACACCGATCAGCCAGCATAGACTTGACGAGCGGTTGGTATCCAGTGAATGTGCGACAGAGTGTGATTGCCCGGATGAATACACCGATAGTCAGCGACCAGGGGTCGCGGTACCGACTTGACAGACAACATCGTTAAGCGGCAAAACATCTTGTTTCGAAGGCAACGACATGTCAGACGCAGATGCTGGTTGGTCCGGAACATGGCTCCTACGATGTACAATGGCCCGCATGCTAGTGCGCAGTTACTGAGTCGACAGCAGCTGTTGTGCCCCGCAGCGATTGCAACCAAAGAGCGCATCAGCGCCAACAGCTTCGCCAACAGTGACGGAAACCAGGTACGCTACATACTCGCACATTGGGAATCTTAATCAAATACATTGTGACTCCAACGCGCCGCTGTCGATACAACCATTCCTGCGAGTGCGGGATATTCATGCCCGCGCCAGCGCTGTGCAACATGAGGCGCGAGGGGAGACCTAGATATGCTCTAGGTCTGCGCACTCGCCCCACAAGACCATTATAATACTGGCCAGTATTGATGTCAAACTGACGTGTAATGCTCTTTGTGGAGTCGCTGTGATACTAAGCAGGAGTCATCCAAGGAGATTACAGGTCTCGCTTCTTGCGAGTGAGCGTCAGCGTGCATGCGGTGAAGGATCGCGTTGGATGGGATGGTAGTTCGCTATGTATTGCGCACCTTGTTTGCCTTATCTGATGCAACAGTTCGCTATTTTCGCAAGATAAGTTTAACTTTTCTGATTGCAGTATTTTAAGGATGAGCTCAAAACCATCAACGTCGAGTCTCTTTGTGTCTGCGTTGGAAGCTCTGGTAGGCCAGCTTGGACGCCTAATGGACATTGAGTACCTGGAGCACTTCTTGAATATGCGTATGTCGGATTTTGTATTCCCACAAGGATTAAGTGTCAGTGAGTGCCACGATGGAGACACTGACGATATGCGACACCCAAAGTTTCGAACTTTTCAGTCACGATACGCCTGCTAAGAATCTACACACCTTGGAAGGAGTCCACTTCGTTACAAATTACGCTCCTATTCGAGTCTTGTGCAGCCACGGCTGTGCACCGAAATGGACACATATGATTCCACGCAACCACTCATACTGTTGCCGCGACTGCATGGAGGAGATAATGGCGACACTCCGCGATCAGTATCCGAGCATGAAATGCCTCAGACTATTCAGGTCATTACACATCCACTACCAAATTGCGTGAGCTCACCAGTCTCACGAAACTGCGAATCGATTTGGGCGCACTCGTCAATACCAACGACCGGACCGCGCTCCTTCAGCCACACAAGCTGCTACCACTCAACCTTGCTACGCCCGACCTAGCACAAGTCAACGTAATGGATTTTGTCCTCAGCCTTCAAGACCAGGGCACGGCCATATACACTCTGGTCAAGCTTGGGTCTGCAAGCTCCATCACAGACCCGAACCTTTATCTTGAAAGTAGCCACAGCGATTTGCTCGAACAGGAGCCTCTGCTTTCTCGTGATCTCTAGCTGCTCACCTATCTGCCAAACCAATACAAGAACCCAGGTGTACGACTTACTATATTTTCTCATTATGGATACGAATTGTTTGACCATGTACGAGTGCGGGTTGAGCTAGAAGACCCAACACGTCGGCAGTGACTATACGCGATCGCGGATGTCTTCGAGTCGGGATGCCAGATTCGAAGGCATCAAGTATGAGGTCTCTGTCTTGCGGGGCATCCTACGGCGGAGCAGAATCTGAGCTCTGGTCGGTCCTATCGAGTTGTAGCGTTAACGATTCTACAGGGTATGGCAGTGTTCCTTCCTTTTCACTCTTTCAAGGGCGTTAGCTAGCTTGAGCAGTAGCTTCTTTTGGGCAGGCGGTAGAAGCATCGCGAGTGGACGCAAGTACAATGCTGTGGAGTAGCTTCATAGCAATGCGAAACTCATTCAATGGAAGGTGCCTTGAGTGGGATCTGGAATATTCTCAAGTGTTGCTATTCATATGTCGTTTATTCGTACTTATCTCCTGTATTCGTTGTGATAAACCTTCACGCCAATGATGCCCAATGCGCCTTTCACGCCGTGCCTCTGAACGCCTGAAATGCTCGTCGCTCGTCAACATCTTCTGATGCGCATCGGGATCGGCCCTCTGTCGAGGGCTGAATTCATTCGATGCGAAAACAAATCTCAAAATTAGTCCCTCCTGATGGCCGAAGATGAGTACGTGCCCTATGAGAAACCAATCTTTGAGCCCAGTCCTCTCAAGCCTTCACCAATGCGCTCCATGCCGGAGCCCATCTTCTCGCTCGAGCCCCTATCTGCTTTGATCTCCATACCAGCTGCCTGCATATTCAGACGCGTCAGGCGCAATCTGAGTGTGAGATCGTAGGTCTCGGCCATCTTGAGAGCATCGGCGTGTACGTCGTGGCGAGGGTTCGTGGGCGGGGAGATGAGGAGTCGGTCAACGAGGTCTATCCGTGCTTCAAGTGTCTTGTCGTTGATCATGTGCTCCAGCTCTTCCTCGATTGTAATATTTCCGGCGACAGGAAATTTGTATGACATCTCATCGAGTGTGACGCAGCTGAAAGGGATGAAGTACTGGACAATGCTCTTGGTGCGAATACGGCCATAGATGGTGCTGAGCACCTTCGAAAGGTACACATCGAGGAGGTAGTCGCTCCGGTAGCCTTCGAGCACATCGAGACAAGCGCTGTACTTGGAGTTGCAGAATAGGTTGATGGCTTGGCGGATGTGCGGTTCGAGCTCCAGGAAGTTCCTGAATTCGCTGTTGCCGAGCACCTTTGCCTGCAGCTCGCTACGGTCCATCGATGCAAGCGCACAAAGTCCACCGTAGACAGCTACGTCGTTGCCAGAGAGCACTTCCTTCTGCCATGTGATACCCGCCGCGGGCTCAATCGTCAAGAACGCAGGTAACGTGCCGAGGAAATTTGTTGCGGCTTCCTTGAAATTTCCAACACACATGTGAGCAAGACCTGTGCAAGCAGACACGATAGGCTCCAGCTTGCTCTTGTCCTCGCCCTTCAACTGTGCTGCGTCAACCTTGGCCAGGTTGGATTGTACGGTCAACCACGACTTCTGAGCGACGCTGACGTAAACGAGACGGAGGGTCATATCGGCGAGATGCTTGTTCGAGGTGCAGCTTTCGCGCATCTTCATGTATGACTTCTGCGAGTTGCCGTAGTCGCCGATGTCGTAGAAGAAGTGCCCTAGGTCTTCGTTGCCCATCTGAGGTTTCGTCAGCCCGAGCTCTATTCACGTAAGGCTTTGATCGCAGCCGCACCCTTATAGACTCCTTGATCAAGTTGTTCTTGTACGACTTGAGCTCATGCTCCAGCCTGTCCTGCTCGCGCTGGGTCTCCTGCGCCTTTTTTTCTGCCCACGTTGTGTCTGTCAGAGCTGCGGGATCTTGTGGCGCAATGACACTCAGATCCTCCGCCAGTTCCAGGTAGAGGTTGACGTTCTTCCCCTTCTTCGCCTCTGCGATCGCCAGGCGGTATGCATCTAGGGCAAGGTACGGCGAGTGAGAGCCAATGTGGCGGAGCCGGTCGATTCGTGTATTGCCTGGAAACATGTAAACAACTGGTTTTTCAAGAGGCTCCAACTCAGGTAAACATACCGGCATAGTTGGCGATGTATGATTCAAGGTCGAACTTTGGAGGGTCTGTGGAGTTAATAGAGTTTGTCTGCGGTGGGATGAGGCCACGAACCCTTCACAACCAGCTCGCCCTTGCTTATCCGCTGCTGAAAGAACGGTAATTGTTCAATGTTGGACGCCATCGCTGTGGTGGTGAGTTTGTCTGCGGCGATGGCGCGGAGTTGATTGGAGCTCCTTCAGGCAACGCCGCCCCGCGCCCCACTTGTCGTCACGAAAACGAAGCCAAGCTGAGCTTCACGCGTCTCGCCTTTCCTGCGCCTTTCACCAAAGGTCCTTCACCGTCATGCAAGCATCGTGACCATGCTCCGCACGCGTGTCCTCATCAGAGCTCCTGAAGCATCTTGTCGCAGTCTCGACTACACGCTGATGTTCAAGTAGTACGCTCTCTTCGAGCAGCGTGGCTGTCCATAGATATTGGTGATGCGCACAATAAGCTAAAGGTGCCTACTTTACTGGATTCTTTCGTGTCAATCATCCGCAACCCAACGCTGACAAGTAGAGACGTCTGATTAAACTTCGTCTGCTGCTGGCAGGTCGCATTCGCGATGCGCCCTTTTGTGTCTTCCTTTCCTATTCAGAAAGAGAAGCTATGATCGGACAGATAACGTGTGCGTGATGTGAACGGTGAACGGTAGGAACAGCAACTTCTTACACGGACAGTTCACCTGCATTTGATCTCCTACCCAGCGTCCGACTAGCACATCAAGCAGCACCCAAGATGGTGGACACCCCGACCGCAGCGTCGTCAGCCGCCGCGGGCAAACATTCGGTGCTGAACTCTTCCTTTCCTGTCTTCCTGCCTGAATTTGAGGCACTATCTGCGCTTGCAGCTACATTCGGGCTCATGCCTACAGCCAAGAGCTCTGGGGCGACCGCCAGCGAGCAGAGTATGCAGGGCACTACCAACAAGCTGAGGACGCTCGACACCCAAGATAGAGGCTCATCTGGGCCTAATGAAGTGAGTTACAATGCCCTGAAGAGGCCAATCCCACACGAAGCTGACGATACTCGCCCACCAAAGGCGCTCTTCGATGAGAACAAGACGTTCACAGAAAACGCTGATGTTACCAACATCTCATCCCAGAACGCTCTCGTCGATTTGTTCTACGACATCAGCGAGAACACTCGACCCAGCCAACTCGACAAGGCTCTCACTGGGGCTTGGAGAGAGGACGCACTTTTGACTTTGAAAATCATCTTCAACGCTCGAAGCATACACCTGGGCAAGAGTAACAGGAGGGCCGCATATGGCGCTTTGGGTTGGCTGGCCGCCCATCACCCAAAGACCTTTCTCTCGAGCCTGCCGTGGCTGGTCCGCCCGGTGATCTCAAAGAAGCCTTCGAAGTCTGACACTGCTTCACGCGATGCAGACGACGACTTCGAAATGATCACGGTCGGTGATGCTGCAGCTGCGTCCACGGAAGCGAATGACGCACACGACGTCCGCCACGGTGCATCTCACGGTTACTGGAAGGACCTCCTCAACCTGGTCGTCTTTGCAGCACATGATCAGTTGAAGGTCGATGGCGATTTCGACTCTCTTCTCAATCAACACCCAGATACTTCCAAAGCAGGCAAGCGCAAGCGGTGGAACAACGACCAAGATACCGCACGCGAGCTGCGACGCAAGAAGAACAAGGAGCAGAATGAGCGGGTACAACATAAGCTGGACAGTGATCCCTTCTACCGCGCACTTCACGTTACAGTGACACAGCTCTTCGTGGATCAGCTCAAGACTGACAAAGCTTTGCTCGACTCCGACGAGCGCGCGGACTTGCGCAAGCTGTCTCTTGCCGCCAAGTGGGCTCCTACTTGTGGAGAGTTCCACGACAAGCACACGTTCATTCTGTCGACAATTGCCGAGGCTCTATTTTCAGACCCCGCGCTACACTGCCCAAACGCGACCAACAGAGAGCTCTACCTTCGCCACGTCCGTGAGCTCTACCGGAAGCAGTACGCATCTCCGCTACGGAAAGCGCTCGGGGTTGTGGAGCGAGACATAGCTGCTGGGACGTTCGGCAACATCGATTACAGTCATGTGCCCTCGATCGCCATGGATCGTTACACTGACCTCTTTATCCGTAAGGATGAGGAACGATTCGCGAAGTATATTGACGATGTTACAGATGGGTCGTCCAAGATCTCAGGTGCCACCCTATTGCCATCCACTTTAGTGCGCAAGGCGTGCGAGATATGGTCTAGTCCGGCTCCTCGAAAGGGCACAATTGGCAAGGCAAAAGCTGGTGCACTGCAGAGAGAGATTCAGCACAAGACTATCGATGGTCAATGGCGCTCTTTGCTGAAGAGTGTCCGCGATGCTGGGGTACTGCAGTCGTCTGTCGCGGTCTGCGACGTGAGTGGCAGTATGTTCCATCCAGTCCTCAGCGATGGATCTCTACCGGTGCACTCTTCCGTTGGTCTCTCACTTCTAATTGCTGCGGTGACTACCGGACCCTTTGGTGGCCATGTTATCACGTTCTCGCAGACTCCATCCGCTGTCAACTTCGAGGATCCAGGCTACAGACTGGACGATCTTTGCAACGCAGTGAAGCATGTACAAGGGATGGATTGCGGGACGAACACTGATCTCGTTGCTGTCTTCGAGGGTCTGCTCAGCGGTGCAAAAGCCTGCAAGGTATCGCAAGCTGAGATGGCCAAGCAGGTCTTTGTCTTCAGTGACATGCAGTTCGATAAAGGCATGGATCAACAGGTCTGGAATTCCTCTTTCAATCGCATCAAGAGCGCATACGCCGGCGCTGGATACGACATGCCTAAGCTCATCTTCTGGAATTTGGCCGGACAGTCCAGCAAGCCTGCCACTATAGATGATCAGAACGTAGCACTTGTGTCAGGCTACTCGCAGGGTATGCTCAAGGCACTTCTCGAGACTGGGGCGCTCGACGGCGTAGATGAGATCGTCGAGGAGGCTGTTGTGGGCGAGGACAGCATAGTGGAAGTCAAGAAGAAGGAGAGGATCGATCCCCTGTCAGTGGTGAAGAAGGCAGTCAGAAACAAAGCGTACAGTATGTTGAAGGTTGTCGACTAAATGACGGAAGATGCTTTTATTACGATGTATGACCAAGGCTAACGGTTAAGCGGCATTCGATACCCAATGTTTCGATCTCAGAACGCGGAGTAACATACATGCCTTTCAATCTTAAACACGCATATTTGCTGCTCCTGAGCCGGACCCAAGAGCCGATGACAGTCATACCTATCGAGGAGCTTGTCGACGGCCTTCTCGAGGAGACCAACAGATTGGCGAATCCTTTCCTTAGACATGTCTCCCTCCTCCGTTTCCATCCTTCTCAACGAGCCTGACGGTCCTGATGTGCGCCGCCAGCTCGCAGCGGTAAAGAAGAGTGGCAACTAGCCAGTGAATTCTCTCGTCATTGCGGATGTTCAATTCGATGTGCCGATAGAGCAAGGGTTCACCAACTCCACGGTATGTCTTCGAAACTCTTGACATTGCGTAACCCTGGTTGGGGAAAGTGCGTAGAAGCTCGGATGAGGAGGTGGCATTAGGGTCGCGGGGAGGTGCGAAGGTGTTGCTTTGTGCCTGCCTTCGCCTTGCCTCAAAACCTTGCGATTCAAGTGAGTAAGCAGCGCCTTCTAGGTAGGAGAAGAAAAATGAGTTCGGGATGAAGGTGAAGGTGAGTCTGAAATTCGTATATATGCATTGTTGGGTATATCGATGTGTGTACAAACAGTCGTAATGTATGCTCCGTTACCGCCAGGTGTGACTGTGCTTTGCTCCCGTCGTCTTGGCGACTAACGTCAGGCAACTCTTCCCCCTCATAAGGTCTCACCTAAAGACATTACTCCCCCTCGCCGCCCACTGATCCTGCTGCTGTTGCTGCTGCGCACTCTGATACCCATAATACGCCGCGGGCGACCAATTAAGATCACCTCTACCAGCGCTCCCATAGAGACTGCCCGCATCAACAGGCCCACCGGTGGCAAGGCTACCGCTATTGTGCAGTTGGCCCTGCTGCTGTGTCTGCCCGAGCCCAGTAGTTGATGACAAGGAGTTCTGGGCAGATAGTGCGTTCTGGGTGGGCTGCGAAGATATAGAGCCTTGCGTCATGGAGCGACTCAGGGTGCTGTAAGGTGAGTGGTTCGCGGCTGTGAAGAAGCTTTGCTGGGCCTGCATGGGCATAGCTTGTGCAGCGGCTTGAAGCTGTTGTTGTGCTGTTTGTGAAAGTCGTTGTGGACTTTGTAGGCGCTGCTGTTGTTGCTGCTGCACTGGCTGACCATCCGAGTTGTATGTCATCTGCTGGGGGCTGCGGCGCTGAGCTACTTGGTTGAGTTGAGCGAGCTGCTGACGATGGTTCTGGGCCGCTTGTTGGAGACGTTGTTGCTGTTGTTGTACTTGCTGCTGTTGTTGTACTTGCTGCTGCTGCTGTTGTTGTACTTGCTGCTGTTGCTGTTGTTGTACTTGCTGCTGTTGCTGTTGTTGTACTTGCTGCTGTTGCTGTTGTTGTACTTGCTGCTGCTGTACTTGCTGCTGCTGCTGCTGCTGCTGTACTTGCTGCTGCTGTGATTGCTGCGTTTGCGTATGTGGCTGCGCATGTGATATTGATGGCCGCTGTTGAGTCTGAGTGTGAGGCTGCTGCGGCGGCTGTGGTTGCGAGTGCGGTCGTGTTGCTGTCTGCGTTGCCTGAACAGGCGTCGTAGACGCTCGCTTTTCGTGTTCCAGCTGCTGGATCCGGGCTTTTGCTTCGTCAAGTTCCTTCTTCATCTTCTCCAACTCGGAGAGTTCATGGTTAAGTGCCGGCGCCTGACACGCGGGCTCGCTGACTGTAAGTGACTGTCGACGATCATCGCTGGGGGGTGGATCTGAGTAGTAGCAGGACCGCTTCTTGTCAATACAAGTCTGGCAACTTGGTCGAACGCCGTCACACTACGCTCTGATTAGCTAGGGTTCGCGATTTCAAGCACCCTTCCAACGAACCTTTGTCTTCTTCGCCTTGCATACATCGCAGCTGTTCCGGGGCCGCCTCCTCGGCGGCTGCTGCTGAGCAGTCTGGTTCCGAGGCGGCTGAATCGGCGACAGCAAATTCACAACGGGCTGCTGAACAGGTGGCTCCAGTTCTGGAGGAGGTGGTTCTGGCGGCGCAGACGGATCGTCTCTGATCAGCAGCAACAACGACTGCAGACTCTGTGCCCTCAGGTCGCTCTCCAGAGACGTGTGCGACGGCCTTGGTGGCTCGAATCTAGGTGGTTTCTTCACTTTTTTCAGCGGTCTTGGTGTTGGCTCTGCCTCTTCGTCTTTCGGTCGATTGATCAGCCTCTGCAACGCTTCAGGGTCGTGCTCCTCCAAGAACTTCCGCCTCTTTGAGTCTTTGCGTGGCGGCGGGGCCCGCTCCTCGTAGGTCTTGTGCATGGGAACATGCTTGTAGAAGACGTCCAGCGTCTCCTTTACCGCCGAGAACTTGATCGAAAGCACACCCTTGCAGTCGTACACGGGCTTCGTGGCACGCTTCCCCAGCTTCGCACCCTTGCCATTGGCAGCGCGGTCCTTGTTGAGCAGCGAGTCGTTGCAGTAGTACGAGAAGCGGAAGCTGTCGTCTTCTCTGCTGTTCCAGCAGTTGTGGAAGCTGTACCGGTAGCCGTCGATGCGTTGTATGGCGTCGACGCAGCACTTGGCGATGGCGCGCTGCTTGCGCATCTTGTCCTTGGGGTCGACCGTAGGCTGCAGGGCCTCCATGATGCTCAGGCTGACCTTGTGCTCCAGCTTCTTGCCGCCATTGCTGCTGCTCGAGCCGGGCGCTATGGCCGGCGGCGGGAAGCTGGGCGGCAGCGTCAGGGCGATGGCGGGGTCGGACACGGACTGGTACGCGTGCGAGGGCTCGCCGTACTGTGCTTGGAAGCCGTTCGCCGGTTGGAAGCCCGGGGCCGCGTGCGGATTCTGCTGGGCGAGGTGCGGTGCGGGCGGCGGCGGCGGCGACTGCTGCTGCTGCTGCTGTGACGTCGTCGGGTATGGGGCGGGGGCCGACACCATGAAGCTGGTGCCTATCCAAAAGCTCAGCTGCGCTTCGGTGTGCTCGGGCTGCTCGGGCGGCGCATTCAGGTACTCGCGCAGGGCCACCTCGAACTCGTCCATGGACGCGACATTGTACTGGATGATCTTGGCCAGCGCGTCGCGTGGTTGGCGGCCGCGAGCCAGCTGCACCGGCGCCTGCGGCCAGAGGGCGTTGGAGTCGTCAGGCGCGGCATTGCTGAAGGCCTCTGCAGAGGCACTGCTGGGGCCGTATGCGCTCACATTCGTCGTCGCGCTGGAATTCATCGATGTGGGGGCGGCGCCGAATAGAGAGGATGAGGGAGCATGTTTAGCGGTAACGATACCGAGCTTTCGTGCAGCCTCGACGCCGCATGCTCCCGCCCGTCACCATCAGGTGTGGGTCAAACACGGAGGGCGATTAACGGACTCAGGCGAAGCCGGCTGAGCAGAGCTAACTACAGGTCAAGAGCAGAAACATTGCAAGTCTGCATGTTTCAGGAACACATGTGTTGTTGCCAGCATCCACTCGTTTCCAAATGTGCCATGTGCATTGTGGAAGAAAGTTTTAAGACACGAACGCCAGATCCTACCAGCTGCACCGAACCTTGTATGTGTCATGTCAGACTGTCGGCGCATTATTGCAGTACTCACCGAGACCTACTGTGTACATGTGAGTTACGTCCCCGTCTGCTGCAGGGGCCGCATGTAACCTCGACGTCTTGCGTCCCAATACCATCGTGCAGATGATTAACAGCTAATATTAGCCCTTCCGCACATGGTGCGATGCTCAGTCAGATCAGCGCTAGGATTCTCACGTCGTACCAAGCACGCCCTGCCTCGAGACTTGGTGATGTGGTGCTCGGAATGTCGAGGCTGTGGGCCCTCCTCTACCCCTGCCAATACGTGAGATCAGGCACGCGCCCCAGGGATCAGCGACTCTGATGTCATTGCGACCGTGTGCGGATTGATTGTCAATGTTGATCGTCGGCGACTTGGTGGCTTGGCGGTTTCGATCGTCATGTCGGGAGCCATGCCCGTGGTGCTGGGAGAAACGCGCTGCGACGGCTGCAACTTTGCGGCGCTGCAGCTGGCGGCCTGATGGACGTCGAGCACGATTGTAAAACGCAGTGGAGAGCAGAGTAGAAGATCACCAAGAGCAAGGAGAGCAATAAGTGGTGATGATGATGATGATGATGATACCGTGATCAATTCCTGATTGATGTGCACAGCACTATTACTACCCCATCAAACGAAGAGGCCCTGACGCCAAAGCAACCCGGACCATAGGTAGTGGTATCGATCCAACAAGCAGAATCCCCAATTCCCCAACAAGCAGTTATGGTACAACTTGTACATGCCGTAATCGTGTCTGTGTACGGGTCGCCAGTAAGCAACCATGCTTTTGTATCCTCCTTTTGCCGTATCCATAGTTGAAGTAAGAAAATTCGTGACGCTAAACGATGCGCTCAAAAGACGTACTCGATATTCTTCATATTGTCAGGAACCCAGTGACCCTTCTCCTCTGGTGTTGCGTTGTGAAAAGCGTCAGCGCGCTTCACTGTTTGCACATCGAGGTCAGTCACGTAGTCCTTGCCGTTAGGCAGCTGCATGCGAACCTCGAACTCAGAGTCGAGTATCATGTCGTCCTTCGACAGCCGCCTTGGGCCGTCATAGACACACATGACGCGCTTCTTCATCTTCATCTTCTCGGTGGGGCATCCCCATGCCAGAGGGTAGTTCTTGCGCTTCTTGCGCCCCGAAGAGGCGATTGCGACACCGCCCTTGGAGAAGGTGAGACCTGCTCGTGGACCACGAACAGGCTTTGTGACTTTGGATTGGTTACCACCCCCGGTGTGCTGCGATGCGCCGACACCTCGGGGATGTGTTGATTGTCAATCCGAGTGGGACTTCTTGATGCTACCTTTGCCGGAACGCGACTTGCGGCTGCCATAGGTAGCATCATCTTGGTCATCGACGTCGATCTCCTCATCAAAGTCTTCCTCATCCTCGTCGTCATCATCGTAGCTGGGGACGGTGTACTCGATGCTCTCGGAGAGGCCATTGCGGTCCAGTGTGTCAGTGACATCCTTATCCTCAGCAACAGAAGTCAGCAGGCGCTGGTTGACGGCCTCGCAGGGATCAGCCTGTTGTACGACGCGCAACACACAGTCGTCCAAGTGCTCATAGAAGTCTTGTGCATTGGCAAAGGTGACCGAGCAAGTCGAGCAAGTGCCGGCAATCTGTGGGCAGTATGCCTTGCGTGTGCTGTTGGAGCTCTTCTTTCGGCTGTTGGGAGGATTCTGCTCGACACCATGTACTGAAGTAAGGTGCCTCTTGAACACGTCGGCGCGATTGAAGCTCTTCTCCACTGCCGATCCACTGCCTGGGCAGAAGCCGCATACCATGGTGCCCTTGTAGTGGGTAAGGGTGTGCCTGTTCTTGTCATACTTTCTTGCGAAACCCTTGACATAGTACTCGCAGGTCGTGATCGGGCACTTCTCCGGGCGCTCGCTGCGGTGCGTAATAATGTGGGCCTTCAAGTCCTTAAACACGCGTCCACATTCTGGCAGTGGGCACATGCCCTTCGACATTGTCTCCTCATCCAGGTCGAAACTGCTGCCGCTACCGCTGCGTCGGCGGGTGTTGGAGTGTTGTGAGTAGTGAGATGCTACTGAACCGCGCCTTTGGTAGGGGTGGAAGTGTGTTTGGAGGAAGGGGGATGCGCTCCCTTGCTTTATACGCGGGTGGGGGCTTTGTGCTGATAGCTGCGAAAGGACTGGCGAGGCAGGCTGCTTTACAACAGCGAAGTATTCCGATTGGTTTGCCTGAATCTCGGGGAAGGGGCTCTGAGGAGCGAATGCAAAAGGCTGGATGACGTTGGGGTCTGCGATGTATGTGTTAGCTTTCCTGCGCTGTTCACTTGAGATGATAGCACAGGGAGGGGACCGACAAGATTCTGGAGAAACTGGCATGGAAGTAGAAAGAGTTCTTGAAAGAAGCGGAGACGAGATGACTGAAGACGAGGCAGGTGATGTAGGAACGTCGTGTGGAAGGATTTCATTGGAAAGCAGAGAGTTTCTTCGCCGGCTCAGCCTCGTGGAAGACCAGCTCGCCGAGGCGGGAGCCGTTGGTGTTTTAAATGCGTTGCTCGAAGCAGTGGATGCAGTAGAAGAGAAAGAAGGCGGTATCTCAGAAGGAATCATTGACTTACCAATGAAGGACTTCTGCTCTGCGACCATGGTGGGGAAGTCGATTCCGGAGGTCATCATGGCCATGGGGTTCCATGCTTCTATCTCGAACTGGGGCGTGATGGAGGGTGAGCCCAGAGCAGAGGAAGACGCCGAAGCACAGGATTCAGAAGAAGCAGAGAGGACTGGGGGCTGGTCCTGGAACGAGTTCAAGGTTGAGTGTGGAGATCCCGAGGGGCTGTGGTAGTTGTACTGATGTGCAAACTTGTGTCCCTGAGCGAACTGTTCATAGGTGTATTGTGGTCTTGGTGCCTCAACCATGGGAAACGTGTGTTCGTATGGTGCGCTGAATGATTGCTCCATGCTAAATGTCGATGAGGGAAGGAAGGGCTGTGTGGTAGGGAGGTACTGCAGTTGCAGCTCTTGCTCGTGAGTGTAGAGCTCAAAGTCATGGTGCTGCATTATCGGGGGATATGCGTAGTCGACCATGGTGGTCGATGTGAGTGTAGATGATGAAGCTGAATGAGTATCGTGAAGAGCCGCTCAGGTCTTATTCACACATTAAGTAAGTCAGTAAAGATTGGCTAAGAAGCGGGCCGGGCCCGATCGATGGATGAGCATAAGCAGTGTTTGGTCCGCTAGCGCATCTGTAGGCATGCCTGGAGGGGAAGCTTACCAGCTCTCAGAAGAGAGTCACAGCCAGCCACAAACTCGGTTCGGGAGAGCGACAATGAATCTCGTTGATTATTGCAGATCGATTGCTGGATTGGGGTGGTCGGCGACGGTGCGTTGCGGTTCCGAGATTCAGAGCTCTAGAGTGGCCGGGTTTGGAGTGACAGGTCACAAGCGAGGCAGACTGGATGCTGTGTTGTAAACCGAGACTGTAGGAAAGGTCCGGAAGAGGTTGAGTTCTTGCTGATCGGGAGGCCTGGAACTGTAGACGGTGCCCGGGGGCGAAGTGTGGTTTATACATAAGGCCTGAGACGACCACGATGGCCCCCAGTGCGGACTGTGCACAAAGCCACCGCGAACCCCTGCCTCTGCCCTACAGAAGCGGGTCCGTAACATGCCACCTCAGTTTGGGGACGGTAAGTCACGCTAGGAGAAAAAGAAAGAGGCAGAAGCATACCGTCCGCCATCGTCCACGTCCCCGCCTCGATCGCGCGCCCCGACCGCTTCGTGGGAGGACAAGCCTCCATGGATTGCGGTGAAGCCGGGTGGTCCTAGACACCCCTCCCTGCCGCCAAGGACCGCGCGATGCCCAATACGAACCCCACAAGCGCACGCCGGCGAGTGAGGGCGCAGCCTTCAGGAGTGCCCATGCTCAGTTTGGCAAAGGTAAGCGGATTGGGGAGCACATTCAGGCGATGCGCACGCTAGACCACCGCTTTTGTGAGTAAGCAATGTCGCATCTACGGGCATGAGTCCATCTCACATCTGATTCGACCTTCGCGATGCTTTCGCTTTCGCCGGGTCGCAGAGCGGGAGCTTGTGGCTGGGGAGCGGCTGTGCAGGTCCAACTGACGTCTCATTGGACATGGAATGGGTCTAAAATTAAGACCATTGCCCGAATGTGGTTTGGTCGACTGTCAAGCGAAGCACTCTCGGGGGGCATCAGGGCGCAGTCACCGCAGTACTGCTCCTTCAGCGAACAGCGAAGAGCCTCACCGCCGTCATCGTCATTCCCAACGTCACAGTCGAGACGATAGCGTTGTGGTGAGCAGATGAGTTCATGATAATCCATATTTGTAAAGACACCGGCGGCTGCACTGGCACTGCAACACTCGACGGATGCAAACGATCCAAGCGTATGCTCTCTGCATGCACTCCGCTTGTGGAAACAGGCGCGCCCCCGGGAGGCGTTTGAAAGAAATCTTCGCTTCCTTGTCCCAACCGCTCCAAGCTGCAGTCTCTGGCTGCGGCTACAAGCTCTCGCCATGATGACAACGACCTGTCCAGAGCGCAGCAACACTCGGAAGTCACGCGCAGTAGGAGCCGCATTGCACACGCTGCTCGCCATCAATGTACCAGTGACAGGCCGCGAACATGGTGTTCGAGCATGGCACTCCGTATCCGTGTCACTGTCTGTGCCTAAGATCCTCTGTGCTCCTTTCGTGGTCCCTGAAATCATCTGGCCCAGGTTCATGGATAAGGTTGGCGGACAAAGCACGGTGCTGGGTCCCGAGGACCCATGGCCTTGTCTATCTATACCTTGTTGAGCACACACACCTGTAGTGGGGTAGCACTGCTCTGCCGCATCGATATTGACTGCGTTACAATCCCTCCCTAAAATGTACTTCGGGATGCATTGACACCGCCTGCTCGGGTTTTTTGGTCCACTATCCTGTATCACCAACGAACAGAACGGTCATCCGTTCACGTGGTGGGTACGAGGAAGCGTATATTGATGTGGCATTTGCGGGGTGATCCCATCATCGGCACGGTTCGTCAGATCCCAGAATGAACTATATTAGGTGCAGAGGCCTACAGTAGGCTCTGGTGCTGTCATCGATTTCACGACTCGGTTGTGAGTGCGAGCCTCATGCATACTAGATCGATGCACACTATTCTTGGTCGTCTAATAGCAATCATAAGCCTGACTTAGTGCCGTCCGTACGCAATTAATATCTGTTGCATGGACGTCTGCAGTGCACCCGCCCAAGTTCTGAACGCAGGAACTGAAACTTCAACGCAGCGACTGCAGCATGAAGACCTGATGCCACGAAAATCCGGAGGCTTTGCACCGCCACATGGGTTGTCCAAGCACTATTGTTGATGAGCGTCTGGGATTATCTTCCGACAAATCAGGCAGATTGAAAAAGCTTACTCATGACCGTGCTCGACTGTGGCGGCCAATAATTGAGGCTTATCGTTTAGCAAGGCCACGAGGTCGATGAGAAGCCTGGACGTCCGAAGTGACGGGCATGATGACCCTGTCAATCTATGAAAGGGCCGACGCGGTGAACTAGCCCAAAACGAGCTTGTTTCGCGAACATCCCGGGCCTGTGTGCTGCACTGTGCAATCATTTTCATCAATCAATGTGTGACAATGTATTCACCGGACCGGGTGTCGTGTTGAAGGATGAGCAGCCTGTATCGGGTTGATTTAACTCGTATTCATGACAGACATTTCAATAGTGACATCTGACATTGTACGTGATGTGAACGTCAAGGGCCTTTGTTTGACAAGCGATCTCACTGGTAAGTGCGGAAAGGGTTCCCGTCAACGTTGGCGAAAGGCTGTACTGGTAGAAGGTGTGACCAATCCCGCATCTAAGACATGTCGACCAATTATCAGCTCATCAGAACAGCCCCAGATGGACTACGCGGACCTTCACACCCCCTCACCCTCACAGGTCCAAGCTCGTGTGCTTCGAAGTTGCTTGTGCTAGACCACTCGCTAGGACATGTAGGAGGCTGGCCGCAGTGCTCTCATGGAGCTATTTGACAAAGAAAGGGTGATGGTGGATCTGAAGGTCGCTTCTGGAAGGCCACACAGACGAGTGGTGCAACACCAAATGGTGTGCAGTGTGCAGCCATGTGAAGCTCCGAAAGCCACGTCGACGGGTGATCAGCACGAGAGGCTCTCCTGGGATGCTCCAGTGGGTTGGGCGCCCCATGTAGGTATCTGACATTCCATGCCAATCAGTCGGTAGAGCGATATGACCTGTCGCTGTTCGCTGTTCGCTGTTCTGTCGCGGAATCGATAGCGCTGTGCTCCTGTGGCACTACAAATCTGGTGCGAGTGTGGTGAGCCTCCGAATGTCGCAATGCTGAGCTTGCTCCGCGGGTTAGACTCCTCATAGTAATGTGGGCGAGCAGACTGCTCAATTGCAGCACCGTTTCGAGTCAACGTACGCTATGAAGGAGGACACTCCACCGTTGACTTCGGATTTACCGCGTGGAATACGCCATGAGGGGCTAGCTTGCGTGGTGGCCGGACGCCTCGGCCTCGCCTGTGCAAAAGCTCCCCACAAGTCGACGCCATGGACCAAAGCGCAGCACCGACGGGCTGGTTTTAGCGTTCCCAGAGAGATCCTTCCCGCGAGTTCCCAAATAACACTTTCCCACGTTCGGACGGCAACAAGCGGGCCGGATCTTGACATGTGGATAGCAAATGAGAGCAGCAGCATGCTCTGTGTTATCGGCCAGGATGTCTCAATCACCCGTGCAGTTCTCAGGCGAGGAATGGGCTCTTCTCGGGCAGGCAGAGCCTCATGCCTAAAGCACTCGGGCGGTCAAGCGCAATTGGCAAAGGCAGCATGGCTGGCGTAACTCTTTCCATCGAGTCGAGTTCATTGTACAGTCAAACAAGGTTCGGCTGAAGGCTTGCGTAAAGTGACAACCCGCTTCCAATTAATCTTGTCGCAGTGAACCCCGTAAGACAAGACAAAAGCCATGTGCTGGCAGCCTTGACCCCTACCGAGCCGCAGATCGTCTTCACGCAAGCGGGCCAATTTTCAGGATCGACCGTCACAACAATAATTTGGACGGTGCGGTCTTGGCTTGACCAGGAACACAATCCTTTCGATCGCTCTTGGACCGTGGAACAAAGCACTACAGCGGTAACTTCCGGCGAGGGGCTTCCAAGTTCCAACACGGATGTCGAGACCCTGTCAGCAAAAGCAAGTCGTGACCTGGGACATTCCGCAGGAGTTTTTAAGCCTTGTGATGACCGGGCGATTCGAAATTTCGACGAGTTGTAGTCCAGGTGAAGTTTGGTCATGTTGGGTGATTGGCATGTGCTGTCCGTGAGGGGGTGGGCGTCTCGCCTGGATCGAGACCTTTTTTCGCTAAACCCAGTCTCCCAGGACAAGTCGAGCCAGGTGTCAATATGACTTGACCGTTTGCGTGCACAGGTCAATGGGCCTTGAACCTGAGAGGGGTGAAGGCGCCAGGCGCTGGGCACAGATGCGCTGCATGCTGTCCCGTGTATTGCTTATCAGAGCCGAGATTATTGGCCGGGTGGTCGGCGATGCATGCTTGACAGGATGATCTTGTCTGTGCGTTATTTCGATGCACAGTGACTTTCCCTGCCTTGGCCGTGGTCGTCGCCTACCTTTCCTAGGATTTGGGGATTTGGGGGTCAGAGACAGGCCTGGCTGTCACCCCACGGTCGCTGCTGCACCGTCTCCGACCGTGTGTGGCGAGTTCTATCTTATACGGGAGATTTATTGTAGCATAAGTAAGAGTAATGACAACCGGAGATGTAGTCGAAGTAGAGTTGTGTGGTGATAATGGCCACCAAGGATATCGGGTGCGTCCGTCTTTCAGCCTCCGGAGATCTCGACAAAAGAAGAAGGATCTCCACGGCGCCCTCACCTAGATGCCCTCAGCTCACATGTCTAATTCAACCACCTATTCTCGAGATGATCGCAACAAGACAGTTCATGTCAAGAGCATGAGGAAGTACTGGAAAGGCGAGATCGAAGGCGGTATCAAGACACGTGGCATTTCACGCAACGATGACAGTAGCGACTTGCCAGTGCTTTGTGATCATTGTCGCCTGAGGAATGCATACACCCTACTGGCATCTCTGACCGAACAACAACGTTCACTAACCACTCCAATTTGAATTGCTGATCCTCTTACGATATCAGGCCGGAGACACACGCTGGAGGGCAACTCAGCGTCCTAAGCCCTGCGCTTCAAAAGCTAGGGAAGGAGAATGAGTAGAACAGCCTGTGACGCAAACAGGTGGCATTCATCTACTAAGCATAGATCTACGGTTCCGCAGATGTAGATGAGCTTACCAAATTTGTGATCTGGACCATTCGATCTATAAATCACAGGCAGTAGGACCAGAAGAAGGCTGCACAATTATGAGGACTAGATACCGCCCTTGGCACGTGTAGTGGGACACCCGGGAGATCGAAATCCTACCTGCCATGCTCTTTGCAGATGCTGCTGAAAGCTTTCAGGCATTTCCGCCCTATCAAGACCATTTCATGCATACAGTCTCAGAGTCTCGAAATCTTCTCTCTATTACCAATTTCGTACACTCGCTGCAGTATATATGGCTCAAAAGACACGGCACTACCGTCAACAGCGGCGGAACCTGTGTCTCACACCCAAGGCAACATCTTGAATGTACATTCAACTCCAGCGTGCTGAGAAGGACTCATAGTGCCTTATATTGTTCGCTTAGTCAAACCCGCTATCTTTTCCGTTCTCGTATCCAGCTGATGCGGGATGACAGAATGTCCCCTCGGCGGAGTGCAGGATTGTCCTGCTCCTTTGGTACATTGAGCAAAGTTTGCAGCAAGATGCTACCTATATTCTGAGAAGGATGATTAACTATTCCTGGCGTTCGGCGTAGCCTCTGTAGTCTAGGATTACCGAACGCCCGCAGATACCCTCCTGCACCCGTTGTCGCATAGTGCGATGCAGCAGAGGCTCCTCGAACGTTGCAAAATTTTGTTTTTTTGCACAAAGTATCCGCACTGGTAGTGCACGCTTTGTCTTGTGATTGAGATGCCAATGTGGAAGCGACCTCCATGCCTATCTGCTGCAGCCACTTTAGCCCCATAAGCAGTGTAAGCTCAGCCGCACTTCATCGACCCCGCACTCTCATTATGATCATAAAGCGACATTAGTGCTATCTGGAGAAATTCGCTGCACCAGCTTCGAATCTTCAAAATGTCATCTGCTGCATATCATAACCCGTCTGAGCAGCACGCGTCTCACGGGTACCAGCCTCCGGACAACACACCATATTCTCAGCCTTATCACAACTATTCGTCCCTTCCAAGTCAATCATATGCAGACGTCCAAGGACCACTGCATTCACAAGCTTGTGCAGATCAATATGGAGTGTCTCCAGCTCCAACCGCAGACGCAACCTCAATAGCTTCTGGACGACCCAGTGAGACGAAGCCTGCCTCAGAGTCTCACGTCCTCCAAACTCCCTCCCTACACACAGACCTTGATTCTCTCGGGAAGACACATCTTTTATCTCAGCGCAACGACTTTTACCTTGACTGGGCTATCAAGATACTTGGCGTGGCCGCAGCGGTCACCTTCGGCATATGGGCACCTATATCATACAAGATCACAGCGGATGGGAACAATGGAAACGACAAGGCTCAAGCATCGCTAATGTCAGCAATCAGCTCAATGAGCGATGAGGCTGCCACTGCTGCAACTGCGCAAAAATCGGCCGTTACTGTGCTAGAAAAAGTACAGGATCAGCTGGAAAACCTCGGATTGCTACGTGCGTGGGAGTTCTGCGATGGAAGAACGGAAGCTGTTTGTATACAATTACAAGCTTCTTCGAAAGAAGTTCTCGATGCGTTGTCCAGTCTAGGCGGAATGACTCCCAAATTCTCCAGCACAGCCGCAACATCTACGTTCAGTGCGGGTGCGACGAGCACAAATGCTTCAGAAGAAGTTTCAGCTAGTATGAGGCTAAATAAAACAGCTCTTATGGCTGTTATACTCGGGTCAGTGTTTGGAGGTATCGTGATAATTGGGCTGGTCGTTGGGGTCATGGCAAAGCGTAGAAGAAACATGCAAAGTGGTCATTGAAACATGATTGGATTGGACTGGTTAGTACTTGTGATAGATAGATGATGTAATGAACAACGTAACACGGACATTTTCAATTATTGCGTGTACTGCGACGCGTCTCCACTTCAATGGCTTCGCTGAAGTGCGTGCATTTACAGGGAACATAGATCGAACAAGATTGCACCAACACCATGGATCTTGGAAATGAGGCATCTTCTGTCTGGACTCAAGGTTTCACGTCTGCGAAGTGAGGCGCATGTGCAAGTCACTGGGTAGCCATGGCATCCTCAGTTCATACCCCTGACTACATCCGGTAGGGCCAGTATCATACCATCCATCTGAAATAATGTCAGTCCCAAAAATACTGTTCTTAGGAAATCAATCTTCCTCATGCGAAAGATAGCAGTGTACTCGTAGCAAAGTCCCTCTCTTCCAAAGTCCAGGAACATAGCATCTCCGTTCTCACCGGATATGGACGCCATCACGTCACCTCGGAGTAAGGCATCACGGACCTCAGAGATACCTAGCGGGCCCGGTGAATAACCTCAAGGCTTGAGTGTCTCGGAAACCCCAGGTCTTTTCTCACGATATCGACTTTGTCTTAGATTGGGTGCTCGAAATGCTAGGAGTGGCATCTGCCATGTTGTTTGGTATCTGGGTACCTATATGTTACAAGACTGTATAAGATGGTAACGTAACGCAAGGAACGATCGGTCGCAAAGAGAAATCGCATCTCATTTCAGAACATGGATTGGAGATATTGTGGTGGCAATGATGAACGTTGGGCTACTTGTGAAACTTTGAGCTCACAGGGCAACGCTGATAAGATCATTACGGCTCTTCGCAGCTTGACTTGGACCAGAGGCGAAGTGACGGTGACAACACCGGCGCGAACAGCCCTGATCGGACCTGACGAATCCTCCAGCAATAGCATTATGGCCCCTAGGCTAGGCGCCATCTTTGATCTGGTCACAATCGTTGGACTAATTGTGGGGATTTGGGTGTTCAGAAAGAGTTATCGGCAAAGCGACGCACACTTCCAAGATCGGACTTGGGAAAATGGGTCAATGGTATGTAACAGCTTGTATATATACAAGTATGTAAGCGCCAACCCTCATTAAATACATCCCGGCTTGTGATGCAGCAGCATTGCTGTGCAGAGACTTGCGCCTGGATAAATTATCTTGACCATCACCACTTCTTGCGAAGGCTCCTGTCGTGAAGCAGGCGGCTGCCAAGCATGAACAGCGATCCAATGGTGATTGCAGTGCCCTGGTACTGGTCAGTAAGTGCTCAAAGTTCAAAAGCGGATAAACTCACTGAAAAGATGATCAACCACCAGTATCCGTCTCTGCTTTTCTCGTTGGTGATCAGTGCACTGCCAATCGGCGTTCCCACCAGACTGGCAATAGCGATCACACTGTAGAAAGCGCCGACGCGTGCACCCAGGTTCTCATCCGGGGTGATCTGGCCGACGACGGATGGCAATAGCGCAGTAAAGTTTCCGGTGCCGAAGCCGTAGAGACAAGCGAAGAGGACAGTGACAGCGAGTGAGTTGATGAGCAGCCACACAAAGATGCATATGCAGCCTGTGAACATGACCATGGGCCATAGAAGGTTGAGACGGCCCATGCGGTCACCGAGAAGCCCTCCACTGCAGCTGTTAGTCAAGGCTAAAAGGACATGAGTGAGAAGGACCCACAGGACTGCGCCCAAGATGCTGCAACTGTTCATCATAGGCAGAAAGTACTCGCTAATGCTCGGGTTGCTGTACGCGGCATTCGTATACATCTCTGGATTGTATTAGTATTATTCATTGCGTGAAACTCGGTCCGAGGCTCACTGATGTAGTACGATGGGATCCATTGCCCTAGCTGGGCGAAGAAGCCACCAATGCAGAGTACGGCGTAGCGTAGATCAAGGAAGCCCCGGAAGTCGATAAGTGCTCCGCAGTTCCTAGGTTGGTCCTTACCAGCAGGTCTGCTAGTCGAGATTGCAAGCGCAATGGAGTAGAGAATACTGCGAAGGTCAACTACTTGTGTGTCGCGATGCGAGGGCCCTACTTACGCGACCTTGAGCGCTGCTATGCGCAGCATCCACTGGAAACCAAGAACAGGTTCGAGACGCTCGAACATGAGCGGAAAGCCGATACCACCCAAAGCCGAGCCGGCAGCGACGAGACCCATAGCTACCGCTCGCCGTTGTTTGAAGTGCTGCCCGACCACGGTAAGTGCGGGCTGAGCTCCAAAGGCAGCTGCGAAGCCAACGAGCAGACCTTGAATCAGAAACACCTGCCAAAAGCGACCGTGTTGCGCGAAAGACAGAATGAGCAGACCGGCAGTGGTGCCGCTACCCGCGCCAATATAAAGCCACTATGCGAGGTCAACATCTCTTCTTACAGGGTTCAGTGGCGGCATTACGAACTCTTACGCCATATAAGTCACATAATGCTCCTGACACCGCGGCCAACGAGTTCATCAATGCTATCTGTAGCGTACCAATGAAAGCAATCGTCGATGTTGGTGTGTTCTGGAGGAATTGACTGCTGTAGTAGTTGTTGAAGAAGCCAAAGCTATTCAGAACCCCCATGGAGCAATAGTAGACCAGGATAGAACCGACCACGGTCAGCCACGCAGCCACACCGCCCTCGCGTTCTACTTTGATGACGCATGTTTCGGAATCAGCCGTGCTGTCTGAGGCTCGACGCTCACTGCTGTTGTGAAACTTTTCGGACATTGTACAGGCGGTATGACGAATATTGCGCTGGAGTGGAAGATGCAGCCCGCATTCCGGAAAGCGTCTTCCTTGTACATATACATGCCGCTCGGCTTCTCAGGGCAGGATGTGTACATCTACCACAACGGCGCTTGCTCAGGGTCCGTTGACAATGTGATGCCGCTATGTCATCTGAGATACGCCGGAAGGAAAGGAAGCAGTCGGCATCTTGCATACGATGGGGTTTGTCCCTGCCAGAGCCATGGATGTCATGTTCTTCCCTGACAACAGCCGACAATGCAACCATTCGGGGTAAAGATCGACGTGATTGCGGCAAGATATGTGAAGCTGTGCCCTGGAATGTAGACTTGTTCGTCTATGGTTCCTTCGTCCATAGGTTGGAAGGCTATACTTCGTCCGGATTAACGCCAAATTGTGACACAGCCTCGGGAAGCGCGTATATCTACAAAGCGGGTGTCTCCCGGAACCGGGAGGCCGGAAGTTTCGACAATTACTGCCAGCAGATTGTTTGAACAATCGATTCCATCTTGTGCGTCATTGTCGCAGGTTCGTTTGCGCGAGTGACGTTTGAGACGGCGCTGTCACGTTTTCCACTACCCTTGTGCCACATAAGTCGTGACAATCCTCCAAAAGCATCCGGTGGAAATGGAACTCGTCCTCGAGTTTGTTATGCAACCGGGCCGAATAGACGACCTGAATTCATTCCTTCACGTCATGCACCAATGACCTGCTGTTGGTGAACACCAGGCTCAAATGTACATTCCAAAAGTAGAGACGTGTGCGCGGAAGGGCGGACAGATTCCGATGGGGAAAGAGAGAGAGTGATCAAGCTCGAACTGGTCAGTCTGATGCGGACAATATCTCCTGGACAACGTACAAGCATATGACAACATGCTGTAGAGTCAGAACGCCCTCTTCAATGTGCAGGATTACTTGATCTCTTTTGTGACATTTTTTGCAGTTGTGCAGCTTCCGTCTGTTTTTGTCATTGAATACCCTCTGCGGGTGCTTGCGAATCGAAAGCTTCAAACCAAAAGCCTGGTGGCGACGTAGATTCCACTACGTTCGTAACTAGATGTAGTTAATATTCGTCTCTGACGTGATATGAATGGAGTTCAACGTACTGTAGCGCAACGTGCCACCTGGTGGAGCAGCGTCGGGGGCTGGAGAAGCGGCGCCATCGCGGCTATAGGTTTCCATAGAGGATCTGTCTGCCGTCATCCTTTCAACCAGCTGATCTCTCGCGTGTAGCAAGAGCCTTTTCGCTTTTGATACCCTTCCAGAGACGCGCCTCATCGTCTTTTCCACCGCGCTTGGACATCAATATCTCATCGGACAAGTCATCCCGCCACTGCATATCGTATACGTTTTTGGCAGATTGGTCTCGGTTGTAGGAATTGGATCCTGTCGTAGCTGGTACATTTGGTTCGCTATTATTTGATGGCTCATTCTCGGAATTATGGCTGCGAAAATGGGAGCCGAGCAAACCAGGGAGGTAGCGAGCGAAGAATAGCTTCGGCGCAGGAGCGCACGCGCAAATGATGGCCGCATTGACTTCTGCAAAGCACCACTCGAATTGTTCAACAGCATCCCAAGTGTAGTCTTTAGATATCATCAGGGGTTCCAGGAGGGTGGTAAGTCGGATTGCTACTGCGCAAACACTGTTGAGTCAGCATATGGACAGATGGGATTGTGAGCTGCCTTACAAGCTACCAGTTGCGAAGATAGCGCAGACACTGATCTTTTGTATTCTCGGCATCTGAAATCTTTCTGTTACCGTTATAGGCAAGACAAGAGTAAATACATCGATGATGATGTTAAGAATTGAGAGGGCCATGTACTTCGTCAACTGGTCCATACAAGTGGCTGATGAAATAAGCCGTAGATCCCAGCTAGCCGCCAGTGGCCTGCAGCCGAAGATTCTGACGAGGTCGTAGATTGTCGCTTAGACTACGACAGTGATCGCGAGAATGTAGACCAAGATGCGGAACCAAGTCCGTGGAGATAAGCGTAGATAAAACAGCAGTATAGAGAGCTTTGTGAAGGCGAGACTTGTGGTATACATAATTGTACCAACGAGTATCCACTGATGGTCTGGTTAAAGCAACAGGGGCCAAATTCGCAGAACGTGGCTTACTATTTGAAAAGGTGACATGAAAGTTTCGGCCTTCACCTCCCACATATGGTAACCCAGACCAGCAGTCATACCTACAAGAGAATTAGCTTTGAAAGGCGCAGAAGACAGCAAGCTCACGCGGAAAATTACATACAAGCAAAACGAGGCTGAAGAGCATGGCACAAGTAACCATATCTGCAAGAAGTCAGTTGATTGCAGGACATTGAGGATGAGTCCGGCCTACAGTCATCAAAATTGATGCCATTCTTCGTGACATGCGATCGAGTAAATATGCGTAAGACGATAGCTACAAAGGCAAGGATGGTTGTTGAGACGCCAACAGCGATGAGTTCCTTGTGGATGTTGGGAGTATTAATCGTGTGTCTGATCTGACCAATTGGCGGCTCCGTCATATAGATGTTAGAGGAGCTCATGATTTTTCGGATGCAATGCGATCAAAGGACACCTCGAGGTGCAAGCTGAAGCAGCGCAGCCTGGAGCCTTTGAGGTTGGAAGGAAGAGACACGAGTTGACGACGTACGAGCCTCCGTTATCAGATATTGAATCGACTGTCGAGGGGCTGCTGTGCCTCCTCGTTGCATTGATCATATGGATGTTTGAGGGAAGCTGATCAAGTGAGTGGCTGGGTTGTTGATCCACATCAACCGTAGCAAGGATCTGCAAGGTTGATTCGATCGAGAGTCGTGGCTGCTACGAGGCGAGTTTGTGCTCACTTGTGTCCATTTCTCTGATCTGATGCAGGTTCCGTTAAGCGAATCTTTGTAAATGGAACAACGATGAATCGTTCAGATGGGCTCAAGTCTGTTCGTGCACTTGAACAGTTACACTACGGGTAGAGTGAAGCAGACGGCACGGAATCTTCCGCTGTGCCTTCGACAAGGCTCCGAGGTTGACGTTAACTGCACGCGACAGATATGGAGAAACCCTGTTCTACTTTTGGAGGTTGTCGAGAAAGGCACCGGCACAGGGTCGTTCGTATGGTAGTATGTTCTGAGCCGTTGCGCCCCACAAAAGGATGCGGCGTAGCATTACTACTGTTCGCGAGCTGCAGCTGTATCGCACCGTCGGCATTGGGCACGTAAGAAATTGTCGCCGGTACTCACAGCTTTGTAGAACAAACGTCTCGATTTCCATGACTCATGATCTGATGCCAGTCTCCAGCGGCCGTACACGCTAAAGGGTTTGCATACAAGACGATTGGCCCCTATCGAGTGATCCGTTCCGGTCGATGATCCTCCAAATCTGTTCCTTCTTGGGAAGCCAACATTGGCGACGCACGCACGGGTTGAGATGCAGGACTCGAGTCGTGGCCCTGTTCTACGGCCGTGTCGGACTCTAGCATGTGTTGTCAACAGCCAGCTATATGAAACCAACGGCACCTGCTCCGTCTCACTGATACTATTCACACCTTGAAGGCCTGTGCAAGTCAACATTATAGGAATATGCCTGCAGCGTTACCGTATGCGGTCAATCCGCTTCCTTTCGCTGGTAAGGTCATCAGCATCACTGGAGCCAGTCGAGGCTTGGGTTTAGCACTTAGCAAGTACTTGCTCATCCGCGGTGCGACGGTGTCCATGTGTGCGACTTCGGCAGACAACTTGTCGAAGGCTGCGAAAGAGATAGACGAAGAACTTCCAGACGCCAAGGATCGGTACTGGACATGCGTCGCAGACATCGCCGATCTGGACAGTGTGCATTCCTGGATCGAGCAGACTGTGGCGAAGTTTGGAAAGCCCGATGGTTGCGCAAACGTTGCCGGTGAGCCTGTTGGGAGATCTTTTTCTTGCTACATTGCCGACGCTTGTGTAGCTGTGGAGCAGCGCGAGATCTTCCCCTTCGTCGACCTCGACCCTGAGTACTTCGCTAGAGTGGTCAATGTCAACGTGATTGGCACTTTCCATTGCCTGAAGGAGGAAATGAAGGTCATCAAAGACGGCGGCTCCGTCGTGAACGCCGGAAGTATTGCCAGCCAATACGCGTCGCAAGGGGTATCAGCCTATGTCGCTGCCAAGCATGCCCTCGTTGGCCTGACCAAGGTCGCCGCCTTCGAAGGAGCGCCGAGGGGAGTGCGCGTGAATGCTTTGTGCCCGTAAGTACACTACAAAACGCGCGACAAGACGTGACTGATTGCAAGCAGGGGCTGCTTTAACACAGCGATGATGGAGAAGCCCTGAAACTCGCCAACCGGCGAGTTTCACCTGAACAAGGACAACATCCCCTGTATCCTAAGGCGAGAGCTTCCGGAAGCGTGGGAAATTGCGGCCTCGGTCGCTTTCCTGCTCGGCAAAGAGAGCGCGCACGTGACGAAAGCATCGTGGGCAGTTGATGGCGGATGGGTCGAAGGCAACTACAGTTCGGGATGAAAAAGGCCGCCAATCCAGATGCCTGCGGAGCACCTACCATGAGGCTCCTTTGAGGCTGAAAGATACGGCAGGGAAGAGCGCCACCACCAACGCTCGCAATCGTCGAATTCCAAAAAAACCTGCCTGGCATTCTGCCTGGCATTCTGCCAAGATTTAAATGCCGGTGCAAAGCTCAAGTCCTCGAAACCCAAGCATTGCCCATCAAACAAGCAGTGCATCCAGCTCCCAGTGACCAGGTGGTTGGCATCCGAACCGTGGTTTCATTCTCGGTTGCAGCTGCTCCGCTCGGGTCATTCCGCTCAGCCACAATGCCGACTGCAGGTTAACGGTAGGTATGATGATTACATGCAAACAGTAAACACGTTCGGTCCCAACAAGAACAGAAGCTGCTTGCAAGGGGCCCACCGTCAAAGACGTTGATGCAACATGCGCTAAGCGTTGTAGGATACTTACACAGCATTGGGAGGCCGAAAGCAGCGAGAAAGGGAGCACGATCCCGCCAAGTGCCGAGAGCAATAAACTTTACGAGTCGCAAAATCTGATTGTGTAGGCATCGAGGCGTCGCTGGTCTTGGTGTGCTTTGTACGCTCGGGGGGGAGCATCGTGATGGACTAAAAGCGGGCTGAGATCATGATAGACGTTGAACTTGAAAGTTGGTTTCTACAGAAGCGTAGGCACCATGTAAGCTTTCGATGATGAAAGCCCCGGCTTCGCCATGCGGCTTTTGTGCAATGAGAGACGCTGGCCGCTCTTAGCTTGGTGTTCATTCGTATCATCCTATTCGTGGCTACTGCAGGTGTCGCGAGTGAAGGTCTAGCCAATGAAAGCGTTTGCGTGTCACTTTGCTCAGTCACTCGCAACACGCCGAACACGGTCTAATATCCCGAATTAGCATGGCTCAGCCCTGTCCTCGGTCCGTCGCCTCTGCGCCGTTCATCCACTTCGCAGATAGGCTCCCGGAAAGGGTACGCGTATCTCTTGTCAGTTCCTTGCTCATGTCCCCTCACAGATCCTGTTCTCTCTCCTCATAAGTGTCGCCTGTCACCTGTCACCTCCGCCTCATGCCGCAGTCCCTACCGAATATACTCGCACGCAGTCCCAAGATGGGCGCGTTATCGAGGTAAGGATCGGCCCCAGCATCCCGCCCACGGTCCCTCGGTCTGCGGTCTGCGGTCTGCGAGCTCCCAACTGATCAGCACTGTGCAGACCCATCGTAGCTGCGATTTCAATAGTCACAGCGTTGATAGTCCTCTTCAAATTCTTCGGCGACGTACCAGTCGACTACTACAGAAACTACTCGCCCGGGGAGCCAATATTACCGGCGACAACGAAAAGCGATAAGCCTCAGCCTGGCTACTTCAAGGCACAACCAGAGTGGGATTGGAAGGTGCCAGACTATGCCGGCTGGAACGGCTATGCACGCGCTCCCCGCAACCGCGACATCGTGGTGTTGACTGCGAGCGACGGTGGAGGCCACAACAGCGCCATCCCCAATATACTCGAGCGCGTACTCGACGACCGCAAGAAGTACTGTGCAAGGCATGGCTACACACATCTGTGGCTCAACACTAGTCGTTATGATGTTGGCGATGCACACAGAGTAAGCCGAAGGACCTTACAAATTACTCAATTAGGCAGTGTGCTTACATTAATCTCCACAGACCTGGTCCAAGATCCCTGCCGTCGCCGAAGCCTTCTCTCTCAATCCAACCGCCGAATGGGTCTGGCTCATCGATACCGACATCGTCATCATGGAACCAGACTACGATTTGGTAAAGGAGGTTGTTGGTCCTGAGGCCATCAAGCGCGGCCTGATGCGCGACACACCCATCCTGGACGGCCAGCTCAAGAACCACCCCACGAACATCAACACGCCGAAGGACTTTCGCGTCGAGGACATCGATATCCTGATCACGCAGGATCACCAGAGCGTCAACACTGGCAGCACCTTCTTCCGCCGCTCTGCGTTCACTCGCTGGACCCTCGAAATGATGACCGACTACACCATGCTCATGGGCCAGGACCACGCCGGCGCAGAGCAGGATGCCATCAAGCACCTCATGCTCGAGCATCAGCTCATGCGCAACCACATCGGCATCTACCCTCAGCGCAAGTTCAACGCCTACGTCCAGGGCGGCTCCAACATGGGCTACCGTGACGGCGACCTTCTCGTGCACTTCGCAGGCTGCTGGGTAGACGGCAATTGCCAATCCTGGTTCGAGGAGTTCTGGGGCAAGAAAGGACACAAGGATGTGTGGAGGCCCTCGACCAAGGACTCCTGAGGATAGATTACCATACACGACCATTTGCGGCATTTAGCGAGCACACCCACGAACGAGCGAACGGCATTCCTTATCGATGACACAAGCATACCTACGACCTTTCCCTTCGCCCAATGCTGCGTATTCGGGCACCATCGAGCGAGCCTACGTTCCGTTCCCTGTGCATATACCCTGGCGGTTATTTTCGAGCAAGTACGCAAGAGTAGAATCCGGCGTTTCTGGCGTAATCCAAGGCCACCGGCGTAAGGCCACGGCTGATTTAATTGCAGCACTGCATTTCTAGGCGGCGTTACAATTCAACAATATGAGCTTGCGTTCTGTCCACTTCGATGTCGTCCCGCGTACAATTTCACCCCTTGCTTTGCTTCGGTACACGGCAGCCTCAACGGTTTTGGCGGTGCCTGCGGGCGCAGAAGGATGATCGGATCCTTGCAGTCGGGTGTACGGTAGCCTTACCACCCTTGTGCAGATCGTGTTCAGGCGTCCAGCAATGCACTTACCGGTTGGGGCATGGGCCGAACCCAGTCTTGCTGTAGGAGACATTCAATCGACCCGTCAAAACAAAACGTTAAGATAAGGCTTGATTAGATATTTGTCGTGTGGCCGCCGACGTGTCAGTGGTTCGAGCTGGAAAGTAAGTAAAGACAAGCACGGATATCTGAAGGTCTGTGCACAGCGGCAACAGAAGGCAGAGCATACTTACAGCACTCCAGGTGCACAAGCGGCAGAGAAGCAGAGAGTCAGTAACCACTATTTCGACACCACCGAAGCATCCATACCCCCAACCCTCCCAGCATAGCAATACCTACACACAATCCTCGAAATCCCTCCTCAAGCCAGCATCATCACACATGACCATGACATAATTCGGCAAATCCAGCGCATCCTCGCCACCTCCCGTGTAAAACTTCTTACTCGCAACCACTATCTCCAACACCCGCGCGTCCCGCACGGCGTCGATCTGCAACCCCAGTGCTCGCGCATCCCTCGAGCCCGCAGGCACATCATCCACGGTCTCATACGGCAGCGAAGCGCAGCGGTGCCAGACCACAGCCCTGGATCGCAGCCCGGTCTCGGTAGCAGCAAACCTGGTGCGGCCGAAGGTGCGCCTCGTGCTCCTGACCGGCGCGGCATCACCCGCGTCGCGGTTGACGGTCGAGTGGAACATCTCCAGCCTGGCGGCCAGCGGCTCGATACTGGGGCGCTCGGGCTGCGCCTTGCGCGCGTGGTGCGGGAACAGCTGCTGTGCGGCGGGCGGGTAGTCTTTCCAGTCGGCCAGCACGGTGACCTCGAGGTTCTGCCTGTCGGCCAGGAGCGCGAGCAGCAGCGTCTCGATACGGGGCCGGAGGATGCCCGTCTCGGTGGGCAGCACGAGATGCAGGAACGCGCGGTCCTGGGTGCGGCTCCACGGCCCGCCGAGCGGGATATCGCTTTCGTTCTTGACGGGTCCCGAGTCCCACTCTGCGCGGGCGTAGCGGACGAGAAAGCCGTAGGCTTGGAGCTCGATGGCGTCGGGCTGCAGATCTTGTGCAATGCGTTTGTTGCAGGGAAGCGGGTAGGGCGCTGTGTCGTCGAGCTCGCGGATGAAGCGCGCGTTGAGGACGAGGAGAGCGCGCCAGTCTGGAGCTGAGATCCAGGCTGAGAGGGCGGCGGTGGAGTCCGACATGGCGTTCTGGTTTCGTGGATTTGGACGCTGCAAACAATAGGATATCGGGCATCCTGTAGATACTGCGTTTGCTCTCCCTACGCGTCTGGACGACAAGCAACTGCCTTACCAAGTAATGCGACGAGGTCATGTGTACGAAAGAGCAAGCTAGCAGTCGAAGATGCACATCAGTCATACACGTAGTGCAGAGCATCGAGGTACAGGTTGAGGCTGTTATTGGAGCCGGGTATTCCGAAAGCGTGCTTGCTGAGAAACGATATGGCTCGGTTCGGACCTGGTTAATTACGCAGAGAAGCTCTGTACAGATTGTTCAGTTGAGAGAGTATCAACGACTCACTTGATATGGGCTCTACAGACTAGATCGGTGCATGATCAAGAGCTGGACTTGCTCGTGTATATGCGATGCTACTGGTATCTCACGTCGCTCACAAAGGTACAAGTCCCAGCTAGGCACTCGGTGCAGAGGTTCTACTGTGCAACCTCTTGGCCGTCAACCTTTTGTCCCTTGATATTTTCACTACCCTTGAACTTGAACCTCTTCAATCCTCGTACACCAACATCGACCATGAAGCAGCTTCCAGCAAACTTGTCCACCGGCTTGCCGTCGTCTCCGCTTGGTCCACCACCGCCTGCGCTTGTGATGAACAGTTGTGTGCCAACGAAGCAGGGGCAGGTGATCTGACTTGTTGGAAGCCTGACCTCCGCAACGACCTCGCCCTGGGGCGATATCCTCAAAACACGTCCTCCATCGTGCAGGGCTGTCCACATGTATCCCTCCTCGTCGATGCAGTGGCCATCTGGGACTGCGTTCTCGCCGTACTTGTTGTCCTTGGGCATTGTGAAGAAGGGGCGCCTGTTCGTAACGGAGCCGGTCTTGGGATCGAAGTCGAATTGGTAGATGATCTTATCGGGGCTGTCGGCGAAGAACATGGTGTCGTCCTTCTGGTTCCATGTCGTACCGTTGGGGATGCAGATGTCGCGGAGAGGGCGGTCGAGGGACCCATCAGGGTTCAGACGGAAGACCGCGCCTGTAGACACATCAGCAGCGATCCCCACTTGTGTAAGAGGTAAGCAATTGAACGTACCGTCAGACCTCATCTCCTCGACCAGCGGGTCAAACATGAAGCCAGCCCAGAAGCGACCTTGCGAATCGACAGCACCATCGTTGCCGCGGAACTTCTCGTGCTTCTTCACCTTGATCTCATCCTCTGACCAGACCTTTTGAACCCATCTGTAGTCGCCTGTCTTCTTGTTTGCGATGCCGTAGCCGTACTTGCCGCCGAAGATGAACTCCTTGTCGTTGCCCTCGATGTCTGCTGTGCAGCTGTACGTTATCAGCTTATTGTCATGAACAGCCTGTCCAGTCGGCAGATCCTGTATGGAGATTGAGAACCGACCCCATGGAGATATCGAGCTTCTTGATCAGCTTGTGGCTTGAAGGCCCCTTGTTGATGTCGACGCGGTGCAGCTCCTGCTTCTCGACATCGAGGAAGCGGAGTGTGTTTGTCTCCTCTTCCCAGAAGGGCCCTTCACCGAGCGAGCAATTGATCTCGATGTAAGGCTGAGAACATGTTAGCGATTTCAGGGACTTCTTTCCAATTGCGCTGTTCTTCGGTGTGTTGTTGCTACCCAGCCTGGTTGCAATGACCGTAGCGGGGCACAGCAGAGCTACCCCTCCATCCTCCACTCTTAATGTTTGGACAAAAGTTTGGGCTTACCTTTGTTACTTCGTACACTTTGTATTCAGGCATTGTGGGCAACTGTTTTGAGGTCGAAGATTCGTTGCAGTGCTTGTAAGTAAGTGTGTGGTGATCAGAAGACAGACTCGAGTTCCCGCAATTCTTGTCTCGAGGGAGGAAGTTCCACCTTTTGTTGATGGCGTATGCTCCCACTTTCCGAATGACGTGCCGACGAGCCGCCGACGCGGTAGCTTTGATACCGAACGTGAAGAGGTTTCATAACATTTTGCTCCAGTTTCGGGTTTATCGGGACGTCGAGCACCAGGTGAACGGCCAAAGTAGCATGGGAATCTACATGTGCCTATAGCAGTGCACGTGCATACGCAAGCTTTCATGCGCACGGAAGGCAGCTGCTGTGACACTGGCATCTGGCAGAAGTCGACGGTTGGGCGGTCCGTACAGCCCGTGCTCGATTTGTTCGAGGTTCGACATTCGAGGTTCGACCGTCGACATTCGAAATTGGAAATTCGACGGAGCAGACATCAAGGGGCCGTTGCATGAAGGGCTGTTAAGGTTTGTACAGTATTCGTATTGGCAATACTAGAATGCGTGCTGATATTCAAGATGCAACATGGGTATCTTTCCTGCTTCAACTACCCGCTCATGCGGCGACCTCTTTCTGCCTTCGTGCCTCGTCTTCTTCTGGCGTCCGAGTAGTGAGCTGTAGTGCGTGAATGCCACCTTCTTGAGCAATCTCGTCCTTCATGAGAGAGTTCACCATGCGATGGCGTGCTAGTTGGGGCTTGCCCTTGAAGGCTGTGGATGTGATGACGAGACTGGGGTTGTTAGTAACTGGGTCGGTCTTGGAACTCGGAGATGGAAGGAGCAAGCATACCGGAAATGCGTCTATAGCCTGAAGTCAGTCACAATTCAAAGTCATGTGATGATTAAACATACCTCTCGGCTTGTGACACCCTCCATAGCTTTGTGATGTGCGTGCTTGTGAGAGTCGTTGTAGATTTCAAAACTGGTCGGCTTCAATGCATCTCCAATCTGCCTGCCAGTTAGTTTTGATATACGGAATCTGGGGAATCTGGAGTAGCCGGCGCCAGTCCGAGGTCGTGACTTCCCTTGGCCCGCAGAGCGTCCTCCATTGGGGTCATGGACTGGGTCATGGCTGACATAAACCGAGTGCCGGTCTGGACTGACCGTCGAAGGAACATCAAATGTATGTCTGCGTCAGAAGAGGCTCAACTGCACAGCCAATAAGAGCGGCGATGGTGGCGATGCAGATTTGGTGTTGAGCTCGGAGCTCCGGGGGCCAAATCTGAGGACCGAGGATGCGCCAAGCGGTGTGCTTCGGGAGCGCGTCACCGATGCTGACTCCTGAGGCGCTCAGCTGCAGAGCAATTGAGGGGAGGCACGGCGCCAGAACGACCGAAAGCACGCGCTATAAGCTACAGAATGCTGCTGAAAGTGCACAGCAGTGAATAATGGGTGCCAATGCCAACAAGCAGGTCGACGGGCAGATGATGACTGTTCAGACCGCTTCTCTACCCCGGCAAAGGCCCGTCACTGCACCCCCACACAACTGCCGCTGTCCGAAGCCTTGCATCTGGAGTCGAATGCGCTGATCCTGGGCGCTGCCGTTGCCATGTGGGCGCGCAATTTCCTCTCCCGCACGCTTCCCAGGCACACGACAGCCTCCGTAATCCCGTGCCCCCGTCCCGTCGCTACCACTGTCAGAATGGCGTCGACGCTCCCTCGCCTGCCCATCTTCGAGGCCCTCAAGAAGCACGACGCCCAGCGCACCGCCGTTGTCCACTCGCTATCCGGGCGGCGCTTCACCTACGGCGAGCTGGTCAACGATGTCGCCGCGGCCAAGGACAAGCTGCAGCGCAACACAGGCGGCCGGAGCGCAGAGGGTGCGCGCATTGCGTTCCTGGTGGAGAATGGCTATGATTATGTAGGTGCGCATCCCATAGGCCCCATTTTCTGAGCATTGCCTCCAAGACAGCCATTGACTGCCGGATAGTGACGCTGCTGTCCATTCTGGCCGCCCATGCCGTCGCCGTGCCGCTGTCGCCCACGTTCCCCGCCCATGAGCTGCGCTACATCATCGACCAGAGCGAGTCGCTGATGCTCCTCTCGTCGGACAAGTTCCAGGACAAGGCGGACGAGGTGCTGCGGGAGGGCATGGAGACCAGCCCGATCAACTGGAAGCGGGAGAAGATCATGATGGGCAAGACAGACGACTACGTCACCCTGGAAGAGCCGACGAGCGCCGAGGGCGGCATGATGCTGTACACTTCCGGCACCACGAGCCGGCCCAAAGGCGTTATGCTGCCCCAGGATGTGCTGGCCGCGCAGTCTCAGTCGCTGCTGAAGGCCTGGAACTACACGCCCGACCATGTGCTGTTGCACGTGCTTCCGCTGCACCACATTCACGGCACAGTCAACGCGCTGCTCACACCGCTCCTCGCCGGCAGCACCATCGAGTTCCAGTTCCCCTTTAATGCACAGGCAGCCTGGGAACGCCTTGCCGCGCCCTTCCTGCCGAGCCCAGACCCAGCGAAGAAGCCCATCACCTTCCTCACCGTAGTTCCTACCATCTACACACGCCTCCTCTCCTCGCACGCCAGCTTGACCCCTGAGCTCCAAGCAGCGACGAAGACCGCCCTGCATCCCTCGAATCTGCGACTGAACATATCTGGCTCAGCAGCTCTCCCCACACCAGTGAAATCAGCATGGTCGGAGCTTAGCGGCGGCAACGTTTTGCTTGAGAGATACGGAATGACAGAGGTGGGCATGGCACTATCTTGCGGTCTCGACTTTGCAGACCGAGTGGACGGCTCAGTCGGCTGGCCACTGCCCTCAGTGCAAGCCCGTCTTGTAGATACAGACACGGGCGAAGTCATCCAGGAAGGAGAAGAAATCGACCCATCGACCGGTCGCGAACGCCACGGCGAGATCCAGCTTCGCGGCCCAACCATCTTCCGCGAATACTGGAAGAACCCCACCGCAACGGCAAAGGAATTCGTCGAAGACGCAGACGGCCAGGGCAAATGGTTTAAGACTGGCGACGTCGCGATCCGCAAGACCGTGTCCGGCGCAGGCAAGAGCTTACAAGACTGGGCCAAAGGACCGCTGTACTTCATCCAAGGCCGCAAATCCGCCGACATTATCAAAACGGGCGGCGAGAAGGTCTCCGCCCTCGAAATCGAGCGCGAAATGCTCTCTCTGCCCTACATCTCTGAAGTCGCCGTCGTCGGGCTACCAAGCGAAGCCTGGGGTCAGAAGGTCGCAGCTGTTGTCGTGCTGTCTGAGCAGGGCAAGACAGCGGGCAGAGCCGGCAAAGCGTGGTCGGCACTCGATATGAGGCGCGCGCTGAAGGACGTCCTTGCCAATTACAAGATCCCGCAGGAGATGAAGGTCGTTGACAGCATCCCGCGGAATGCGATGGGCAAGATCAATAAAAAGCAGCTCGTCATCCAGATCTGGGGCGAGCTGCTCGACGCACCGCCAGCGGCAAAGCAAAATGGCGCTGTGCAAGTACCGAACGGAAGTGTATAAGCTGTATAGCACTGTAGCAACTGTACATAGAAATCCATCGCGCATCGCGCATTATCAATTTCACGACCTGCAAAGCCACAGCGCTGCCCGTCAATCCCACCCCTTCCTCGCACCACCACATCACGTCTACTCCCCCACACACACTCCTCCAAGCGCCCCAACCGGCCTCCGCACAATCCCCCTAAACCCGACCCCCGTGTACGCAACAATGACATGCGCCACGGCGCTTTCGCACTCAAGCTTTCGTACAGACTTGGATGTTCGCGGCGCGGCAACCCCGCGGCTGGGGCCTTGGGAAACGTCAGAGGTGCGAGGGTGTGAAGATCGCTGCTTGGTGATATGACGTATGCGCGTTTTGGACTGCGGCTGTTGTGTGGTTCGATGTTAGCTCCTTTCCCAAACGGGCCAACGCGTATGGTCACGCTCGAGCAATCTCACCTATACAAACGACCACTTTTCGGAACTCTCTGGCGGCGTACGAAATACGCCTACGAAGTTCTCGACCATGGCCACTAACATGGCACCCCCGCCTCGTCCCCTCAACAACAGTGAGCTCGTCTGGGAAAGCACATATCATTAGCTCTGCGACCTATACGCATCAGGTAAACGCGACGAGAGGCTTGGCCTTGCGTGGGAGTGCTACCAGGACCCAGCGTACTGATTGTTCTTCGCACTACCTGCTGCGTTATGCTTGGCACAGCAGATGGCGACTACCTGATGTTTGCTCAGGAGGGCGTTGAATTCGCCAAGTTAATGGTGGTATGCCAATCATCACAACACGTTGTTAGTGATACTAAAATTCCACAAAACGCTCATCCGGACAACCTCAGGCTGCACAGAATCCTCGGAAAAGCCCACGAAGTGCTCGACCTGGCTGAGCAAGACAGCGAAGCAGATCACAAGGAGGCTGTAGCCGACGCTGACAGTGCTGACGCTGAAGCTGCCGCGGCTACTTCTTCCGCCGACACCGTCTCCAACGGAAGAACTTGAGGTTAACAGTGATCTGCTGGATAGTCAGTACTCAGAGCAGCTGAAGGGCAACTGGGAAGCGTCGAGCATGGTTTCTGAGTGTAAGTAGCTTTTGAAAGCGTTGGAGCAATGCTAACGGGTCGACAGTCGGCTACCAGACTAAAGACTCTGACGATACCGACACAGAAAGAAAGACCTAGGCTTGGGCTGCCTGATCGAGCTTTGACGACGGACGTTGATCGTTTTGATACCCCGAGAGGGCCGGTTCGACGTGCTTCAACAGCTCAAGTCTAGATGTACAGACGTCAGTGGTGTTGGCAGCTGGGTTATGGGCGTTGTCGTGCGGAGCTGAGGTATTGTTGGGTGATGGTCTTATATTCAGCAGAAGAAATGGCATCTACCTCTAAATTTTATATACTTGGGAGGCCCTTAGTAGAAGAATTCAGACCAGAGAGCTGCCAACTTGTTTAAACACAAAATATTTACAACGCGGCGTCGGCTTCCTCCTGCGCTCTAGGAGGTTAGTCATCTCTTGCTTTGTGGATTCTTGTAGCTCTTGCGTAGGCTTATGATCTAGCAATACAGTGACGTTTTCCAAGCCCCTGGCTGCGGGGTGCGCAGCCATTCGACAGATGGGAAGGACTGCTTGGGCTTGATGTCTTGTCTTCGGGCATCTTTGAACATTGTGAGACTTGGTGTGAATGATCAGCCTTGTTTGACGACGTCGAGTCGGTAGGATACGATGAGCACTTGAATCGTGGGAGCATGGTCGGAAAACAGACGGACCGCATGTCACGATGCAAGGCGAGGTGTAGTTGTAGTAAATAGTATTAATGGCGTACATAGCAGCTCATATTCAATGTCAGTGTGTAAGCAATATTATAGTCCATCGTCGTCGGGGGTATCCAAATGATCAACTTCCGTATCCATCAGTCGTAAATATGAGACTGATTCATTATTCTGCCTCCCCAGTCAATCGGCGGCGATGGAGGATGCGAAGCATAGTTCGCTTAAGCGGCGCGGTGGGCAGAGTTGTCGACCTTCTCACGACGCTCGCGGCCCTTGTCGGACCAGGGGAAGTGAGCTACGGGGATAACGAAGAAGCTGGAGGGTGTTAATACGTGCGTACGTGAAGATGATGGGAATGACTGACCTGTTTGAGCTGTCGGCAAGACCGGCAAGGGCATTATACCAGGCAAGAAACGCGGCCATGAGGCCAAAGGCACCACCAGCAATTATACATTGCTCCTGAGGGTGTACGCCATTGTTGTTAAGGTAGCCGATACCAAGCAGAAGGAATGCTAAATCAAGCGTGAAGAAGAGCGAGAAGAATGCCACAGTGGAGCGCAGGGTGCAAAGCAGGAGAATCGTGGTAAAACAAAACCATCCCATCAGGTACAGGCCGAAGGAGTTGAGAAAAGTAGCCTCGCTGATCTTAGCAAGACCGGTCTCGATCGCGAAACCGCCGGGGGTCAGAATGATGGCGAATGACAACCAGAAACCTCCGTAGGACGAGAGAGCGGTGGCACCAAAGGTGTTACCGACGGCCATCTCCCTGGACGATGTAAGATTGGATTCATATAGAGAGGATAGATGATACACACCACATACCAGCGAGAAGCTGGACGAGGCCTCCATAGCCGTAGGCGAGAGCAACAACAATACTGGGCGAGCCAATGCTTCGTGTATTGACGTTGATCAACGACAAGACGAAGGTGGTGAGAGCAAAAGCTGAGAGACCGAGAGGAGCAGGGTTGGCGAACTTGTGGCTCGGTGGGCGGTATAGTCCGGGCTGGAATTCACCACCGAAGGCAGCAAGGCGGAGCTCGGGGTCGTTGGTAGCAACGTGTGCGAGGGGATTACCACCATAATCGTATGGCCTCCTCTGCGCAGCACCGTTGCTGCCGTTTTGTGCATAGTCGACACCATTGGTCTCCTTGTCAACGCTGGGGCCGCGCTGAGCGCAGTCAGTTACGAGCTCATGGACGAGAGTGTCTACCGTGGGGCTCCGCGACCAGACTTACTTGGACGTTGTGTTCATGTGCTGTTGCCATTGTGACTGCTCGAGACTGTTCCTGCTGAGAAAGGTCAAGTCGGAGAGTGGTTGGAGGAGTCTGGGGAAGAGGACGAATCTGGGGAAGGCAGTTCATTTATTTGCAAACAGACCATGCAGGGAGCTTTGGTAAACGACGTATGCCATGGGCCGTCTGCTCCGTCTCGAATCTAGTCCGATGCTAAGGGGAGGTAATTGGCTGCATCAGGTGCTAAAGCGGCCCACTCAAATCATTTCCCCATACGCTGTCTCCAGACCGGGTGAAAGAGCAGCGTGGGCCCACTGACAGCCATCAATCGAACCGGCGAAGCACGGACAGCCCAAGGGTAGCGGATCGTCGCACATGGAGAGAGGCTTACCGAGGTCGGGTGAGCGCCGAATGTTAGAAATCCAGATGGAAGACCAACAGCCGATCGCTCCGAGTCTCGATGTCAGGAGAGCAGCACACTGCGATGACGCAAAGAGATGGGCGCTGTCCAGACTCAAGCTTGCCAAACTTACATCATCGTGACTCGTGGGAGTTTGACCTCCGAACCACCATGGAAGCAATACTGTCAGCAATTTCCCTCACACTTGCAGCGCGCTTTGGCTTTTGTCTTGCAAGCGTAGTCGCGCAAACCATGTCGCTATCGCAACATTGCCTTGCAAGGGCTAGTCGCGAATCCTTACACAGATGTTCCGGCAAAGCAAAGTGCGAGGTAGACCTTGATCCCGCCAAATGAGCATCGTGGAAAATTTCCCACTCCGAGCCGTCCATGCACTGGAATACTGGATACTACGGCCTTGGAGGTTCACTTCGGATAGACATGTTGAAGCAACAGCGCACAGCCTGATGAGTTTCTGTGTGTAAGCTGTCTGCCGGGAATGTCGGAAAACTTCAAAGCCAAGACAGACGGGCATACCCCGAACGGGTGATTTGATGACGGCATGCATGGTTGTTGTGCGCACGAGTCCAGGGTGTCGGCGGTTAAGCTTTGTGCAAGACTCTCGGCAACAGCCACAGGCGTCGCATTGAAAGCGTGACATGACATCAAGCGTCGTTTTGCGCAGCGTTTGCGCCGTCGCAGAGTCGACACAATGAATTCAAAAATCTTTTGCAAATCTCGGCTTTTGCGCTGCAATTAGCGTCAAATCTCAGAGCCACTGGAACGAAGTGGGAACAAGCGGTCCTGCTTTCGTGGGTCATCCTGGGATCCACATTGCTCCACCTGGAGAGGGTCTGAAATCTCACCACTCACACCAGATATACCTTGCTCGGGCCAACGGGACCAGCTGTCAGGCCATTTCAATTCTTCCGCCGCCGACCCAGTCAACCCCGTGCGCGGCCGTGTCAAGTTTGACATCGCGAGAGTCGCTGTGGGTTTACTGTGGGTCACGGCGGATGCGTTCAATAGTCCTCAGCAACTCCAACACCGGTTAACAATCGCTGGTGGATGTTACTGTTGAGTGTCTCATTGAGCACCTGTAAGCATTACCATGCTTCAAGTTGTATTTCCATTTCTGCACGCTACCGTCGCATCAGGTAATGACCGTGGCTTTTATCCAAGCTCGTGAAGCCGTGGAGAGATTGCTGTGGCATTGCTTGGGTGACTTTGTTCTACTCAAAACGCCATTGCGACTTCCAATGTTCTGAAAACAGCACCTAGAAGACAATGGCGCGCGTCTCGCCGCATACCAGCCTGATTCGACCAGAGATCCGTATGCCCGATGATCAGGCTGTTGGTTGGATATCTCCGCGAATGTGTGGGGACAAAGAAGGCGGGGTCTCCGCGTTGACCCTGCGTGACACCGTTTCCACGGCTATGGAGATCAATTCAGGACCGGGTCTGCTAGGTCACAAGGCTCGAGGATGGATTGATCCACCCGATTCCGGAGGGTTGACAATTTGGCATCACTCAGCTGCGTTCTTCTCATGACATGTCAGGTGACGTCGGCTTCGTGGAAACCAACGAGGCTCCAGAAGACCTGGTTTAGACAGCCACAACGGCCACAACGTGGTGCGGCTCTCAAATAATGCCCCGTAAATCCTGCCGAGGTTTCTCTTGCAGCTGGATCGTGTAGTAAGAGGTCAGCCATTGCCAAAAAGTGGCGTGACTGGACCCTTTGTTCACACACATGTGGCGCATTATCTGTCAGCAGTCGGCTTCGATTGCCAGTCAGTACCTCTCGTCCTCTTGCAACTGCTCTGCATCTTTCGACATACCTTGCGACACTTACGATAGATTCATGGTGTTGGTCACCAGGTATAAAGGTATATCTCGAGCTCGACCTCGCTCGCCCAATTAGGATGCGGGGCTGCGCCTCCCGTCCTATCCCGTGAACAGCTTCCAAGAGCTCTGCACTGCCTTGATTCAGGCCACCCTCAGGCAACAAAGAACACTTGTTGTGCTCATTTTATCACTGTCGGTCCACTCTGCACTGACTACAGCTTCTCACTCCACTCGCATTGCCCGAAACACATTAGCACACTCATTGTACCTGCCCAGCATGACGGGCCATAGCTTCACCGCCGAGTCGGACCTTGCGAGCCACCGATACTTCGAGCACTCGTCTGGCAAGCGCATCGATACCGAAGTCGTGCTCATCGAAGCTCTACGCTCACAGTACCCCAAGCTTGAGCTCATTGTCACCCCGGCCAATCGCGTTTCCCTCCTCGCCTATGCCGCTGCCGGCTTCGCAACGGCGACACCGCTCGAAGATGGTGTCAAAGACCCGGTATACGGCATTGGCTTGAGGAAGCACATGTATGTACCACCTGCAAGGAGGCTTGATGGCGGTGGTGGGTTCATGGTCGATGCACTTTCGTTTGGCAAGTTCATGTACAAGTGGAAAGACCAGGACGCCATCTTGTACCTCGCCGAAGGCCGGGATGGCTCGAGTTCCTACCCAGTAACCACCAACTACTACATCCTCACGAGTAACCCCCACAAGGTCGATGAGTTGATCAGAGATGCTACGATCTGGGGTCAGGTTCTGCACAACGAGGTGTGGGTCTTTGACCAAGGTTGGTGGCAGAAGAGCGCTCAGCTGTGGGAAGCGGTGCAGAAGGCTTCTTGGGACGACGTCATCCTCGACGAGGACATGAAGAAGGCTCTCCAGACCGATGTAGAGGGCTTCTTCGACAGTCAGAAGACGTACCAGAAGCTCAAAGTTCCTTGGAAGCGAGGCATCATCTACTACGGTCCGCCAGGTAACGGTAAAACCATCAGTATCAAGGCCATGATGAACAGCCTGTACAAACGCGGAACGGACGGAGATTCTAGGATGGCAGTGCCAACACTTTACGTCCGCACATTGTCCTCATTCATGGGACCGGAGTACTCGCTGGGCCAGATCTTCGCCAAGGCGCGTCAAGAAGCACCATGCTATCTCGTCTTCGAAGACCTCGACTCCATCGTCAGTGATGATGTGCGGTCCTACTTCCTCAATGAGGTCGATGGCCTCAAGTCCAATGACGGCATTCTTATGGTAGGCTCGACGAACCACCTCGACAGACTCGACCCTGGCATCTCAAAGCGACCCAGCCGCTTCGATCGCAAATACTACTTTCCCAATCCTAGCTATGCTGAGCGAGCCCAGTACTGCAAGTTCTGGCAGGGCAAGCTTGCAGACAACAAGGACCTGGACTTCCCTGACAAGCTCTGCGACAGTATTGCAGCAATTACTGACGATTTCTCCTTCGCGTACATGCAGGAGGCTTTCGTCGCCTCTCTACTTGCCATTGCTGGAAATAGCGGCAAAGATAAGCATGAATTAGAGAAGAACGCACGTCGTTGGGCAGGTCCCCAGAATCCAATGCATCCTGCCGATATGCGATCCCGCGATTTGCAGTTCCGTGCAGCTGGAGGCGGCAGTGAGGGCCCTGACATCAAGCACTTGGAGCTCTGGATTGAGATGCAAAAGCAGGTTAAGATCCTGAGGGACGAGATGGAGGAGAGACAACTATCTGAGCGTATGGAGGCCATGTTCCCGTCTCAGCCGCCTAGCAGGCAAGTTGAGGTCCGTGATAAGCGCATTCCACAGGGACCGCTTCACGCAGACGGTCTTGAGCTGCTCAGGAAGTACCGTGACCAGCTCGATGCTACCTTGCACCAGCAGCAGAAGCAGGTTGGAGCAGCAGATCCCATGAACTCCCTCAGCGGTGCATTCAAGAGGTACATGTGAGGCCATAATTTGCTCTCTTGGACATTTGATACCTACTTCGCTATGTATTCACGACCCAGTAATGCAGCACCGGCTTCTTCCCAATCTTCCAGTCTCGTTCAAATGTACAACAGTTGCAGCAGCAGCTTCCCAAAGTCCATGCCCCCAAACGCCGCGCTAAATAACTATGTCAGGATATCTTACGCTTACAGGAATGTGCACAAAAGCACCGCTCATACCAAGCTCGTGCCAATTCGCTCAATACCCACACGTAGCACACTGCAAACATGTCCTCACATCCCCGACCACCGCACAGGTCCCACAAACACTCCTCCCACACTCCCTGCACGCAAACGCCCCCTCGTTTCCCATCCCATCCATGTCCATATCGATATCCATCCTGCCTTCCTCAACTTCAAGCCGCGCATCGCAGTCCTCGCACCGCGGTCCTTGCCACCCGATTTGTGCGTGTGGCGTTTGGTACGAGAAGATGGGTGTCTGAACGGGCGGCGCTGCGATATTCCAGAACGAGTGGAGTGTCGACTTCTGCGGTTTTGTGACCGTGAGAGCGGATTGGGCGTCTGCTGGGACGGAACGCACGGGTGAAGCGTGCGATTGACGTTGCGCGAAGAACAGCTTGTGCACTGTGTTCTCTACTGGACGTTAGTATTGTACCCGAGAGAGATGGAGCAGAGCGGCGTACCGTGGATTGCGCGCTCGTCGGGCCGGTTGTCGCGGACTCGTTTGCGCGTGCGGTTCCCCCAGTCGCTGCTCTTTGTTCGCTGCGCGCACGTGAAGTCCCAGCCATTGCTTCGCAGTGCGGACTCGACTTCTATGTCCATTGCGACGTTCGGACCGTGGGGGGATCGCGTCGGTGATTGCGCGTCTGGTGTCGAAACGGCGCCGAAGCTGGAGATTGATGTGGGAGATGCGTCGTCGAAGTGCTTGCGTTTGATGCCCATTGTTGCGATTTCGAAGGTGAATTGGTGTGCTAGGGCCTAGGCGACACTTTCCTCTAGTCTTAGTCAAGTTCAGTAAGGATATGGAGGGTGTGGCGAGCAGATATGAATGACGATGTTGCTGATGGAGGCTGGCCAGACACGCGACGAGCTACCGCGGAGTCGACGCGCTCGCGTTGTGGGGACAGGGCGACAGTAGATGGCCAACATCCATCACTTCTACATCAACACCAGTTTCACGCCGAATGAAGCTGATTCCGTTCTCTTCTACTCCTCTCTTCAAAGCTGTTGATTTGTATGAATATTCCACGTTGATGCTTCTTGGCTTCCGTGTCGTACAATCTCGAACCTTTCGAAGTTCGAGTGCTGGGTCCCTGCACACTGTGTTTCCAGTTTGCCTCTGACATAGATTCGATATGATCAACTCCTATTAACGTTTAGCTATCTTGTAGATCAGATTCTATTAACGCTGCACACAGGCTTAATGTACGATGACGAATGCACGACTTACACAGCTCCTGCCCCACAACAGCTCCTTACCCCACCCCCAATGCCACCGAGCTTCTGACTTTCACCAACTTACCTCAGATTACTGTAGGTCTCCAAGCTACCTCTACGCTCTGAGACAGTCAAGATGGTCACTCGCAGAGCCACTCACGCTGGTTCCTGGTACACCGACAAAAGTTTAGTGCTTTCACAGCAACTCGACGGCTGGCTAGCAGATGTACCAAGCTCGATAACACCAGTTGGGAAAGCTTCCTCCCAGGCAGGGAATATCTCAGTACCGACACCGAATGCGCGGGCTATCATCGGACCGTAGGACCACCTGAACAATCATGGAGAGACCAAGGCTCATGGACACGCAGACATGCTGGATACTCTTACTCTGGGCCCGCTGCTGCATGGGCATACAAGATAGTTGACTGGGCGAATGCGTAATTGTACCGCTCGTACAGGTCAGATAGCTGCTGAATTTACCAGGAAACGCATATTTCTGCTCTTTCCCTCCCACCACTACTATCTGTCCGGCGCTGCGACCACCGGGTGCAGCAAGTACGCCACACCGATCGGTGACCTTGCCATAGATACCACACTGGTCAAGCAGATACAAAAAGACTGGGGTCTCGAGGTCATGGAGCGAGGTGTCGACGAGGACGAGCATAGCTCAGAGATGCACCTCCCATACATCTACAAGATGTTGTCACTGTACGCCCTCGTTCAGAATGGAAACTGTTCTGTGCTGACACGACCACAGCAAGAGCACAGCCTTCCAATCCGACCCCGCATCCGTCCCCCTCGTCCCTATCATGGTCGGTAGCACAGACGCCCGCGCCGAAGCCCACTACGGCTCCCTCCTTGCACCCTACCTCTCCGACCCAAGTAACATCTTCGTCATATCCTCCGACTTCTGCCACTGGGGCTTGCGCTTCAGATACACATACTACCAGACGCCGGACAGCTCATCCGGCATAAGCTTGAAGTCCAACTCGAAAGTCTCCAGCGACTTCCCGATCCACGAGAGCATCGCAGCAGTAGACAAAGAAAGCATGGATGCTGTTGAGGCTGGCAGTCACAAGGAATTCTTGCAGCAGCTGAGGGATTCAGGCAACACTGTTTGTGGACGGCATCCTATTGGGGTGTTTATGGCTGCTGTTGAGAAGGCCGAGCTGGAAGAGGGGAAGGGGCGGTTCAAGTTTGTGAAGTATGAGAGGAGTAGTCTGGTCAAGGACGTGAGGGATAGCAGTGTCTCGTACGCCAGTGCTTTTGCGGTGCTGTGAAGATGTAGATTGCGGGGTAGTCTGCGTATAATGGATTCACGATATGACAATATAATACTCACCTCGATACGTCTTGTAACCAATCAGCACTAAGACAGTTTCCAGACACATTGATCAGCTCGATCTTTAAAGGCTAAGGAGTGACACAATTCTTTAAGAGTCGATATGGTCGGCCGCCTGTAGTCGATCAATTGGTACGGTGCCGCTGGGCCTAACTCTTTGGCTGGCACTCTAAGCAACAGGTCCTGATGTCTTAGAGATGCCCTGCCGTAAGCTTAAGCCCGGTCGACCGTAGCGTTGAGTTGTGATGATGTCTGTTGTGCGGCCCTTCCAGCACATAACCCAAAAATCAACTCTGTGACGCAAATAAGAGACTTGGATACCTAGAGACTGCCCCTTGCAGTTGCTTTGATGTTCCCGAAGCGTCTCAGGTAGCAAAAAGTGTGGTTCAGTCACATCATAGAATACCTCAAAAAGGTCGTACCCGGACTCGAACCGGGGTTTCCAGAACTTCTGATTAAATCAAAATCTGAAGTGATAACCTCTACCTGTGAAGGAATTAGAGCATGCTTTTGAGAAGCAAGTTGGAAAACTTACACCATACAACCAGTTATGGATATTGATAGAGGTAAGGGGTAATTTAAAAAATATATACTAAATTTCTATACGGCACTACACTATTGTGCGATGTTCCGATGCGGAACGATTGAATTTAGCGCAGCGGCAAGCCCCAGAGGGTCGTCTGAAGCTAAGGAAAACTCCTGTGAAGCGATGGGAAATGTTCGTGGGGACTGACATCCGATAACCGGAATGTATGACGCTGACTGGCTAGCGCTGTTCGAACGCCGCGATTACCTTTCGAATCGGACAAAATGTTCGAACGAATGTTTGAGCGATTAGCAGGACATCCTCTGGCGGTAGTAGCACGTTGAAAACACCTTGGCGTTATGTTGTAGTTATTGTTTGACCCGTTGGTGTTACTTGCTATAACGGAAGGACAGAGCAAAGCTCTGCAATCTTGGACTATCTAATGGGATATTTACTTCGTATCTGAAATGAACAGAGAAGTCATAGCTTCATACCCCTCAACCTATGGCAGAAGCGTTAAGCAAAGCTTATTAGTTGGTAGTATATTGCGCAATGGTCACCGACCAAAATGTCTACGAATGCATTCCGCGAAGAAAAATTGACAGAGCAAAGTCGATAATGCATTCGCGCGAAGTCTCATCCACAAGTAAGAGAGAGAATTATGCTCCTCATAGCACCTCTCAAGCCTTCAATCCCCTTGAATGCATTTGGAAAGGTTCTTGCCCAACAACGGTCCAGGCAGAGATTAGAAGCAGATGCGGTCGGCATGGAGCGATTCTACGTTCCTACGTTTGATTTACTGTTACTCCTGATCGACAACAAGTGCGGCTAGGTGCGTGCTGGTGGCTCAAACAGCCACCAAAATCGGCGAAAAAAATTGATGCGTATACGGGCGGGGAGGATCGAACTCCCGACCTTCTGCGCTTTGCAGTTGTCACTGTAAAGCAGACATCATAACCACTAGACTACGCCCGCATTGTCCTGTTTCTTAGGAAAATTTTGCAAACTTTAATATATATTACGAATCAAAATAATCGCGACGAGGGGTTACCTTGCTCTGGCTCATGCGGGGTAGTTCCACGTCGTTCCATAGCTCAGTGGAGAAGGGTCTCGAGACCTCGAATTTCGCCTGAATGCGACTTACATACTGTGGGGAACAAGACACACAAAGGTATTGCAAACGAGATGGGACAGTGGCTTTGGGATTTGTATTGGAAGCAACAGAAATATGAGATTCCTTTGGTAAGTGCACATTGGTTTGAGTCTTAGAACTGTGCCAGTAGTGGAATGAAAAATATTTCGGCGGCCGAAGCTGGCGGCGAAATTGGGCTGGGGCCTGAGCATAGCGGCGATGACGGCCATCCCAACTTCAGACGCAGAGAAGAAGAAGTTTTAAACATCTCCGTAAAGTTCAAGTATCAAGTGTCACCTTTGAACAGTCTCGATCCTGTTAAGTTCAAAACCCTCGAGAACTTTAACTTAACTGGTTAACGTAAATCACATCCAATGAACTGCAAGCTTGTAATTAGTCGGCCTGTCTGCGAGCTGCGAGCGAGCCACTGTGTCTAGATATAATTCTTTAGCCAATTCATCCATAGTAACATCGCCAAGAGCCTAAGCTGTCCGCCATACAGAGAGCAGTAACTTCAATGAATACCCCCTCCAGGTTGTTTCCACGCCGCGATGCAAGGCGCGAAGATTGCGTCACCGGATCATGATCGAACCCAGATATGGCAAAATATAAGAACTGCCTTGCTCATTGGATGCCACAATGAGTCAAGAAACATTGCAATTTCAAAGAAAGAGCTGATTTCAGTTGTCACGTGGTAGCGCGACTAGCCTCGATAGCGTGTTTTACGAGGCGCGCCACTTCCTGCAGGCTTCTTCGCGACCTTAACATTGAGATGTGACGCGTGTCGCCCGCTCCTCAGCGATGGAAGTCCTCTTGCAGGGCTTGAACGAAGCGCAGAAAGATGCAGTCACCAGTCCGGCGGGTGTGCTCCAAGTGCTGGCGCCACCTGGGTCTGGTAAGACGAAGACACTCACAGCACGCGTCGCGTACCATGTCATCCACGAACGTCTTCAACCATGGAACATTATCATCTGCACCTTCACCATAAAGGCTGCGCGCGAGATGAAAGAGAGGATTAAAGGATTTGTTGGTGAGAAATTGGAAGCCAAGCTCATCCTAGGCACCTTTCATTCAGTCGCACGCCGCTTCCTCTCCCGCTACGGTCAAGAGATTGGTATTGACAAGAACTTTGGCATTGCCGGCACGGACGATAGCAAAGCGATAATCAAGCGTATCGTCAACCGTTATCAGTATATGGTCGAGCCCGGTTATGCTCGATCCAGGATCTCGAGCTTGAAAGCCAAAGGCATCACCGCCGCAGACTTTGCCGCAACTAAGAAGAAGGCTGAGGACAGCGAATTTTCCCAGATCTACTCCTCGTATCAGGAACATCTTAAAGCAGCAAACTTGCTAGACTACGACGATCTTCTCATTCGCTGCGTCGACCTGCTACGACAGCATCCTTCATGCGTGTCCACCATCCAGGCGGTGCTCATCGATGAGTATCAGGACACAAACAACATCCAGTACGAGCTCATGAAGCTCATGGCACAGAGGACGCAGCGTATCACTATCGTAGGCGACCCTGATCAAAGCATCTACAGCTTCCGTGCCGCCGAGATCAAGAACTTGCTTCGAATGCGCATGGAGTTCCCTGAGGCCATTGTCATCAACCTCGAAAAGAACTATCGCTCGGCTGGCTCCATTCTTAGTGCTGCGCTCGCAGTCATCGAACAAGACGATAGTCGGCCGGAGAAAGCCTTGCTTGCCACGCACTGTATCGGCGAACAGCCAACGCTTCGACACCTAGCCACAGCAAATGTCGAGGCACAATGGATCGTAGACGAGATCAAGCGCACTCAGACACTCAGTGCCGGGCTCTTGACCTACAACGATTACTCAGTTCTGCTCCGCTCAGCAGCTCTCTCACTGTCTCTCGAGCGTGAACTCGGACGTGCCGGAATCCCCTATAGAATGGTAGGAGGAAAGCGATTCTTTGACAGAGCCGAGATCAAGATCATCCTAAGCTATCTCCGAGTCATCAACAACCCTGACAACAACGACGCGATCGTCAACGTGATCAATACGCCGTCTCGAAAGATCGGTGAGAAGACTATTAAGGCCTTGCTCGAAGAAGCAGAAGTGCGCAAGGTGCCCTTGTGGACATTGATTCGAGACGTTGCGCAGGGCAGGAGAAACCCCGTCACCAAGCTATCAGCATCGGCGACGCAGGGCATCACTCTGTTCTTTAGAGTCATCTACACTGCGCGAGAGAAGCTTGAGCCAGCTCAAGGAGAGCCTTGGAACCTGTTAGACCTCATCACACACGTCTTTAACCAAACAGCTTTTGAGGCGTACCTCAAGCAAACCCACAAAGAGAACTGGAAAGATCGATTGGCCAATGTCGACGAACTCATAGCTCAAGCAACGCAAATGTCGACCGCAATAACAGATTGCGAGATGGGATTTAACGACGCTTTGCCTGAGGTAGACGGCATAGTGCAGCGTCCCGATTCTCCAGCAGACATCCTGTCCAAGTTTCTGGTCAATGTTGCGCTGGCGACCGAAGTCGAGAGAGAGGACGGTGAGGAGGCGTGCCAGGTCACGATATCCACGATACACGCAGCCAAGGGTCTCGAGTGGCCTGTGGTCTTCATCCCTGCCGTCTACGAAGGATCCCTACCGCATTCAAGAGCCGAAGATCATGACGAGGAACGACGACTGCTGTACGTGGGTATGACGCGTGCAAAGGCGCTGTTGTATCTTAGCTGCCCCATGCGTTCACCTGGCCAGGAGGAGACGAAGCTGTCGCGGTTCCTGGATGACAATGATCTGGAGAAGTTCTTCAGTGCGCGTGGACCAGATCTCGCTTTCAAGAGGACCACCATACCCGATATTGCGCGCATTCTTGCCAGGCCATGTCCAGGGTTCGCTCAGCTCTCCACTGCCCGCGCATCGGTCGAGCGTCCAGAAGATGACAAATACCCCGCAACACGAGATGAGATCGACGGCATGCCGGCGTCCTACAGCACAGGGTGCACTGGTTCGAATCACGATAAGCAAGGTATGGATGCAAAGCGAAGGAGAGTTGATGACATCAACACGCTACACAGAATTAACGTCCCTGGTGTCAACATTGACGCTGGAGAGAACGATCACGCGGCACGGATGACTACTAAGTCTACAGGTGGCTTCTTCAGCGCAAGAGACATTCAGAACCTTGACCAAGCGACACGACAGGCGATGTTCCAAGACGACGACGACGAAGCCAATCGAAAGTCAACCTACAACGAAGTCAGGAGACTTAGTGAGAATCCTACCCGAGACCGGAAGCCTAAGTCTCGAGCAGCAGGCCAAGAAGCAATTACGAGCTTCTTCAAAGGTGCTGGCAGGACGCTTTCGGAAACATCTGAGCCGACTCCACAGGTAGGATATCGTTCACTCAAGCGGTCACAGTCTTCCCTCTCTGGTCTCGCAGCTCCGAATGACATGTCTAACGCTGGGCGACCTCATCCACAATCTCGACCATTTCAACCTCTGTCTGTTCCCAACAGACCGATTTATAATCGCCCCATGGCAAGCAAACCGAGACGAGCCGCTGACGACTCTGACGTTGAGAACACGCGGCACGTGCTGCTACTGAGCTCACCGTCAGAGGCTGACGAGGAGAGGGTTATCACATTGTCAGACAGCGACGATGATGATGTGCAAGAAGTCACTCACCCTTCGAAAGCACCATTGTCATCGACAAGTGGGTTTAGACCTGCGGTTACTTTGCACACGACGTCGATAAGCGTGGTGCAGAATCAACAAGCTCGGCGTAGAACATTGGGTGCAAGGAGGACCATGCAGCCCTGGAGCGTGAAACACACAAGCATGCCCAAACCACGGCAGCAATGATCGATGAAGGCACGAAGGGGAAAGAGGGTCCGTTTGTCATTGCGTTGGTTGGCGTTCATGGTGCATGGTCACAGCGAGCATAGTTCTCAAGCATTGTATATACGACCAAGATGCCGGTGTGTAGACCTTGGCACATAGCATGGATAATAGGAGGAAAATTTTGTACAGCTAGTACTGATACACATGGACCTGTAGCCCGCGATGATGATAATAGTAGTCCAGAGCATCGTCGAAAGCACTCCCAAACGCCGCCCATGCCCCAACGATCCCTCAACCCTTACGCACACGCGCAAAGGGAAGACCTAATCGTGTTCCAGCGCCCTCTCCTCCAGCGCTTCAACGCCAGCCTTCAACTCCCTGATCCGATGCCCCACCCTCCTCTTAACCTCCGCACCGACTACCTCCTCAGCCTCACTCACAACACGCCCATAGTACTCCAGCAGCTTATCCAGCTCCTCCCTTGCTGCCTCGCGGTCGTCCTGTGCATAGGTGGTGTTCTTGTCGGTTTCTTCAGAAGCGATCTCGAACTCGTCCTTCGCCGTGCCGAACATGTCGGTGATGGTCTCGATGTGGTCTTCGATGACTTTCAGATACTCGGGCGAGATTTCCGAGGATTCGTCTGCTGCCGGCCAGGAGATTTTCGGCGAGGATGTGAACGTGCGCACGCTGCTCAGCGAGGTCGGAGTCGAGAAGCGTGTCCATTGGTTGGGCGCCGCGAGGATGGAGTGGTTGCGGATCTCGTATCGAGGGGCCGGTGAAGGGGAGCGCGAACGCAGTTGCGATTGGGTCTGGGTGTGGATTTGCGATGTGAGGTAGGGTGAGGCGCGTTGCGCTGCTGTGGTTGAGGCGCGTGGGATTGCGGTGCGCAGGAGCGTGCGGATGGGTGCGCTGCGGGCGGGCATTTCGGCAGCGCGCGAGCTGTAGGATGTGTAGGTGCGTGTTGTTTGCGGTGCGACGGTGCGAGCCGCGGCGCGGGCTCGTAGGGGGATTTGCGCGAACATTGTGGTGGATGTATGTGGGAGGTGGGCGGAATGAGATGCCTGAGGTTGAATGCACCGATGACATATTACCTAGTCCAGATGGGGCGGAGGGGAGCCGTGGCCGAAAGACAGAGCGCATCAGATACCAAGCAACGGCACAACCCACCCCATCACGATTGAGATTCCCTCCTTGAACTCTTCCCTCTGCACCGCCTCCTCAAACCTCCGCATCTCAGTCCACCCTCTCGCCACAACGAATCCTCAGACCCCATCTTTCTACTTCGCCTATCCCATCGCTAGACCGACCTCGCCCACATCCTCCAGGCCTCCGCGTTGCCGGTAGATGGACTGGAAGCTCGCGAAATCTCCTTCGATTTTAGCTTGAACTTCTGGTGTCACGGGGCCGGAGAAGGAGGAGTGGCAGATCGCCGTTCGCGAAGGTTGATGTGTCCAGGACGGCGACGGTGGTTGTGAGGGGCTGCATAAAAGTACATATTGCTTTGATGCAGAGAAAGTGAAGTGAAGAAAAGTTGATAATGGTAGTGGTCACTACCAAGACGTTATGGTCAAGGCCAAAGCTATCCTACTATGTTACACGTTTCAGTCTCAGCTCGAGTAGATCTTGAAGCAACCATGTTATTTCATGTTATTTTCAATATCGCGAGACACTGTACATCTTGATCAGGCTGCAAGTTCATTCCATGGTCAGTCTTCACAATACTCACACAAATGGCCCGAGGACTGAAGTGGTATCATGCATTCGTTGTTCCAATACGCTACACTACTGCCCCTGCAGAGGCTGCCCATTGCCACCCATTGTGACAGTCTTTGTCGTCATGTACTCCTCAATACCCAACAGGCTGCCCTCACGGCCAAAGCCAGATTCCTTAACGCCACCGAACGGCGCGGCAGGGTCTGAGATCAAGCCAGTGTTGACACCAACCATTCCTACTTCCAGCGCCTCAGCGACCCTGTACACCCTCTGGATATCCCTGCTGAAGAAGTATCCTGCAAGACCGACGTCGGCTGCGTTCGCGAGCTCGACGACTTCGGTTTCGGTGTCGAATTTGAAGAGACCTGCAACGGGGCCGAATGTCTCCTCCTGGGCGAGCTGCATGTTGGCGGTCATGTCGCGGATGACGGTGGGTTGATAGAACGAGCTGCCCAGCTCGGGTAGCCCTTTTCCACCAATGAGGACCTTACCACCCTGCTTTACGGCGTCTTGGACATGGTCATCGACCTTTTTCGCGGCGCGGTCGTGGATGACGGGACCGTGAGTGACACCCTCGCTGAAGCCAGCACCGACCTTGAAGGTCTTGACCTTTTCGGTAAACTTCTCGGCGAACTGGTCGTAGATACCAGACTGTACGTATAGTCTGTTGGCACATACACATGTCTGGCCTGAGGAACGGAACTTGGAGGCGATAGCGCCAGCTACGGCGCTCTCGAGGTCGGCGTCGTCGAAGACGATGAAAGGGGCGTTACCACCAAGCTCAAAAGACAGTTTCTTGAGGGTTGAAGATGATTGCTTCATCAGGAGCTTGCCTACGCCAGTGGAGCCCGTGAAGGACACCTTCTTGACGGTCTTGCTAGTGGTGATGGCCTCGCCGACCTCAGGTGTATTATCCATAGCTGTGACAAAGTTGACCACGCCCTTAGGAATGCCTGCACGGTGCGCAAGTTCAGCCAGCGCCGCAGCCGTGAAAGGTGTCTCACCGGGAGACTTTGCAACAACGGTGCAGCCAGCCGCAAGCGCAGGACCGATCTTGCGGGTGACCATAGCAGCAGGAAAGTTCCACGGCGTGATCAGACCGCAGACGCCAACCGGCTCTTTGATTGTAAAGACTCGATTCGCAGGAACACTCGAGCCGATCGTGTTGCCATATATCCTCGGTGCCTCCTCAGAGAACCATTCAAAGAAGCTTGCGGCATACGCGACCTCGCCCTTTGCGTCCGCCAGCGGCTTTCCGTTCTCCCATGTAATCAATGTGGCGAGGTCGTCGGCATTCTCAGTCATCAGCTGGTACCATTTTCGCAGCAGTCGTGAGCGCTCGCGGCCGGTCAGTTTGCGGAACGAGGGCAGGGCGGCTGCGGCGGCGGCGATGGCTGCTTCGGTGTCGGCGCGGTCCATCTCAGGCTGAGTGCCGATGAGCTTGCCTGTTGCTGGGTCGTGAACCTCGAAGGTCTTGCCGGATTTGGCGTCTATCCATTCTCCGTTGACATATGTCTGGCTCTTCAGGAGGGAGGGGTCCTTGAGCTGGGACGCGTTAGTTTTGATCTACAGTCTGATTGGCGTTGAGATGAATTGTGGACATACCTTAGGCACATCGTGACCCATCTTGCTGGAATACCCTCTTGATATAATGGCGGGTAGAGTCGGTCGTTGGAAGCTGCTTCTGCAGGTCGTCTGCTGGCGCGCGATGGATCGTGTTGCAGCAGCAAAAGAGCGCATTATGAAGTGGATGGCTGAGTCTATTCCTCAGCGATAGAGGGGCGAGCTGGAAGATTGCCTCGGTCCACTGTGGAGCACGTCAATCTACCGTCAGCTCGTTGGTGGGTTCGAGGTGCGGATAGCTGGAAATAATGGCCGCAGTGACGTAGGGAGGAGCTATGGCCTATTTGGTCGCGGGGGTGCTCGGCTCAATCAGGTCTGCGGCTCAACACCCAGCGTTATGCAGCATATTTACTGAGGGCTTGTTCGAGCTTTGAGTGTCGAGAACTGTATGTTTTGCGCCGGCGAACGGAGTCGAGAGTGGATTGCACGACACGTAGCGTGTCTACAGCGCGTTTGGAGCGTTTGGAGCGTCTAACAAGAGCATCGTGAGTCGCAAAGATCTGACAGCAAGATAGAGAAGAAGTCATCGAATTCGTTTATGAAGGGTATCGTTCGGTAGGTCATTGCAAAGGTAAGGCCGTATCGTTCGTTGGGAGAGGTCATCAAGATCCTGCGACCACACCCATCCACCAAGCCCATCCGCCCTTCGCTCTGTAGAAGTCGGTAGCATAGGTTGATGTCATCCTATTAATCGTTAGTATATGTTTGAGATCAGTCGCAATGTATTTACCCGGCTTTTCTCTCTGCGTCTTTCTGCTTGTGCCATTCTTTCCATCGTTCATCTTCGCTCAAGGTGATATCGCGCCACTTCTCTTTGCTGGCAACGGGAGCTTCTTTGCGGACGCGGAGTCTCTCACACCACGAGACTTTCTTCTTCTCGTTCTTTTTTGTGTCTGCTGTTAGGGAGGAGCTGCGTTGCAGCTTTGGCAGCTCTGGCTTGTCGATGAGGGAAGTTGTGGATGCGCTGGCTGTAGGCGGAGACATGATGTTAGGTAAGAATGGTATCGAGCTTCAGATTTTTAGCCATGCTCAACGGGGCACTCTAGTAGTCTCAATACTCTGGCAAGGCATCTGATCAGGGGCACAGCCTTGTGGCTTACAAGGTGGACAGGAATATAGACTTTATGCTCAGCCGATCTTAGACAGCGCAAGGCTTAGCCGGGGCGCACTCAAGGTAGCCAAGCCAGCGCAATATCACCAGCATTGGTGGAAACACAGAACACAAGGGCGTCTGGATAATAGTCCTTCTCCGGTACTTGTAGGTTCTAATCCGCAAGGTTTACATCATCTAAGTTCTTCCTGACAAACTTCGACGCCTCCTCAAGACCCTTCTGAATGATGTCTGTCTGGTTTACGAACCCAACCCTCACGTAGCCCTTGAACTCCTCACCAAAGCTCTGTGACCCAGGTACTAAGAGCACACCAGTCTTCTCGAGCAGCTTCTTGCAGAAGTCGACCGAGTCTACCGGCTTGCCTTCTCTGTGGAACTTGATAAATGCTGTTGTCCCGGCCACGGGCTTGACCCATTCGCACTCGTCTTCGTTCTTGATCATGAACTTCTCAAGAAGCGCAAGATTCGTTTTCGCCAGCTGAATGTTGCGAGCTAGCAGACCATGGACGGTTGCTGGGCTAAGGGCATATGCTGCAACCTGCTCGTCGAGTCCAGAGACCGAGATCGTTGTGTAGTGGCGTGCCGAAGCGATCTTCTCGATGATATCTGAGTTTCGCGATGCAACCCATCCTACACGTATACCAGCCAAAGAGTAGGCTTTGGACATGGAGCCCGTGACGATAACATTTTTGTAGCCCATGGACAGCAGTGACGGCGGGAAGTCCTTGTCGATTGGGCTGATTGAATGGAAGATTGGTCGGTAGACTTCATCACCGAGTATCGTGATGTCTTTCTCCTCCGCAATTTCGACAAGTCGTTCAAGAAAGCTCTTGCCCAGGACTGCCCCAGTGGGATTGTTGGGGTTGTTGATGACGATGAGCTTTGTGTTAGGCTTGATCATTGCCTTCAGCTCTTGCAGGTCGGGTATCCAGTTCTTCTCGGGCTGAGCCTTCCACAGGTCAACCTCTGCACCCAGTGATTGCGGTACAGAGTACAAGGACTGGTAGGTGGGGTATTGGCAGATGACATGATCACCTTCGCCAACAAGAGCGTACGCAGCGAGATAGTTCGCCTGGATGGCACCGGGAGTGGTGAGTATGTTGTTCGGGCTAAGAGGCGTAGCGACCTTGGCCGAGTATAATCGAGCCAGATTGGTTCGCAAGTCTTCAGCTCCTCGAATAGCGCCATAGGTGAGCAACCGATCTGTCTTCAAGATCTCTGTCTTCTTGTCGTCGGAAAGTTCGCGCAGTTGATCTATTGAGACTGAGGCACAGCATGTTTCTGCGACGTTGTATTTGCAGTGATGCTCATAGGCGTCCATCCACTGCAGGCTCGTTAGCCCGCCTTGTCATCGAGGGTAAATGGCAAAATGCGGGGGAGAAACGTACGGACTCGACCGCAAAATTAGTGATTTTAACCATGGCGAATACTGTGGTGTTTATGATGATCAGATCAGACGATTCTTGCAACCTCGAAAGATATGTTTTCGCACTCCGTTCGTCCTGCCGGCCAGATCATATATTGGCTTCGAATGGCGTAGGGCGCGTCTGGTGGAGCGTCTGAAGATACTCCGCGGGCCTAGCTCAAGCTGCTACCGACTCTAGCGCAAGGTACATCCGATCGCATGCCTCTAGATATGTCATCTTCACCGAGGACCGCCGTACAACTGACAATATTTTTTAGCATTGCGCAAGTGTATATACTGCGACACCGCGAGCTCTGCCATGGTATAGCATTCGATCGATGTGAATGCTTGTGCTCCCGGCTGCGCTTGCCTCGGTTGCAGTAGGTCCTTCTGCATTTGTCCCGTGCGCCCAGCCTCCCAAGCTGCACGGTCCCAGCAAGCGTCATTCGAGGATGATAGCACAGCCGTGACCTGCGTCTGGCCACCTTGACCGCACCTCACTCTTTGTGTCTGCACTTCTGTGAGCTTTTAGGCTCCTGCGCTGTTGCCATTCGCTCCTTCCACCTGCATTATTGTCCCTGCACGACCGCTTGACGTTATCGACGATACAAGAGCTCGGCATAGCTCGAGTGGAGCTATCAGGCCGCCGCGCCACTCGCATACACCATGCGCTCAGCACCATGGACGGCCTCGCTGGCGACTCTGTTGAGTCTGGCGGGGCCCTCGATAGCATACAAAACCTACGCGAATTATTCCGTCGCTGAAGCGCCCGACTCGCTCTTCTCTATCTACGGCGACCGTCCCGATGGCTGCCCACCCTGCTTCAACTGCAACCTCGAGGACTTCAAGTGCCAGCAGTTCGCCGAATGTAGCAAAGCAAATGGGCGCTGTAGTTGTGGGCCTGGGTTTGGAGGGGAAGACTGTTCAGAGCCACTGTGCGGATCTCTGCCCAAAGGCAAAGACAGGTCACCAAGAGGCAGCGAGAAAGAGTGCCAGTGTGACGAGGGCTGGGGTGGCATCAACTGCAATGTCTGTCAAACAAACGATGCCTGCAACGCTATGATGCCTGATGGTGAAGGTGGCGTCTGCTACAAGGATGGTCAGTTGGTCAAGGAGAACTTCCAGATTTGCGACATTACGAACAAGAAGATCCTGGACCAACTGAAGGATAAGAAACCACAGGCGACTTTCTCTTGTAACGCTGAGACCGAAGAGTGTAACTTTCAATGTAAGCTTACATTCGACCATGATCTGTTGCACCCAACTAATGATCGTAGTCTGGGTTGACCAGCGGGAATCCTTCTATTGCGCCCTCGACACATGCTCTTCCGATTGGGTAGCCGAATCCGACCGCAACACCACCCTTTACCGCTGCGAGAACATCGAATGCGCCTGCGTACCGGACAGAATGCTTTGTGGAGAAGCTGGCTCGATTGATATCGGGGACTTCTTGAAGGAGTCAATTCGCGGTCCTGCCGAGTTCAAGTCTATCGCCTCCGAAAGGAGTGGCGAATCAGGGAGCTCTTTCTCAGAGCCTGCTATGAACGACCTCATCTCTAGCATTTTCGGCGACGAGAGCATCCTGCTCAAGTGCGACACTGGAGAATGTTTGTATCAGAACCAGGTTCCCGGATATGAGCGACCTATCAAGAAGATCAACACCCCTCTGATTGCCGGGGTCATAGCCTCTGTCGCGTTATTTATCGTGGCCGCAATCCTTGCCATCTGGTACCTCACACACCGCGCCGAGAGGAATAAATACGGCGCGATCCACCTCTCTGATGACGAGGAGGAAGACAACGCCAAACTTCTCGGGGACCACAAACCGGCTGCGCTGATGTTCGAGAACGTTGGCTACAATCTCAAGGGCAAGCAGATCCTGTCTGGCATCTCTGGTGCTGTTCATCCTGGCGAGCTCCTTGCGATCATGGGAGCTTCAGGTGCGGGCAAAACTACTTTCCTGGACATCTTGGCTCGCAAGAACAAGATAGGTGCAGCTTGCGGAGACTTTTATCTGAACGGCCAAAAAATTCGTGACGACGAGTTTAGAAGCGTCATTGGCTTCGTTGACCAGGAAGATACCCTACTGCCCACGCTTACTGTGCACGAGACGATTCTCGATTCGGCTTTACTGCGCCTACCCAAAGACATGAGTCGCGCCTACAAAGAACAGAAGGTCGAAGATGTCGAACGTCAACTTGGTATCTACCACATTCGCAATCAGCTCATTGGTTCTGAGGAGACCGGTCGTGGTATCTCTGGTGGAGAGAAGCGTCGTGTTGGAATCGCCTGCGAGCTAGTCACATCCCCTAGCATCCTCTTCCTGGACGAGCCCACGAGTGGCTTGGACGCCTTCAACGCATTCAACGTCGTCGAGTGCCTTGCGAACCTGGTCAAGAACTACAACAGAACGGTCGTCTTCACTATTCACCAGCCGAGATCCAACATCGTTGCGCTTTTCGACCAGCTGGTTCTTCTCGCTAAGGGTAGAGTCGTGTACTCTGGTCCGTTCGACAATTGCCAGGCGTACTTTGATAATATCGGCTACACCTGCCCACCTGGGTTCAACATTGCCGACTACTTGGTCGATCTTACGATGCATGCCAGCGCTGTCCATCGTCCCATTGACGATGACAACTCTCTCTTCACCAGAGACGGTCTTCACACCAGCGCGAGCAGTGCAATTGCAGTCAAGTCCATACCGAGTATTACTAACATGAGCGCGAGTGACCTGGCCACAAGCCCAGCCAACTCCAGCATCCGGCCCAAGAGCAAGCGAAGGACATCGATCAAGCAGCAGCAAGAACGCGAGCTCTTCACCAGGAAGAAGAGCACTGCTCCAGTTGACGGTACGCAATCCCCCAAGACCGACGATGAAGGCCCGTACGATCGTCAAGAGGCTGCCAAGGCACAATGGCTAAAACTGTCGCGTCAACAAGGTGCACCGCCGGCACAGATTCTCGATGATCTCGATGAGCTCCCGCCCCCAGCGGACGGCGGCACTGGCACGAACCTGGACGCTCTGATCACTGCATATGCAACGTCAGATGTTGCAGCTGGTATCCACGAAGACATCTCGAAATCTGTTGCAAGCGCCGACGAAGCCAATGGTGCGAACGGTCACGCTGAAGCAAACGGCTTTGTTGCAGCTGGGAAGCTCAGGGGATACCGCAAGGTTGGTCTGCTCGGTCAGTTTGTGATCTTGTCTCGACGTACCTGGCGCAACCTGTACCGCAACCCGATGCTGATGCTTACCCACTACGCTATCGCCATTGTTCTCGCGGTCTTCTTGGGCTTCCTCTTCTACGGTCTCACCGACGATATCAAGGGCTTCCAGAATCGTCTTGGTCTCTTCGTCTTCGTTTTGGCCCTGTTCGCCTTCAGTAGTCTGACCATCCTGACCGTCTTCGCGCCTGAGAGGCTGCTCTTCACGCGTGAGCGTGCCAAGGGCTACTACTCTCCACCTTCGTACTTTGCAGCCAAGGTCCTGTTCGACATCATCCCGCTGCGCCTTCTGCCTCCCATCATCCTGGGTATCATTGTGTACCCAATGACAGGTCTCATCCCTGCATGGGCCAACTTCTTGAAGTTTATCCTCTTCCTGGTGCTCTTCAATCTTTCGGCCGCCGCCATCTTCTTGTTCATTGGCACCGTGTTCCGCAACTCTGGCGTCGCCAACCTGGTCGGTGTGCTGGTTATGCTCTTCAGTCTTCTCTTCTCTGGGTTTTTCCTGAACAAGGAAAGTATCCCGCCGCTTGCGAAGTGGCTGCAAACAGTAAGTGCAACCGTCAATCGAGTAAATATAACGAGCTAACGACAAGCCAGCTGTCAATCTTCCACTACGCGTTTGAGGGCCTCATCGTCAACGAGGTGAAGTACTTGTCGCTCGTCGATCATAAGTACGGAATCGACATCGAGGTACCCGGATCAGCAATTCTGAGTTCGTTCGGCTTCGATGTCATGGCGCTGTGGAAAGACTGCGTTGGACTGGGTGTGTTTGCTGGTGCGTTCGTTATCCTCGCCTACCTCGCCATGCACTTCCTGCTTGTAGAAAAGAGGTAGTGCGGCTGCACCAAAGGGCTAAGCGCTGGACGTTTGTGGAATTAGATATCTGTTAGTAAGGGGCCCAGTTGGGTATCTAATTGTAAGCATACATGTGCGGCCTTCCCATGTTCAGTCAGTCTTGACTGGTCTGTATATATCTGCGATCATTTCGATCACACGTGCAAACGATGCTCTCCTTGTCCTCATTTGTTCTGCAAGCGCGGTGCTCATATTTACAGAGGAGTCGAATCGGCGCCGGAGGACTGGGCTGTTTGGTAGGCGCGGACAAGGCCGCCCCACGTCCCTCACTCGACAGCGACTCATGTTCCTGAACACCGTACCCACCAACACCGCTGTCGCTGATCACCGCTACTTGTGCCCCTCCGCGCCCATATTTCTACGCCAGCATTCACCACGGCGTCTTCTACCCCCGCCCACGACCGCTCGACCTCCCCGCCGCCGCTTCTGCGTATCGCCAGCCAGATCACGACTGCAGGCGCCGAGCTCTGGAAGTACACCGACCGCCCGCCCCCCGGCAGCCTCAAGCCGGCCATCGCTGGCACCTTCGCTGTCCCCTTCCGCACCGAGTCCTCGATATCCGTGCGTAACCTCGGCGACGGCAGGACTATACAGCGCAACATGGACTCACGACGGAACCCCAGCAGCTTCCAGCAGCTCGAGAAGCTCGGCGAGGGCACCTATGCAACGGTACAGACATGCATGCAGCCACAGTGCAGCCATTGCAAGCCCCCGGTGCTGACGACGGGCAGGTATTCAAGGGCCGCAACCGCCAGACGGGCGAGCTGGTCGCGCTCAAGGAGATCCACCTCGACTCGGAAGAAGGCACGCCCTCGACAGCCATCCGCGAGATTTCCCTTATGAAGGAGCTGCGCCACGAGAACATTGTCCTGTTGCATGATGTTATCCACACCGAGAACAAGCTGATGCTCGTCTTCGAGTTCATGGACAAGGACCTGAAGCGCTACATGGACTCGCGCGGTGACCGCGGCGCCCTTGACCCGCCCACCATCAAGTCGTTCATGTACCAGCTGATGCGTGGCATCGCCTTCTGCCACGACAACCGCGTCCTGCACCGCGACCTGAAGCCCCAGAACCTGCTCATCAACAACCGAGGGCAGTTGAAGCTAGCAGATTTCGGTCTTGCCCGCGCGTTCGGCATCCCCGTCAACACTTTTTCCAACGAGGTCGTCACCCTCTGGTACCGCGCGCCTGACGTCCTTCTGGGCAGTCGCACATACAACACAAGCATCGACATCTGGTCTGCAGGCTGCATCATGGCCGAGATGTACACTGGGCGACCGCTCTTCCCCGGGACTACAAACGAGGACCAGCTTCAAAAGATCTTTAGACTGATGGGCACACCCTCGGAACGATCGTGGCCGGGCATCTCGCAGTTCCCCGAGTACAAGGGCAACTTTCCAGTCTACGCCACACAAGACCTGCGACTCATCCTGCCCCAGGTCGACCAAGTCGGTCTCAACCTGCTGAACAGCATGCTCCAGCTGCGACCCGAGATGCGTGTGTCAGCGACGGCTTCGCTACAGCACCCATGGTTCAACGACCTGCCTCAACGGCAACAGGAGCATGCGCAGGCCATGGCAGCGGCCCAGCAGGCACAGATGGGCGGCGGCTTCTCAGCACCTCAGTATTAGTATGACGAGTGTGCTGAGTGGTCGACCCATCCAAAGTGCTTCAACCCTGGCGCCACCTTTCTGTCAGCTCCCTCTTCACAGGCCTCCCTCTTGTGAATAGCAGAATCGGCGGACTCGAAGTCTAGACGCGCAAACCTCAAACAGACTTGGGCGCCCAGTTTTCGAGTCACGAATTTTGCGGTCCAGACAGATGTCCGGGAGATTCAAATCCGTCCGTGTTCCCAGCAATGCCCAATCTTAGCGTATCTTAGCGTCTTTTAGCATAAATCGCAAGCAATCGGCCACATTTGCAGGAGTCTGGAATGGTGACGGTATACTCGACGCAGATACCAGCAGAGGCCCCCCCCCCCACAAGCGATACAACAGCGCACCAGATTTGTCTGTGTTGTAAGCGTTGCAAGTGAGGCGATGCAGTTCATATAACACCAAGTTGTCAAAGAAGATTTATTCGCAACCGCCTTTTGGCGCCATGGTGTTGTCCAGGCGACCCGTGCTCATGTCTGTACGCGCAGATTGTGTGACCCATGTCGATTCTTCGTTCTGTGTGTAGGGGAGATTGCGTGACTGCGACTTCCTAAATACGAGGTTCACATTGCTCTCTCCGCTTTGGGTCCTTTGCATGCCTTGCTAGTAATAATCTACAAGATTTCCCAAGACGCAATATCAAGCGAGGCTAACGTTCCGTGGACAAGCTCTCGTGACGTGTGGTGGCTCTACTCAATCGTGCGCCAGACGCACCAGTGCGTGGTCTAGGAAATTCGGCCGGGGTATCATCATATGCGCGTCAAAAACCCAAGAATCTATCAAGCAGAAAAACAAACAACATAGAGGCCGTGCAGGGTATGCGCTGAGCAGGTGCTCGAGCGGTTCAACAGCCCAGGCTCTCCCGCGCAAGAACAACGACATCGAACTCGTCGTCGAGACTCTCGGCGCTCTCGTCGCTCAGCTCGTGCAGCTCGTCGCTGTACCGCCCGGCCACAAAGGCCCAGCCGTCGCCCTCCAGACGCGCGCGGTGCCGGTCGCGGTTCGAAGACGCCGCCCTCTCGAGAAGACGACTCCACCTGTTCTCCGCGCTGGCGAGCCGGGGCGGCGTTGCGGCGCTGGTCTCGGGTTCAAAGCAGGACCCACGGAGTGGCCAGAGACTGGGCTCGGACGTGCATGCGGCGCGGGTGGTGAGGTCGGTGGTGAGGTTGCTGGTGAGGTCGGTGGTGAGATTGCTGGTGAGGTCGGTGGTGAGGTCGGTGGTGAGATTGCTGGTGAGGCCGGTGGTGAGGTTGCTGGTGAGGCCGGTGGTGAGGTTGCTGGTGAGGCCGGTGGTGAGGTTGCTGGCGGGCATGGACGTGTGCAGACCGAAGTGAACTTTGGACGTAGTGCGGTCTTCTTTGCGGGGCAGCTTGCGGGCTGGTGTCGACGTGGATGAGCGCGGGGAGTGCGGTGGTGTGAGCGGTGGAGTGAGGATCTGCGACTGCTTCATTGTGTTTTGAGGGTAGTGCTGCACGGCGCAGGTTTTGGTGCTGCAGGTGAAGCTGCTGCGACGCGGCTTTTTGGGCGTAGGGCCGTCGGGATGGTGCGTGTCGTCCATGGCTGCAGGTGTGAGGAAGGCTGGAGCTGGGACGTTGGAATGTGCGAGGACCAGCGCAAGATGGTCGTAGACAGGCTTTGGGCAAGAGTGTGCGACGGATAGAGCTGAGCAGCGAAGAAGATGTGCCTGCAGAAAGAACTCATCGAAGGACTTTTGTGGGGCTTCCAGATGTGGAGGCTGTCGAGGGGAAGTAGACTGGCAGTAGACTGGCAGTAGACTGGCAGTAAACTGGCAGTAAACTGGTAGTAAGCTGGTAGTAAACTGGTAGTAAAGTAAACTGGCAAATGCGGCTGCCTACTCGGGTAGCAACAGGGTCAGGACATGACGTCGCACAGTTACAGCTGGCGGACGCGTGAACGAGTAATGCGAGTGTCAGCGAAGACGGGAAACATGGACATGGGCGGACTATAAGGAGACGGCGACTACAAGGTGACGGCGACTACAAGGAGACGGCAGCAAGCAGCAAGCAGCAAGCAGCAAGCAGCAAGAATGTAGGGGCCACGATGCACTCAGCGAGCGCGCTGCCGACGCCGCATCCGGACGGCATTCCGAGACCTGCGCGCGACGTGGAGCGTATGGACGGCGCGCAGGTGTCGCACAGGTGTCAGTCGGATGTTCAGGAACACACGCTCACTGCAGACGGTGGTGTGCCGGGACCTGGCTGGACATGGCGCGCCCGGCGGGAAGCATGTGAAGGAGAGACAGTCTGAACTTTCCATGTAGTGCCGCGTCGTGCGTCGTGCGTCGTGCGTCGTGCGCCCGGCAGCGCACGGGCGTCGTTGACGTTGGCCGGGTGCTTCAAGCTCTGTTGGCTGCACCGGCCCACCAAACACCTCCGCCGCCCTCATCTCCCCCATCGCCGCCATCCGCAGGCCGTCCAGCATGCTGCGCGCTTCGATCCTCGCGGCCCGTCCTGCTGCCCGGCCATTGGCACGCGCCGCCCGCCCGCAATGGCGCGTCGCCCAGCGCTGGTACGCCGACGACAAACCGCTGGACCAGACAGCCGTCCCCAACCCGGCGCCGCTCGTCGAGCCCACCGCCGACCCTGCGCGCCCGGCGTCCCTCCAGCAGGCGACCATTCCGCCGTCTGAAGTCCCCAGAGCCCCGCCGGCGCCCGAGACGACCGTGGTGAACAGCGCCGCCAGCGCCGCCAGGCTCGCCGGCACCGCATCGCGCTCGGCCCCCGTCGTCCAGCCCGCGACCACGCCCCCAACCGGCCCCGGCACCGCGAGCGTCGCGCCCGACCCCATCAAGCCCAAGCCCAAGAAGCGCAGGTTCCGCCGCTTCCTGCTGTGGGTCACCATCCTGTCTGGCCTCGGCTACGCCGGCGGCGTCTACTACTCGCTGCTCTCCGACAACTTCCACGACTTCTTCACCGAGTACGTCCCCTTTGGCGAGGATGCCGTCGCCTACTTTGAGGAGCGCGAGTTCAGGCGCCGGTTCCCTGCCCGCGGCGACCAGCCCAAGCTGCACCACCAGATCTCGGGCGAGAACAAGGTCACCATCCCCGGCCGCAGCGGACTGACCTCCCGCATCGCCGAGGACCCCCACACCAGCGCTGTCAGCGACAACAACCCCGCCGCCAAGCCGGCCCAGCAGCCGCGCGTTGGCTCGAACGAGCACACGGCGCCCAAGAACGTCCAGGAGTCGAAGAAGGCGGACGAGCAGAGGGAGAAGCCCGGCCCGGCCGCGACAACCGCCGAGCCCAAGACGGTCGTGCTCGATGGGCCCTCCGGGCCCATCTCCCAGATTGACCACCTGAGCGTGCCCTCTGCGGGCGAGCCTGTCGTCCAGGACGTCGTCAAGATTGTCAACGACCTCATCACAGTAGTCAACGCGGACAAGACACACGGCGGAAAGTACAACTCGGCTCTGGACAAGGCCAAGTCCGAGCTCGCCAAGGTCGTCTCTGACATCAACCTGCTCAAGGACAGCCTGAAGAAGGAGGCCGAGGACAAGGTCAAGGCCGCCCACGCCGAGTTTGACGAGGCCGCCAAGGAGCTCGTCCAGCGCCTCGACCACCAGATGCAGGAGCAGGAGACACACTGGAAGGAGGAGTACGAGAACGAGCGCGAGCGCCTGCAGCAGGCCTACAAGGGCAAGGTCAGGTCGGAGCTCGACGCCGCCCACAAGGTCTACGAGGCCAAGCTCAAGAACGAGCTCCTCGAGCAGAGCATCCAGCTCCAGAACAACTTCACCCAGAACGTCCGCGACCGTGTCGAGGCCGAGCGCGAGGGTCGTCTGGGCAAGCTCAACGACCTCTCCAACTCGGTCCACGAGCTCGAGAAGCTCACGGCCGAGTGGAACTCGGTCGTCGACGCCAACCTCAAGACTCAGCACCTCGTCGTCGCCGTCGAGGCCGTCAAGTCTGCCCTCGAGACACAGGTCGTCCCCAAGCCTTTCGTCACTGAGCTCGCAGCCCTCAAGGAGATTGCCGCCGATGACCCCGTCGTCAGCGCCGCCATCTCCAGCATCAACCCCACCGCCTACCAGCGCGGCATCCCCAGCTCCGCTCTCCTGATCGACCGCTTCCGCCGCGTCGCCTCGGAAGTCAGGAAAGCCGCGCTCCTCCCAGAAGACGCCGGTGTCGCGTCCCACCTCGCCTCGCTCGCCATGTCCAAGGTGCTGTTCAAGAAGTCTGGCCTAGCCGTCGGCGGCGACGTCGAGGCTGTGCTCGCGCGCACCGAGATCCTGCTCGAGGAGGGCCATCTCGATGCGGCGGCACGCGAGATGAACGGCCTGCAGGGGTGGGCCAAGGTGCTGAGCAAGGACTGGCTGAGCGAGTGCAGGAGAGTGCTCGAGGTTAGACAGGCGCTGGATGTCATTGCCACAGAAGCGAGGCTCAACAGCTTGCTGATTGAGTAGGCGACTTGTGTGTGGGTGAGCGCTTTTGTAATGTAGTCATAGAGCTGTGCACGTATCCTTTTCGTTTGTGCTGATGCTGTTGCACCTCCCCCTCTGTGCTCTGAATCTCCCCCTCTGTGCTTTGAATCTCCCCCTCTGTGCTCTGAATCTCCCCCTCTGTGCTCTGAATCTCCCCCTCTGTGCTCTGAATCTCCTCCTCTGTGCTCTGAATCTCCCCCTCTGTGCTTTGAATCTCCCCCTCTGTGCTTTGAATCTCCCCCTCTGTGCTTTGAGACCTGTGCTTTGAAACCCGTGATGGTCGCCGCGCGAGGTCCAACGTGTCGCTCTGATTCTCATGTGGAACAATCAGATCAGATTGAATTGAGCCGTGTCTGCGAGCGGGCTGAAAGCTTCCCAGGACCTCTGCAAGCCTTGTCTTCGGTGGGACGGTCGACATCACATAGACCTCGTCTTTGCCAGGTGATTCGTAAGCTCTCTCATAGGCAAGCTCTGGATCGAGCATCCTCCCATCCAATACAAGTGACGCGTGCTAGAGGCTTTCATGTCCAGGCGAACGTCACTTCTCGGGCGAGATCGATCTCTCGTACACCACACACGCTCGAACCAAAGTCTAGGGTAGGCGACGAAGCAGCCTTGCTTGAACAGCAGCATAACATGACAGGATGCACCTATTGTTCGTATACAATTATGAGTATCATTATTGTGTCCACATGACATACATGGGTAAAGTCTGTTACTGCTCCAATGGCTTCAGTCAGCTCCCTCCAGCGAAGAAGAAGGCCTTCCTCTTCTCGCGCGCCAGCTCCTCTGAAGGCTGTGCCTCGTTCTTCGATCGCGCTCGCTTGCCTTTCCTCTGCACTGGCTTTGGCACGCTGGGCTGCCGGTCGAGAGACGGTGGCGGTGGTGCCGGCGCAGTGGACTTGACAGCTTGTTTGATCGTGTCGCGAGAAAGGCAGAAGTCGATGTGCGCGTTGAAGGTGCCGTCGTCTGGGACTTGTGGGAGCGTGCAGATCGGACATGTCCACTGCTCCTCTGCTCCTGGCTCAAGCTGAGGTGCAACGGTTGCGCCAGTGTCCTCTTGAATGTGAGCCCTCTCGTACTCTTGTGACAGTTGCTCCAGTTCGTTCATCTCGTCATCACGCTCTCGTGCTGCAGCCTCCTCGAAGTCCTGCTCGGGCCAGATCTCCCACTCTCCACCAGTCCGGTTGACTCTCTTCTTCGTTGGCGTGTTTCCGTTGAGCCTGTTGCGCCCGAAGAAATCGATGCCAGGCTTCTTCGTACTAATGATGTGCGTAACTCGTAAACCCATGAGTCGGAGCTTCATGTTTGGAATCTCTTTCATCAACTTCTCAAGCATTGGTAAGCTGTACCTGTACAGATCGTCTGCACGCTGCACTGCAAATGGTGGTGTAGCCTGACGCGTGTGGACTTCGTACGTGGCAAGCTTGATCTTGATGCACAGAGTTCTGCCTTTGTACTCGGTGCGCTTCAGGTCACCTTCGAGCTCTTCAGCGACCCATCGTAGCTTCGCCCGGAGGGCGTCCTGCGACCCAAGTTCTCTGAATGTCGTCTCAGTGCCAACGCTCTTGCGGTGAGATTCTTCAGGTTGTTGGATTTTGGTGCGTCCGAGACCAAGGTAGCATTGCATCAGGAATCGAAACGCTTTCTGACCAAAGAGCTGGGCCAGATAGCCTCGATACGCATAGATGTCTCCGCAAGTCTTGACACCAATGGCATCTAGTTCACGCTCGAAAACACGTCCAATGCCGTTGACCTTTCGAGTTGGCATGGTCTTCATGAACTCCATTATCGTCCGTCGATCGCTTGGCAGAAAAAATTGCCCGTTAGGTTTGTTCTTGTTCGAACCAATCTTTGCCAGCTTCGCATTAGCAGCGAGTCCAGCAGAGACAGTGATCTTGGCCTTTTCAAAAACTTCAGCTCGTAGTTGGCTGACGACTTCCTCAGGACTCATGTGGTGATCCTCGCAGTACTGCGTGATGTTGAGATACGCTTCATCGCAGCTCGCACTCTCAAAGTTGGCGTCATACAAGGCCAGCACCTCTCGAACTTCCTGCGCCTTAGCCATGTACTTGGAGAAGTTGAGAGGCACGCAGATGAGCTGAGGACATAACTTCATAGCGACAAAGCCTGCCATGCCTGAACGACATCCAAACTTCCTTGCATGGTAGTTGCAAGTAGTAAGTACACCCTTTCCCACTGCCATGGGTACGTCCTTCAGCTCCGGCCTGTCCAGCTCCTCGACCGCTGCGTAGAATGCATCGCAGTCGAGATGGACAATCGTCTGGCTCAAGTCTCGACCAAGTTCCAGCTCTGCAATGTAGTCATCTGCACGGCGTAGATCTGCCGAGAGGTCGTGTTTCTCTAGCTGTGCCTTCTTCGCTAAGATTCTCGTGATCTTCTCAGTGAGATTCTTGTCCTTGGCTTGCTCGTTGTTGAAGAATTTTGAGCCTTTCGACGCGTTATATATAATTTCTGAGACCTTCTGTTGGTCGACTGTGTCCTGGCCCGCTTTGGTGAGTGAGGGCCCTAGTAAATGGTACTTGAGGGAGTCATGCTCGTTCGAAACAATAGGCTGTGGGGGATCTGGTGCCTGGGAAGGTGCGCGCACAGCTCGAGTGCTCTGGCGCAGGTCTGGTGGTGCAGGGGTGTCGCTCGACGCGTTCATGGTGGGAGGCGCCGCTGTTCCGGACGCGTCCGTTGCGTCAGTGGGGACATGTCGGGCAGGAGGCTCGGTCGAGGTAGGCTGCGGAGGCAAGTGCGACGGTGAAAGGGTGGATGTAGGCGCGCTACTGGTCATGTTAAATGCAGCGGCATCGTGACCACAGACTGAAGTGTTGCAGTGCCTATGGCGAGAGATGGCTTGACGATAATATGACGCGCTACAAGACGCTAAGGCTGCAGTAGTGCTCGGCGGCTCTGCCCTGCAGCACTCCAGGGTTCGTCCCGGCCACAGGCTCTATCTAATCACATCACAACAGACACACTCCCCACCCAAAGGCCCCCTCGCTGACTCCTGAGAGAGATGGATACGGCTGCGACTGCAGGAAAGAAACGATCACTTCCATTGTAGCGCGGGGTACCCACACTTCCGCTTCCACCGCCCATTGAACCCTTGTCCACCGCCTCCGCCCGAGAAACACCAAACCAAACAATCGACCATCACAAGCACCGAACCCCCCAGCAACCGCCTCATTGCCACCTCCCACGGCCATGATCTGCCTCTGTACAGGCGCACTTCTCCTCCACTAACACCACTCGACTACCTGGAGAATGCCCATCGACCGAAATACCCCTAACCACTCACGGCCTCTGAAGCCTGCGCTCGCTAGCAACCGGACCGCCGCAAACGGGAAGACACCCATAACCCCACGCCTCGCCCTTGCTCCATCCACACCCTCCAGCAGCTCTTCGCAGATAAGTCGCACGCTGCGCAGCGCCAATGGAGTCACCCCGCGGCTCGCCGCCCCCGTCAAGGAGGACACGCCCTCCTCCAAGGCGCTCCTCAGCGCCAATGTCACACCGCGCACAACGACACGGAGGTCGCGGGTAGGCGTGAGCAGTAACTCATCCACGCCCAATGCCTCTCCTGCGACTACCCCTAGCAGCTCGCGCCCCTCGTCCACGATCGATTTTGCGCATAGAGAGCACGGTTCTGCTCAAAGTGGGCCTGCAATAAATGCGAACCACAGACCCCGGAGCACTGTGGGGGGTAGCAACCATAATGCAATGCCCACACCGCGACTACCGTTGTCGAACATCTACAACCACACGCCGCCGGAGGCCAGTCAGGCGAAAGATGCATCACCGATGTTCTTCCATGCGAGCAGCGTCAAGTCGCCCAGGGAGCAGGTGCCACCTCAGAGAGCACCCCAGAAGAAGGCCGCCGTCTTCTTTCATGCAAATGGCGATCAGGTCAACAGCCCACAACGACCTACCGTCCCGTCGCCACCCTCTTCAGCCGTCGGCCGTCCTTCATCGGCTATTGGTTCACGATCAAATGTGGGAAAGACTTCATCGACCGTTGGCAGGCCGCAGCTCGAGAGCAAGTTCCTTCATGCAGACTCGACTCCAGAAGTGCGTGCTCCGCCAATGTTGAGTCCTACACTCACTGGGACTGTACCAGACCTGGCGCGGAACCCGACTGCGGCCCCTCAGGGACCCCCGGGTCGCGCGGCCTCGCCAACCAAGGATTGGGGGCACCTGTCTTATCGCAAAGGTGCTTCACAGATTATGCGACCAAACCTGCATACTCGCAACTCTGCCCTATCCGTCTTGTCTGGTATCAGTGTGTCCGAAGAGCCTGACAACTCGAGACGACGGTCGAGCGTCACATCTTCGCTCAGCAGACCCGGACACTACAAGAGCGCCAGTCTGTCATCGATAGACTCTGTCGCAGATCTCAGAAGAGTACCTTCCCACGAAGGCTACACTACTACGCCGAGTCCCGTGTTCTACGGAAACCGCGTCGTCAGTAACGGCTCATCGGTGGGCGACAACACTGCGCCTACACCGTCACCCCTGGCCATCAGCCAAAACGCTCTGCCCTCACCCGGACTGGCAAGTCCAACCAAGCCTGCCGGAGAAAAGAGCGTGCTTGAGATGATGAACGACTTAGCAGCAAATGCTCGACGGGAGCGCAAGGTTCTCGATCTCGAGATCAGCAACTCGTCCCTTCTCGCCATCAACCGCTCGTTGGAGAAAGAAATGCGCAAGCAAAAGGCAGAGTTGAAACGTCTGCGTCGAATGAGTCGCGCAGGCCGCTTCTCGATGGACGCTATCGGTTCGACCCTAGACACTTTCACTGCAAAGAAGGCAAGCGACCTCTCTGATATGTCCGAAGTTGAGGAAGAAGAGGAGATGCCCTCAGAGGAAGAAGTTGAGAGCAGTGACTCTTCGTTCGACGAGAGCGGGCTTGAAACCAACGTCCAAGCAGAGCGTGACGAGTCATACCGTATCGAGGACGAGAAGCGTCTCCAGCTGGACCTGGCCAAGCACCGCGACCTGCTCATGGATAGCCAGAAGATGAATGAGAGCCTCAAGCGGTGCCTCAGCTGGACAGATCAGCTTATTAAGGACGCACAGAAGGCACTTGACTACAAGGTCAATGTCAGCGAGGTCCGAATTGGAGGCCGCGTGCTCGTTGTTGAAGACGACGAAGAGGAGGAGACTACCGAGCACGAAGAGGCACGGGGTCTTCTCAGCCCCTGGAGCCCTCCGCAACGCGCTGCAGACACTCTCGACCCACCTGTACCCGACTTCGCCCGAGCAGAAAACCGCGACAGCGGTGTCGATGTCGGCCGTGTGAAGCACGATGGCCACGATCTACCAGAGGAGTTCTCACCGCTCGGCTCGCCCTTTGGCGACAAACTATCTTACCTTCACGCCGCTATCGATGACCTCGAGACATCATAGCCCCTTTTGCACCTCGACCTTATCTCGTTTGTCATCTCTCGCATATATCATGGCGCTCGTCATCCGGTCCGGCGTTCTCTTGCAGTTTTTGCTTCGCTTCTTGCTTACTCGGGCGGCGCACTCGGCGCAACACACCACTCTGCTGCGATAACGAATCTCATTGGTCCTCTCGTGCTATAGAGTGTCCTCATTCTGGACATCACGTCCCAGATCTTCCATTTGGCTGTTAATGTATTATGGGCGAGTCACTGGGATGCATGTTGGCACAACACTAGCGTTTGACTTCACATTGGCCTGTGTCCAAGGCTTCGGCAAGGCTGGCATTTATCAAGAGTAGTGGACTGCTACTCCATTGTGTGTTTTCATGAGATACCCCCGATCGATCAGAATCCGTTCCGTAGTCTGGAATACAATCATACTTAGCTCTGCAATTGGCGCAATGCATTGTCAACTTGTCCTGAGACACGGCAACATCACAACGCGGGAGAATAACAGGTGTGAAGATGGTGTGTATGCATTCCTGGCCGCCTCGTAGCAGCCCTCCTCTGCTTATATGCTCATAAAAAGTCATGTCCCATTACGTACCCCTGGTACGAGTTTCCACTAAGAGATATGCTCTCCTCCACCACAATCTAGGGTATATCTCTCTCTATGCGCAAAAGCAGAAAAGTTATTCGCCCCTATCAACCAATTCTCGATCTCTAAGCCCAGAACCCAAGCAGAGCCATCAAGCCAGCACCGAGAACCATCAAGCCAAAAGCATACAGTGTTCGGCTAACAGGTCCCTTCTGCATGTACGGGCTGAACATGAACTCATGCGCCATCAATTCAACCAGACCAGTGTAAATGAGAATTCCCGCACTGATCGAGTCGAAGATGCCGTTCACGATCAGCGTGGTCTGCGACTCTGGCGCAAACGTGGTTCGCACACCGAGGCCAATAGCAATAGCAATGGGTGTTGAGACGCCGTACCCGAGACCTAGCAGGTACGGTGTCCAGCGCTTGCTCCGCGGCCACGGCACCTCGGCGAGACGCGCGCCCAGACCGAGTCCTTCAAACGTCTGGTGGAAGACGAGCACAATGTATAGCGTGATGAACTCGTCACCGGCGACCGCAAGGGTGAGACCAACGAAGATGGAGTGGAAGATGACGCCGAACTCGAGAATGAAAACAGCGGTGAGCTGCGCGGCGTAGGTCTCAGGGATGATGCCCTGGGCTTCCCAATTTGGGCTAAGAGCTGAGTTGTCCGTGTGGTCGCGTTGGTGGCCAAGGTGATCCTCACCGCGGACATGGGAAGGCTGGGATATCGTTTCTTCAGGAGTGGCGCGCTTGTCCTCCAAACTGTGCTCGTCGCCGTGACTGTGAGAGTGGCTGTCGCCGTGGTCATGGTCTCCGAACTTAGCGTAGCGCATGGTCATTAGCTCCAGGAAGAACATGACGAAGGCGGTCATGAGAGCGATCGCCTCGGGCCATGGGTAAGTGTCTGAGGAAATCGTTTGACCGACAAGACAAGGGTTGCCGAGAGCCTCGTTGGCAGGTGCAAGAAGATGGATGAAAGCTGTCGTAATGATGACACCGGATCCGAAGTACTTGGCCACGAAGAAGGTCCAGGCAGGTACGAGCTTTGTCCTCGCACGTTTGGCAAATGTGGGGAAGATGGCGCCTTGTGAATGTCAGTGAATGATATAGTGATATATGGTAGCGGCGCAGTAGGCCTCTCAGGTGAAAGTGCAGGGCGCCCGACGTGATATACACATCGAACACCAATCAACAGAATACATAATGTACTACCAACGGAAGTAACTCACCCCATAGTGAGCCCACGAGGATAACGAAGATTGACGAGATGCGCACACCCATGCGGCCGTCGTAGTCGTTGGAGCTTGCGCAGGCAGGTGTTGCCTCTGAATCAGAGCCAGCATCCTGTCGTAGCACGAGCCGTGCAAGTTCCATAGCTGCAGCGTCCATGGCGAATGTAGTCGGGTACTACTGAATCAGGGTAGGACCAGGTCGAATTGAGGAAAATGAGGACGAGGTCGCCTTATAGTAGGTATGCAAATGGCGTATCTCACTAGCCTCGGTGAATTGACAGATACTGGGTCTCGGTGTGGTCGATCCCTGCTCGGCGGTTTCTGTCCTGCGAGTTAAAAGGCTTGGGGTGCAGGTCCTCTTAATGCGCCGAGGGAAATAAGCAATGGAGTACCTCGATGGCCGTACGGAAGAAATCCTTACGGGGGCTTGGTGCAGCTTGAAAAATTGGCAGGCTCAACAGCCGTGGGAGCACCTTGATGTCTGCGCTAAGCAACAAACCTGCCGTTTCCGTCACTGTGTGAGCAAATGAATATGAATGGCGCAAACTCCGCGTGCTGCTTCTATCGCCATTCGTTCGTTTTGCATGGAAAAACGTTGCTGTGATCGCGCTCGTTGGATGCCTCATCGTATCGAGAATCATTGTGCGTGGTGTTGTACAGTGGTAGTACCAAGGTTTGGCATACTGCAGGGCACTCAACGACACAAGCGAACCGCATTACCGGAGCTGTAGTCCAGGATACCTGTAACTCTGTGACTCTTTAAAAGGCTATCATCCCCAGCCCGGCTTCATGATGGTCCAATACCATGGCTTCGACTGAGTTTTTGTGTGAGCGGAGCGGACATTGCGTTCTTAATGCCTACCTCAACAACGACCTGCCTGCCGCGTATGCCTTGCGGTACGCAGACCTCCTTCAGGCAGGACCCGAACGCTCGTGAACGATGGGCCTCTCTCGATCAGCGACGTTGTCGGGCAGTGGTCCTACTTCGAGCCATATCACCGACGACACCATCCAAATTTTTGATCAAGTGTCCAACGGCAAGGGCTTGCAGCACCGCAGTTGTAGCGGCACCAACACACGTTTGCCGATACCTACGCGCTGTTGCCTGCCATCCTCGTAAGCCCCTCGTAGAGTGAGAAGAAGCGTGGGTTGTGCTGATCGAGGTGTACTGCACCCGAGCGTCTCCGATGAGCCACTTAGCATTCACACCTCAACACCAACACCTCATGCTAACACAAACGCATAGATAAGAATTCTTGACAAATTATACGCATGTAGAAGCTAAGATTATTAGCATTCTGCGTGAATTTTTAATATCTGTATTAAGAAATTGAGTGTGTAGTGTTGGTAAGATATGCTGTGAAGTAAATGGCCGTGGCTCATCGAAGACGAGCAGGTGAAGTATCGGTACTCAACTGACCATCTGGGAACGCATCTCGCAATGGAACATCGAAGGGCAAGTGTGAGAAAACTGGCGTGCTCGATGTTCGATACCGACACAGACAGCATAGCCAAGGCTGTTCAAAAGCTGGACGAGGAATAAATTTTGGAGGGCACCCTACGACTCCGAGGTCGGCTGGAGGGAACAACAGAGCTTCAGCAGAACTCCAGTCTGCCTTGCGCAGGGCTGTGGACAGGACAGCGATCGCGCAGTCATCTGAATGATGAATATGTTACTCGTGATGAAATGCAGGACATTGAGCGAGAAGCCATTATTGCGTTTCCAGTTGCGCACTTTATCTTGCGCAACTGGAATCTCCTCACCTGCGCGTGCTTGCAGTCGTACGTCTTGGCTGAGCGGAGGAATCTCCGTTTGTTCAAAAACCCTGTTTCTGCCAGTGTCGCAAGGCGGCGGACGAGACACCTTCAAACCTGCAGCGATGGAGGCGGGAATTGGTTGAGTCGATGTCACGTGGCTGTCATACGAGACATCCAGAGTGCGATCCTTTACCTTGGTACAGCCCAGATGTGGGGTACATCGGTCGATGGCGATCGATGATGGCATTTACGGTTTTCCATGGCTGTGCACATCGCGAATCCTCCGGGCGTGAGCAACACAGCACTGCACCCACGAGGTGTCTACCGCAAAATACAAAGTCTCATCAATTGATAGTTCCACAGGTACCAAGGGGCTACACGCCGTTCGTCTACCTCTGCATCGTGTTGTTTGACGGCGCTTGGACTGCGATCCAGCTCCAACCGTCCCGTCGTCACCAGCAGCCAATGGCCTCCGCATGAGTGAGGGGAGATGACGTCGTGACTTCCTACTTGGTACAGCTCCTGCAAAAGCTCGGGGCAGGTGACACCATGAAGCCCTCCGAGCTGTTGCCTGCACTCTCTTTATAACCTCAGCCGCTGCTGGACACTCTCCGACTTTTCATCCTTCAATCGAGGTATCGCTGTCACTCAATTAACAGCTCCACCACCGTCACCATGATTGTCGACGCATTCGAAGAGGTTCTCAAGAAGACATCCATGATTCCCCTTCCCACTGCCACAGGCGGCGTCTCGCCCATCCCTACCGTCCTTCCCGACACACCCGACAAGCAATTCGTCGGTGAGACTGGCACAAAGACACTATGGGTTGTCTTCATCATTATGTTGATCTCTTCTGGTGTCTTCTCCGGTCTCGCCTGGAGGGTCCCAGTGGTAAGTAGCGCAGGTTCACAACAATGAGCAGCCGCCTGACAGCCTCGCAGCAAAAGCGCCTCTTCTATGTCATCACGACTCTGATCACCATCACGGCTGCAATCTCCTACTTCGCCATGGCCGTCGGCGAGGGTGTCTCCATTCACAAGATTCACGTTCGTGAGCAGCATGACCACGTCCCTGACACCCACCACGAGATCCACCGTCAGGTCTTCTGGGCCCGCTACGTCGACTGGGCTATCACCACTCCCCTTCTGCTCCTTGACCTTGGTCTCCTGGCTGGCATGAACGGTGCTCACCTCACCCTCGCCATTGTCGCTGATCTGATCATGGTTCTCACTGGTCTCTTCGCTGCTTTCGGCTCAGAGGGTACTCCTGCTAAGTGGGGATGGTACACCATTGCCTGCTTCGCCTATCTCGTTGTCGTCTGGCAGCTCGCTGTCAACGGCCGTGCCGCTGTGCAGGCCAAGGGCCAGAACGTCTCTTCGTTCTTCCTCTCCATCGCCACCTACACCTTCATCCTGTGGACGGCCTACCCAATGTAAGCCCTTGCCAACATCACATGAGTAATAATCGCTAACAGTATCAGTGTTTGGGGCTTTGCTGACGGTGCTCGCCGCGTTGGTGTTGATGGCGAGATCATCGCCTACGCCATCCTTGATGTCCTTGCTAAGCCCGTCTTCGGTACTTGGTTGATTATCACCCACGCTAAGCTCCGCGAGACCGACGTCGATCTCGGTGGTTTCTGGGCCAACGGCCTGAACCGCGAGGGTGCTCTCCGTATCGGTGATGACGATGGTGCCTAAGCACGTCATCATCGTCTGGATATGACCAACTCGACATGAGTAACATCATCCAATCGAATCTTCGAACAAATTGCAAAGTGGGACAAACCACTCTTGAGAGCGTCCCAGGTGGAAAAGTGTCGACAACAGATTGGTGGCTGAAAATGCCCAGCCTTCCTGCCGTCTTCGATAGTCTGTTTACGAACTTCAATAACTCAAGCGTGGAGCAAAGGCATTCTGTATATTAGTGCGGGAGGCCTGTGAATGGTTTAGGTAAATGGCTAATGTGGTAATTAAATGATCTTCTCACAAACACGTTGACTTCATTACCGCAGTGACGCATCCTCAGGAATGTGTACCTGTGCATCATTCCACACAACCATTGTTCCCATTCCACAACTGTCAATCTTGTTACCCTCGTTGGGCATTGGTCGTGTGCCTTTACCCATTTATTGATCTACATTACACAGGCAGCCCACGAGTCTGGCGAGGTACTACAATGCTTGATGCCATCAAGCCTTATTATCCGTGGAGCAGTGCATACATGGTGATCATTTATCTCTGTTGAACTTTGAGGAGCAATCCAACTCCTCAAGATGTGTTCAGCTACCATCAGTCTCGTCTTCGCCGTGCTGGTGGCACAAGTGTGCGTTGTCTGGCCATCGCCCATTCCTCGCAATTGTATTTACACATCACCAGACTAGCATTACCACAGGTCGAACAAGTCGGGACAGCATCATCAGCAGTCACAGCAGTACCGATATGCACCCACATCATCTTCAAACAGCCCTCTTTCGGCAGGGTCTGCACGAGTCACAGCAGTACCTTGACATACACATCGTACACCAATTGTGGTGTTGGCTGTACGCTGTCTACCAGACAGTTCGGTGTAGGCCTCGTACGTAATGTTTCAATAAAGAATGCGTTGAAGAAGACTCTGCTGACAAGCTGTAGCCATGCCGTACTGTGAGGTTCAACCCGGGTAACACTGCGACGATGGTAACGAGTTGTTCACCAATTACGGCGATGACGACAACGACGAAGACGGTGACGAAGCATGCGAGGCATACAGGTGAGCTTCCGTTCTTATTCAGTGGGGGTTTGCTGATATGGAGTAGTCATTTCGAGTTTGTAGAGGCGCCTAGGAGGGGATGTTCGTCCATATTAAGGTACCGTGACATGCGCTTCATGTGGAGTCAAAGCTTGGTAGGGGAGGGTATCAGAGTCCAAGGTCTATGCATGTACCTGGATCAAGGGGATAGGATCAGTCTGAAAGGATTTGCAGCCTCATCTAATGCTTCCTGGATGCATTTTTGCTTCCTGTTGTCTTTGTACGTGGATGTGGTAATGAGAGGAAGAGGCCGTGCGTGGGTACGTCATGCCCAGAACCTGAGCTAGCGACGAATACAACCATCACACCATGATGGCAGCGCAGTGATCGTTCTGTTGTTCGTGAGACCCGTGCCTGACCAAGACAGCGGCGTATGACGAAGGCCGTTGCTATACGCAGGGATCGTGGTTGCCCCGCTTCAGGTTCACCTGGCAGCCGCAGCAGCTTTGTTTCGACGCTTCCAGCCGCCGCGATCCCCTCATAAGCTGCCCTCACCTCCGCGAGCTCCCATAAGTACACGAAACCCGCGAAGCTCCAGCTGCATCCGCCACTGATTACACCTTGACCCTACTGAATCCGCTGACCACCACTCACCATGGCTTCTACTGACACTAACACTGTCGACGCTACCCCAATCTCGCCCGTTCGCAGCAATGAGAGGCGCAACAGCTTAGAGAAGCATCTGCAGCACCGCCCGGAGGCTCAAGACTTGAAGAACAGGCACATCCTCTTGGATACTACTACAGCTCCGTACGCGCTTTCCTTCTTATGCTCGCGCATCTGGAGTTGATGTCCAATGCTGCATGCACTTCAGCTGACCATGTCTCAGCGCCCTCCAAGCCAAAGCCCTCGAGCTCGAACGCCAGCGCGCGACCGATAACCTTAAGAAAGGCCTCAATACCCGCCCTGATCGTGACGACCTCATCCAGCGAAACATCCTGCCAGCGTCGAACGCTGCACCTGCCCTGCAAGAGAAGCAGAGAGAGCTCGAACACCACATGAAGGCTGACAGCCTCGAGAAGGGGTTACAGAGTCGGCCCAACCCTGAGGAGCTTATCAAGAAGGGCATTCTTGAGGCAGACGAGAACCCGCTGAAAGACGCCTAGGGCGCGGACAATCGTGGGATGGCAGGCCATGTGCATATGACAGACCTGTGTTGGTTGGATTCCTGTCACATGACTCGATGCTTCACCCTGCACGCACTACACGAGTGCTCCCTATTGCCTGTCCCTCCGCCTACATAAATTAGGCTTCCCCGCCCTTAAATATATTATCCAACGCTACCTCCTTCCTCTGTTCACACCCTGTAGTGACAGGCTGCATACTCTTCACTTGGTTCTGGGCGATAAATTGCTTCACAGCTGCTGTACAAAAACGCAGATACGACTTGCAACTCAAAGCTCCCTATGTTGACACTTCGTCACTCATGCCTTGTCCAACTTCACACAGCTTCACAGCACGATCAAGGCATGGCACAGTCAAACAAAGAGCGACTCGAAGTCGTGACTTATTACTGCTTCATACGAAGATGTGCCACTTTACATGACCAAAGACAAGCAACAGCCAAGGTCTTCGTTCTAGCGGCTACGGCCAAGCGACTCAAGTATTGACTAGTGCGAGCTGGGTGCAACCTCTTTGCGCTCCTCGCGGACGACTTCCTTTCCGTCGAGACCGACCTCGTTGACGGACGCACGGCCCTCGCGGTCTGCCTCGATGTTTTTGATGAGCTCGGTGATACCGAAGAGGTCATCCATCTTCTCAAGGGACAGACCCTTGGTCTCGGGAACCAGGAACCAGACGAAGAAAAACATGGAGAAACAGAAGGTTCCGTAGATGAGGAAGGTTCCGTAACCGTTGAATCCAACAGTGGTCATCATGTTTGGTGTAGCACGAGCGACAACTAAGTGAAAGGTTAGTACAAGCCAGACATGAATTACACATTCAACATACCGAAATTGAAGAGCCACTGGGTGGCAGCAGCGATGGCGACGTTGAGCGATCGAAGACGAGCAGCAGGAATCTCAGAAACGTAGATCCAGCAGACAGGGCCCCAGCCGAACTGGAAGAAACCGGCGAAGAGGAAGACGCAGACGAGAGCAAAGTAACCAGCAGGTGGCACCGGGAATGGAGTGCCCTTGGGAGGGTCGAAGCGCATGTACAGACCGATGTACAGCATAGCGAGACCCTGGGCGATGGAAGTCCAGAGAAGAGAGCGGCGTCGACCAAGAGAATCGGCGGCGAAGATCAAGAAGGCAAGACAGGCGATCATCTTGACAATGCCGTATATACCAGTGGCGAAGAGTTTCACCTCATTCCCTTCCAGACCGAGGGCTTTAAAAATTTGTGGGGCGTAGTAGTTAATTGCATTGGTACCCGTCATCTGTTGACAAATCATGAGGCCGATGGATAGAAGAGCGCGCTTACGGTTACCGGGAATGGTGAACATCTCCTTGAGAAGATCCTTGATGGAGGCACCAGCGATAAGCATGCGCTCATGCTCAAGTTGGTCGGCAATATCCTTCAACTCGGCGGCGACGTACTCGTGAGACGCAGGCAGGTTGCGGACACGGGCAAGTACAGAGGTGGCCTCCTCCCAACGATCCTGTTTGGCGAGGAACCGAGGAGACTCCTTGTTCAGAGCCATGCAGCCGACGAGAAGAACAGCTGGAAGAGCCTGGAGAGCAAGAGGAACCATGTATACAGCCTGGGAGCCGGAGATGTGCATCAGCGAACCGTAGTTGACCCAGAAAGCCAGACATGTTCCAGTTGCAATGAAGAGCTGGTAGAGACCGGTGAGACCACCACGAATGGCACGAGGAGCGTTTTCAGAGATGTACAGAGGGACAACCATGGAGGCTTCTCCGACACCGACACCTGCGACGAGACGACCGATATACATGGCCGCAATGCTTCCAGAGGCAGCAGCCTGAATGACACAACCAACGATGGTGATGAGACCGGCGATCTGAAGTGTAAGCTTGCGTCCCCATTTATCAGCCATCCAGGAAGCGAGGAAACAACCGATAAAACATCCAGCTTGTAGAGTTGAGGCGATGTTGGCGTTGAGGTCGGCTCGGTCCTTGGGAGTCTTGTCCGCAAGATCGTATTTCCTTCAATGTTGTCAGTCATCTGCCAGCGGAGGGGCGGTGAAGAGGAACATACTCCTGAAACTCCTTCAACTCGAGAACACCTCCGATAGTACCGATATCGAAACCGAAAAGCATGCCTCCGAAACAGGCGGAGCCAGCCATGGCAAAGGCGCGCCATCCGTAGATCTCTGGGGGATCGGTCTTCACGGCATCATTCTTGACGATTGATCTGATGATCCTCGCACCGGTAGAGATGCGCCCGCTCATTATTGCGATGGAGATTACTCGAAGGCTTTGATGTCTTTGTTTTCAGTCGACTTTGTACCCTGGTCCAATGGTGGTCGACAAGGCCCGTGATTGTGAGGAATGAAAGGAACCTCCACAGAATGGATGATATTCAACAGCAGGACCGCGATATCTATATATCTGCACGTACAGCGGCCCAAGCTCCCTGTCAAGACGGGGTAACCAACGCCGTGGTCCTTGCCCCAGTCTTTGCCCCGGACTTCAGACTACATTGAACCCTCCACACGCACGTCAAACAGGCCATCCACATCCCGAAGGAGCTTCGCTTGAAGATCCAGATAGCGATTCTGTTGATTCCATCCAGTGAGATGCTTCTCACATTCAATGTCTTGGCTTCCGCTTGCAGATACGTTGCTTGGCTCGGCGCATTCATCTACACGCCATTTGTGGAAGAGGGAATGTGCGTCTTGGACGAGCCAAGCACAGCGTGAAATTCCGCCAACAAGGGGAGGACGTGGCGTTTCCTCCTCATCAGCGAGAGCGTGCGAAGCAAGTCTTGGCTCTTGGCTCTCCATGGGGTCTGGGGCCTCGCCCCCCACACTGGCGATTTCATGCACGATGCTGACTTGAAGGAGTGCTGGGGCAAGTCTGGGGTAGCGCAAGTGGGAACGCCGCGCTAGTCTGCTCTCGTATTGTGAGGCCATCTACCGTGCATTTATCCGCCATTTAAACTCGTTGTGGACATCAACATAGCCCGGCCAACCGTGAGAGGAAAATTTGTGGATGCTTTGTACGATATTGTGGAGTTTAGTGCTCTTGGTCGAATTGATCTCACCCAAAGTTCGTCATTACGCGGTGGTTCGCAGGCCAAAGATGGGGCATGGAGGGGCATTCGTTCGGTGGAAGCAGCGATCGCGCGCTCTTCGCAGTCAATACCCGGAGAACCGACGGCTAAAGGGCGATATAAAGGAAACAGGCAATGTCATTCGCACGCTGCTAAAGCTGCTAGTCACTTTGAAACCCCGTCGTCCACCAAGGCCACATCCATCCCGGGCAAAGTCAAGCCTTTTGGCAGCGCTCGATTTGCCACCTCTCACGCCCCAAACTCTTGGAACCCCCTGGGCTTCGGCACTGCACTACACGATCTCCCGCTAGGCCTTCGCGATCCGGTAATCAGCCACAAAGTACACGCGCGTGGCCGTGAAATCGTTGCGACCGCGGACGGGACGTCACGGAACTCAACGCAATAATTCTTGCGAGGCGTCAAGAAACGCAAGACTCGTTTACACGCCCAGAAACGATATCGAAGGTTCATTGGAAGCCAAACCATGAGTGCCGCCACGGCAAACGCCAACCGCGCGTTTCCCCTCCATCCCTTCTCCACGAATCCCCTGCGCGATAGAGATGATGTCGTCAAGGCTGTAGCTTCGCTTCTCGATCCGCTATTGGCGGGGCTCTCAGAGCACAGTTCTATTGTCAGAGTTGGTTATACTGGAACTCGCTTTGACGAGACTGCTGCTGGAGTTGAGGGCTTTGCACGACCGTTGTGGGGTCTTGCTGCCTTGCTGGCGGGAGACAGTCAATACGCTCATACCGATAAGTTTGTTCAAGGCCTGATCAATGGAACGGACCCGGAAAGCCCTGGCTTCTGGGGCTACATGGAAGACATTGATCAAAGGATGGTGGAGGCGTGTCCCATTGGATTCACGCTTGCTGTTGCGAATAAGCAGTTCTGGGATCCGTTGACCGACAAGCAGAAGAAAAATGTTGAGACATGGCTTGGCAGTATGAATGGAAAGGAGATGCCCAACACAAACTGGTATGCTTTGCATCTTGCATGCTCATTGATCTCCGAAACTGATGCTTGCGTAGGCTATGGTTCCGTGTCTTCGCCAACCTTGGACTTGCAAAGAACGGAGCAGACTGGAATAGCGATCTTGTCAAGTCGGACATCAAGCATTTGAATACCTTCTACCGTGGCGATGGCTGGAGTAACGATGGTCCTGAGCACTATCGTCAGATGGACTACTACTCTGGCTCCTTCGCCATCCAGTACCTTCAGCTCCTCTACGCCAAACTCGCCGCTGACATCGACCCTGAACAGGCCTTAGAGTACAAAGAACGTGCACGACTGTACGCTCAAGACTTCGTCCATTACTTTGACCCCGAAGGCCGTGCTATCACCTTCGGTCGGTCTCTCACCTACCGCTGGGCCATGGTCGCATTCTGGGGCTCATTGGCCTTTGCCGATGTCGAACTTCCCGAACCCCTTTCCTGGGGCGTCGTCAAGGGTATCTGGCTCCGCAACCTGCGTTGGTGGACCACCCAGCCCGACATCTTCCAGTCCAACGGGATGCTCACACTCGGCTACTCGTACCCCAACACCTACTTGACCGAGAACTACAACTCCCCCGGCTCACCATACTGGTGCATGCTCACCTTTGCGGCCCTCGCAGCGCCCAAAGATCACCCCTTCTGGACCGCAAAGGAAGAACCCCACCCCTACACCAACACACGCATCATCCGCCCACTCAAGCACCCCCGGCATATCGTCATCCGCAGCGGCGGACACTCGTTCCTCCTCAGTAGTGGGCAGTCGTGCCATTACGCGATCAAGAACTCGAACGCAAAGTACGGCAAATTCGCCTACAGCGCCGCTTTCGCGTACTCCGTGTCCACGGGGTATCAGGAGCTGGAGCAATTCGTCCCCGAGTCTTCTCTCGCGCTATCCGACGACGGCGGCGAGCTGTGGAAGATGCGCCGAGCGCACAACGGCGATTCGAGCATCGAACCGTTCGACGGCGCGCCGGTGCTGGTCAGCAGTATGAAGCCCTGGCCTGATGTCGAGGTCACAACGTTCTTAGTTCCGCCCGCGGAGGAGAGTCCGAGCTGGCATCTCAGGATCCATAGGATTACAACGGGCCGCGATGTGCTGACGGCCGAGGGCGCGTTTGCGGTTTACGGCGCGAAGTATGCTGATGGCCGCATGTTCAGTGGCTTTGATGAGTCGCTTCCTGAGGGCGGGAAGGATGAGGAACGCAGTTCGCTTGCTGCGAGTCCGAAGTCGGGCGCGGTGGGTATTGTCGAATTGTCGAAGACGAGTCGCGAGGGGCATGTGCTGCAGGCAGATGCGAACAGCAATCTTGTTGAGGCGAGGAGCGTGGTACCTCTGCTCAAGAATGAGCTCAAGGCGGGCTCGACGACGTGGTTTGTCACTGCTGTGTTTGCGCTTCCGGGCAGTGTTGAGGGGTGGAGGACGAGCTGGAAGGAAGGGTGGGAGAATAGACCTGCGGTGCCAAAGTGGGTGCAGGAGAAGATTGAGGGGAAGAACTAGATCTACTATACGCGCGAGACAACAATATCAAGAGTAGATGTGCAGCGATGAATACCTCATAGATCTTACTTTGTATCGTTGTTTCGGCTGATCTACATAACATTGCCTCGCGGCGGGGTATCTACAAACTCAACTCTTCCGCATCCCTCATATCGGAGAACTATTCTTCATACTCTGCGTATCCTCACTCCACTGACTATGCGGAGATCTCGGCCGTATCTTCCTGGCCCCGGCCTCCATCTCCTCAAAATCTTCATTATTCGCAGGCTCACTCGTGACATGCGTCGTCATGACCAGCTTGATATCCTTATTCCCCACGGGAAACAAGTCGTCCAAACTACCCCTTCCAGATGCTGGTACGCTTCTGCTAGCATTGCGTCTGCTCCGCTTTGAGTTCAGGGCTTCGATCGTCGTCTCACCGCCAAAGCGGGTGGATTTGACCTGCCAGAAGGGTGAGAACGTTTCGAATCCGTTGTCGTCCGAGGGCGGCTCGTCGCTGAACAGCATGATGCGGCGAGTGCACGTGTACAAAAGGACGTCGAGCCAGCCGTTTGAGGTGATCATTGCGCCAGAGAGGCAAAGGCGCGCGAGTGATGGGGGTTCGCCGGTCATGGCTGCCATACGAGCGGAGGCGAGAGGGAGCGTACATATTACGTAGACGATGGGGTAGACGACCATGAGGTTCGATATTGCTCGGACTCGTTTGGACTCCTCGGGTGTGTAGTAGCCGGTGTGGATACGGTGGAGCAGGACGCCGTAGGTGATGGCGTAGATGAGGACGTTGCCAAACTCACTGCTACCGTTAGGTCTATCATCGAATCGGCCGCGGTGAGTCAACTTACAAGATAAAGATCCAGATATAATGAGTCCACAAGCGAAGATCTTTTAAATCGTGGTGAATCCAACACCAAACTCCAGACCTCACATATAGGTTCTCGCCGTGCAAACCGATACCTATCGAGGAAACCCCAATGATGAATATCCAAGCAGCAGCTATTGTACAGTAGAAGGCCTTCGGCTTAAGTCGATAATCCAGAATAACTGACGCAAATGTATGTAATCCAATGGCGAAACACCAAACCCCACTCCCCAGGTCACCAGTCGAGACCAGCCATCCCTGAGCAAAGCAAATCGGATTCTCGACTTGCAGTGAGCCCAGTCGTAGCCACTCAATGTTCAGCAGAAAAGCGAGTGCTTGCTGTATATCTGCCCAGAGAAGGTTGAAGATAAGGATGACGAACTGGTTGCTCCGCTTCGACTTGATATGCCACGATATGAGCTTGTAGGTGAGGATGAAGAGCAGTGTGACCGAGGCGACGAAGGAGATGAAGCCTAGTACGACGACCGCTTGGAGCCAGGGGTGGATGTGAGCCGGGAGTTCGAAGCTGTTGGATGCTACATCCAGCTTTTCAAAGTCGATCATCTTCTGTGTTCTTCAGGAGCGGAATCCTTTGAAGGCCAGTTGCTACTGAGGTACGATTCGAAACACGTTTACGATATGCAGTCCAGTATCATGTCGAAGTAGAAGCCGAGGGTCAAAGAGTAGGTGAACCGCGGAGTGCCCACCAAGGGACACAAAGAATCGAACAAAAGAAGATTCCGTACAACTCTGGGTTCTGAGTAATAACATACAATGCTAGTGGCCAAGGCACGGCCCAGGCGCGCGCTGAGTGGTGCTTTGAGCTGACAACACCATGCAAACAGTAATCTCGAGACCTGTGGGAGCATGCGAAACCCACCCTAGCCCCACAGTGGAAGGGGAGCCCCGGCCGTTAGATTCGTGCTCGCGTGGCATCGAGGGCGCCAATGGGTAACTTAGACCAGTCGCCGCGGACCTCAGCACAAAACAACTAGAGTGCTGCGCTGCGGCCTCTAGTTGAGACAGAACAAGGCCGGTGGAAGGACAGGCTCCAAGGTACTCGCCTTGGCAGCATCGCGATGGTACACATTACTGCATGCCAGGCTCACTTGATTGGGTGACACGGGGTATCATCTGACAGAGTCTTTGTTTGTATGCGCTTACAGTCCGTCTAAGCCCTGTAACCCGTTATGAGACAGCTGGAGTAGACCGTGCTAGTGGTTTGTGGCGTTTTTTGGACCACATGGCATATGTTCGTTCGGGCAAGGTGCCGTGCTATGTTGGTAGACGGCGGCGAGGTGCAGGATCGCACGCCGGGTAGTTAAATCCATGGCGAGCGCCAGTGATAGGGGCTGCATGGAAAGAACACATTGCTCCTGCGGATTGCAGACGAGCACTGAGTAAGTTTGGCAAGCATTCCTCCGTTCCATAGAGCGGGTGGTAACAGCGCAAACGCTTATGATCGAACCCTACCCACCGGTCAATGCCGTTGCGCTTGGAGTTATTTCCTTCAGCCAATGCAGCAAGGGTGCGCGGCTAATCGGGTGTTTCAGTCAGATGTCTCCTGAAGTCCTTTCAGCCACGCTCGTCAGCTGCATGTGGTCCATTGTTAGCAACCTCCGTGCAGCAACTGCAAATTGGTGCAGAAGGTTCACAGCGCTGAAGATATCCGCGCTGGATCCAAAGACTCCCGCAAAGCGACCCGTTCTCAACAGAATCACGAAGACCGAATCGCGCAATTGTGCAGAGGGCGTCGAAGGATCTGTCTTGTAATAGGATCGACAAACCCCGAGTGGAGGGGCCGCGCTAGGCAGGGCGCTAGCAGACCCCTTTCCCGGGGGATGAGCAAGGCAGCTCCACCACGGCAATCTTGAAGAAGCGAAAGAACGTTTGAACCGCACCCCAATTTGAGCACGTTTGGTATGGCCGATCAACGGGCCGTTCTTGTGACATCCATGAAGCCATACAACCAAACAAGCCAGATCGCGGCGAAGGATGACCGCGTGAGTTGCGAGTTGAAAATGATGACATGCACGACCAAGATTGGCGATCAAAAGAACGTCGTTCAGCGGCGCCTGTTGCTTATGGAAATACCGATCATGTTGAATCCGAATGTGCGGATCAGCTTGTCCGGAAATAGGCTCTCCTTGCTCAGCGCCTGATCGTCCCGCTCCTTTCCCTCGTCCCGACTACCTTATCCCCAGCACGCAACAAAGAGCATCTCTTACGGAAGCCGTTAAGCGCCCCCACAGTCCGCAGCTCGAGGACGCGGATTTGTTATTTGTTGGAGTGGTCGCCGACCGTAGGGGCACCAAGGAGGCGCAGTAACGGACCGTTCCTGCAACCGCGGATGGGTAACCTGAGATGTACAGTGCTTGCTTGTGGAAGTATCGTGCATGGTGGTACCCGCAGGATTTGTCGCAGGAAAGGATACCAAAGAGGAGAGCGAGGCTGTGCACGGCTGAGCATGCAGAGGACGCGAGCGCCTCCACAATGGGGGCTGAAAGACAGGTGAGTAAGCGTCGAACCTTTTTGTTATCTACGAGTCGAGTACGAAGCAATTTACCACTCCAATAATTGGTACCAGGCGGGGTATGTGTCAACCAAGTCGCAATCGCAACAGAACGCCAACCGCAACCGTGCAAACAAGATAACAAGATAAGAAAGCGTGCAATGTGTCGTCAACTCGTCCATCGCGATCCCCTCTGCACAATTTCCTCTGTAACGTCAAATATCTCCCAGCTTCTATCTCTGCGAGGCTCCTTGCGCAGAGTAGTACCCAGTACCCGGGCCCTGCGTATAAGGTCCCCGTTGGCTAGCATCGAACTCGTAATGCATGGGCTGCTGCTCCACCAACTCCTGACTCTGTTGGAGGATCTTCTGCATGGCATCGATATCTTCGATGATGACGTTGAACGCTTCCGCAACGGCGTTAATGACCTTGTTGCGGTTGTATTCTCTGCGGTGTGCCCAGATGGTGTCCATGAGCGCGGCGTTGACTTGTTCTAGTTGCTCGAGCGAGCAGCCTGATGACGAGCTGACGAGCTTGCTGTGAAGCTGTACAAGCGAAGCGTCTTCGAGGATGACTTGAGGCTCGGGCTGAGGCTCGGCGAGGATATCGACGATGTTCGACTTGTGTGCTGGTGGTGCGGGCGCAGGCATTTGAGACGACTGCGACGGCTGTGAGGTCTGCGATCGCGGCGACCCGGAACGCTGGCTGGGGAAGTGCTGCTCTGTGTCGAAACTCGAGTTAGCCGAGTACTCCGGGGAAAGAGGAGGATCGAGTTCAAATCGACGGTAGAAAGACTCTGGCGCACCTTGTGTGTCCGGAAGTTGCGACCCGCCAGCGGGAGCTACCAAGTCTGGCAAGCCTGCGATGCTGACACTGTTGCTGCTCTGAGTGCCAAACTTGTTGTCTGAAGAACGCTTCGAAGTCTGGTTGCCAGATGTAGTGGTGCTGGCACTGTTGTAGTAGTCGTGGAGAGGCATGTTGGGGTTAACGAATGTACGAGCTGACACTTGCGACTTCTGTGTCAGCTGCGTGTTCGGCCTACTAGGTGTTTGGAACTGGAGGTCAGCCTGTGTACTAGCAGTAACATCATGCTGACTGTCGGGCATGATTGAATCCTCATCTGCCACCCGCGATGGGACAGTTGATCCATTCTGATGCGAATGCTCTCTACTGTCAACTGCACTTGTGCCGTTTGACAAGGACTGGTCGTGAAGTCCACGTACAGGCGTGACAGGAGGGAATCGAGGTATGGGCTCGCCGAGTACGATCGGCCCAGATGCGTTCTCAGTCGTAGTAAGCGATTGCTCGGGAGGCACTGGCGCGACTTCGGGAGGCACCTCCTTGCCGTCTCTAATTGCTTTCTTGCGCTTCTCCTGTGCCTTCTTGGCACGTAGCAATTCTCGCTCATACAGCGCGTCACACTCCTTTGTCAACCATGGATATTGAGCGTCATTGCCGGTGAACCAAGAGTCGATATCAACCTCCACGTTCGCGACCATTTCGTTCGCCCTGAGTGTGCGTTCTGCGTCCTGGAAAGTTTTGGAGTCTTTCGCAAGAGTCTTGACGTCGAACAAGAAGTCCTTAGGACGTTTGTAGTAACCATTCGACAGACGTTGCTCGATCTGTGACAGATCAAGGTTGTAGTACTTGTTCCCGCTTTCGACGTGCAGCAGCACACCTACGCCCTTGCTGTCCGCTGATGTCTCCCAAGGTCGTGTCATGCCTTCTGCCTCTTGTTGCTCTCGATCCAAGTCACTGGTGACACGGTTCGGGTTTTGTTCGTCAAGCAGGTATGACCACCAAGATGGGTCAAGCACAGGCTTGAAGAACCTCCTGTGCTTCTTTTTCAAGTTGTCCATGATCGGTTGGATGAGACTCTTCAACTTGTTGAGCGTCAGTGCATCCTGCTTCCGTTGCGCCTTTTCCCGAGCAGCTATTTCCTTGGGATCAAGTACGGGTTCAACAACAGGCGCAGGCTCCAAGACTGGCAAGACGCGCTTCTTCCTATTCTCAAGGTCTGGGAAATCGGCGGGAGACATCCGAATATACTGGCTGATAGAGCTGAAGAACTCCGAGCGACATTCTTGATCGGGGCGTTGCAAATCGAACTGATTGTTGAGGGAGAAGCCAAAGAGGTCGACCATCATTTGGCGGTCAGGTTTGTCTTCTGGAGTCTCGAGTTCCATCACACCTAGTACCATAATTGGTTCGTTGGCACCGATGCTACGCAGCAATAGCTTGAAGGTTTTGGTGGCTGCTGGAGGCAGCGTGTTGTACCATACGTCCACGGCTGGGATGTAGATCACGCTGGGCTTATGACGTCGAACTTCGGTGAACAACTGGGTGATAGCAGCTTCAGGAGACCGTGTGGAGTCTTCCAAGATGGTTGGGAGATCGAACGATTGCACGTGGAGGCCTTCAATCTTGCTGAGCAGAGCAGCACCCAGATATTGTTGACCCATCCCCTGTAAACCGGTGATGAGAAGTCGGGGTCTGAATATTCTGCTGGTTTCGAAATTGCGCATTGTGTTCTCACGCTCGAATCCTTTCTCGTCCTCGCGATCATCGTACTCGGCTTCCTCAAGTGCAGTAAGCACTTTCCTCCGGGGAATAAGCTCGTTGATGCGCTTGATGATATCTGCTAGCGGCTTCCGTAGCAGGGGCTCAATAAGTTTGGGCAAGGGATTGGCGGCAGCTGTAGCAGTCCGTTGCGAGGAAGGAACCATCTTGTTTACTGAAACCATGAAATCTTTGGCGAGAACCTTGATTTCGCTAGGGTGGATGAGCAGCTTCTTCTCAGACTGGTAGATCTGCGGGTAGGTGCCCTGTACAGCGTTCAAGGCAGCTTCCGTGCAAAGGGCGCGCAGGTCGGCACCTCCATAGCCCTTGGTCAGTTCCGCCAGTGAGTCTTTCATCTTAGGGTCAAGTGGTGGATCCCAGTTCTTGGTGTGGATGTCAAGAATAGCACGTCGCCCCACGACGTTGGGCAGCGGGAAGTAAAACTCACGATCGAATCGACCCGGGCGACGCAACGCATTGTCGACGGAGTCGGGTCTGTTTGTTGCGCCAATGACAACGACTTGTCCACGGCCATCCATACCGTCCATGAGCGCAAGTAGAGTCGCGACAATGGATGCATGGATCTGCTCCTGCTTGCTGGATCTGACAGGTGCCAAACCATCGATTTCGTCGAAGAAGATAATACTGGGCTGAGTCTTGCGAGCTTCCTCGAACAGCGTGCGAAGTTGCTTTTCAGCTTCACCAACCCACTTGCTCAGAGCATCTGCACCCTTGCGCATATAGAAGGTAACCTTCTGGCCGTGCGAGCTAACGCTGGAGGCCAGAGCACGAGCGAGCAATGTTTTACCGGTACCGGGGGGTCCGTGGAACAACACACCTCGAGGCGGTGTGATCTTGAAGCGCTGAAAGACCTCAGGGTATAGCAAGGGAAGCATGATCATCTCCTTGAGCTTGTTGATATGATCGTCCAGACCACCGACACCATCAAAGTTGACATTGGGATCCACTCCAAGCGGGTCGGCATCAGCCAGAGCCTTCTTGTCCTTGATCTTGCCGAAGTTTGCAGGTCCGCCGCCGGAGCCTTTGTCTTGTTGTGCAGAGTTGTTGTGGCCCTGCGGAAAGGCACCGAAGCCTGGTGCTGTTGCTGCTGTGGGCGTCATGCCAACTATGCTACCGAAATGTCTGGGCATCTTCTGCACTTCCTCATCGCTGCTATCGGAGTCATCGTCTTGCCCAAAGCCAATCTGACCACCACCGAACGGACCCTGGTTGCTGAACAACGACACAGCCCCGGCGCCTGCCTTGGAACGTGACTTGCTGGCTAATGGCGCTGGCCCGTCTTCGTCCTCATTTTCAAACACTGCGTTGAGCTCAGGACGAACAACTCTGTAGTCAACGGTCCTGCGCTCTCGCCTCCTGGGACCAGTTTCGTAGGAGAGATCCTTGTCAGGCACACGCCTGCTTAGGCGGCGGCACTTGTGTGTGCCCAGCTCCTGCAGTTCATCCTGTAGCTCGTCGTCGTCTAAAGCCGACTCTTCGTCTGATGAAGTGCGCCTACTTCGTTGAGACTGCCGTGTTCGACCCCTAGTCTTGCGAGCAGACCCTGAGGCGCTGTCAGACGCTGCACCTTTGCCTTTACCATGATCAGACTCTGACATCTCCTCATCCTCGCCCTCAGCGTCGACATCGACGGGCTCGAAGTCGCTGCTCTCGCCTGCACCGCGCTTGCGCTTCTGGGATGTCGCTCGCGATCGCAGATTGCGGCCACCTCGTGTGATGGGTCCCTCTTCCTCGTCAGAGTCTTCCTCAGCAGCACGGTCGTGCTGTGACTCTTGGATCACGCCCTCCATGCCTTCTTCATCATCCTCTTCCTCTTTCGTTCCTTGGGCATCATGTCCTGGTGAACCTGGTGCGCTAGACTCCACTTGCATCTGTGCGCCTGTAAGAAGCCGGTCAAGTGGGCCTGAGCTGTCGTCTTCGCCTTCGTCACGGATCATCGAGACCTCCTGGGAGGCTTCTTCGATGGTGCTTGGAGCCTGGATTCTCGGGCCCTTGCCACCTCTAGTAGCACGGGCGGTGGGTGGCTCGGGTGTTCGCGTGCCTTCTCGGACGACGTTTGCGTGTTTGCCAGAGTCGGAAAGGGCCACCATGGGCGCTTCTACGTCGTGCGAGAGACGGCTGCTGCGCCGTGTGATGCCGACTTCAGGCGTCCTTCCACGTGTTGTAGGAGCGGTGGATTTGCTACCAGTACGCGCGCGCAGGGCACGACCAAAGGCATTCTCAGGCATCTTGAGCTTGACGATGAGCGATGGTTTGTCGACCTCTTCGATCGATGGCTTAGCTGCTCGCCGCCAGCCTGTGTTTCGAAGCTTCTTGTCCTCGCTGTCCGAAGCCGTGTCTTCTATCTCGTCTTCGTCGCTCTCCTCGTACGTGACCTGCTTCTTTGTCGCGCGGCGCACGCTGCGGCCTGTTGTAGGGTTGACTTCTGGCTCCTCAGACTCGGAGCGTTCCGTGAAGGAGTCGTCTTCGATGACGTCTTCGTCGTCGTCGTCAATGTCAGAGCCGTTGTAGATGCGGCGCTGGCGCTTGTTGCCTGCCTTCTTCGTCCCCGGTGTTCGATTTTGGCGGCGACGCTGTGGAGGCGCGCGGTCGACGTCGTCGTAGTCGTCGTCCTCCGGGTCGGAAGCAGTGGGGTCAAGATCGAACTTGCGCTTCGTGCGGTTAGACATGGGGGTGGGTGCGGTGAGGCGTTCTGAGGCAGCTGTAAGTGAACGAGCGCACGGTGCGGTCACGGTGAATGCGCTTGCGCCGCGGTGACAATGTTCCCAGCTTCAGATTGACATCAGAAGCGCGTCAAGCTGCGCCTGCATTCGCGATGGCAACAAGACTCGTGCGCACAATGTTCGTCAGGCCTGGCCACGATGCTGTGTCGATGCAGCACTGCGATCGAGTGCTGGGATGACGATGCACGCCGAAACGTGGGGCACCCGGCAGTGAAAAGCGTCTGCGATATGCAGTAGATACCAGATGAATGCAGTGAGGGACAGAGAAGACAAGACCGCGCAGATGATTCTGGAGGAGGGGGCAGGTTCTTGTTGTTGTTCTGTTCTGCTGGAGCGGTTCGTCCAAGCGCCAACGGCTCGGCGAATCAGCTACATTCTAACATATTGACTCCAGGGAAAGCCATCGCAACTTCAATGCAGAACTGCAACGACATGCTCAATAACCCAACCTATATGCGTTCTAGGATGCGTCTGAAAATTACAGGCAGCTGCAGACATAGTCGGCGACAGCTTTCCGCAAATTATCGGGAGTCTCCTGGCACTCCGGAGGCACTTATTCGAGCTTTCTTTCTTGTTGTACTTCTCATCGCTGCCGGCGATCAGCTGCAGAAACGATGCGGCTCTGAAAGCTTAACTGTGTTTGACAAGTTCATGTCATGGTCGCTGTGGGGAAGGCCAGGAACGATGCACGTGCGCCACGTGTGGTTCCCACCCTACTTAACAACGCACACAAGGGTGGTTGAAGACGATCATATTTCGCACCCGATTCGTTTCACGTTTGACGTTCTTCTATCGTACCTTATTACTATGCCGTAGTGGTGTCGCTCAGTGCATCGACGTCGCCTCCGGAAATTCCAAGGTTGGTCATTTGCGACGACTAAAAGTCGGCTGCCAAACACGTCTAACAACTGAATTCGGACATCCATCGATTGAGCAGTGAATCTGTCTACAGGCGTTGTGGATATTTATATGTATGACTAAGCAATGCTGCGCGGGCAGCGGGTGTTGTGTTGAGTTGGACAGCCTGGGATCGACTGGCCACACCTCATCACCACGAAGGGTCCACGCGGTGAAACTTCACTTGGCAATGATCTGGACTGCTACGAATATATTCTTGGTGACGAATGAATTTTGACTCTGCTTGCTTCATAGGAACGGTTCGATGTTCAACATAAAGGTCGAGTATCTCTAAGGTGTGGTGTATGTGACACTGAAGTGCTGACACATAGTCCCTTGTAAACTATTATTATCTTTTCAGCAACACCTGGAAGCTGGTGAAAACGGGCTTTTGGGTATCTGAATCGTACTATATCCTACAATCGCTTCGTACATGTCAAATTTACAGTGTATGACATCGCAGCCTGCTGCGGTTGGATGGCTTCTGGCAGGACAGAAGTGTTGCATCGCTTCATGTCCCCAACAGTTTGATTCCTGACCTACTCTTCCGGAATGATACGATCGACAGCTACGTAAAGTTAGCTTCGCTGGCTCCTCAAATCTCATGATGGTGTTCGATGACATACCTTTGCCGTTCTCCAACAGATACCCCGAGCAGTCGATCTTCCACTTCTCTCCTTGCACCTCAACCTTTGCGATTCCGAATCTTAGCACAGCGTACTTAAATTTCAGGAAGAAGCTGGTCCACTTCTGGTGCACCCAGCGCGCGGAGCCTTCCCACGCCTTGGAGAGGATGTTCATGTTGTCCATGTCCTGCCATACGCTCTGCCGTCTCGCACGCTCAGCTTCCTGCAGTTCCACTGCCATGGGCTGGCATTTCTCGCTTATTGTGGCGCCTCCAAGATTGCTGTAGATGATGCGCTCTTTCGACCACGGTGCCTGCTTGACTGCCATGCGCAACTGCATCGGCCCACCCATCATGCTAGGCACCACCTCCAGCGAGCGCACGCGGTTAGTAGGTGCGCTGCAGATGTAGCAACCAATCGCAATGAAACTCAATCCAACCACGACGTACGTCGGCCGCACGAAGAAGGCCAGGTCGGGGATGTCTTTCACATCTTCCTGGAACTTGATCGAGTATGCGCCCGTGCCAATCCATATCGCCGCAAGTCCGTAGACCTTCCAGTAGTACCACTTGCTCTTCGGCGCCTCGTAGAGAACGACAGGCTGCCGTGTCTGGACTACTTGCCGCAGTACTGGGTCGCTGCTGACGAATGTGGAGGGCTTGTTCAGAGGTGACTTTGGGTACTGGTATCTGCGCAGTATCGACGAGGAAAAGTTCCGCGACTGGTGGACAGCGTTTGGCTGGAAGAATTGCTCTCGAGGCCCAAAGAGGCCGGCGCGGAGGGACGAGGGGAGGCGGAATGATGACTGCTGCTTGAAGGCGGCGAAGCCCCGTGAAGAGGCGGCCATTCTGCAGATCGCATCAGCCTCAGGAAGAACTCATATGCAAGCCAACTGCGACCTACCTAAGAGTCGAACGTTGCTGGGGACGATTGGTGGAGGCGTGCTCGGGTCCCGATCCCAGAGATGTCGAGACATCGGCGAGTCTGTGCTCCGCCGAAGCCTTGCGCGATCCCAACATTCAACACCTCGACGGTCCGCCCTCTCCCACCCCGCCCAACTCCGCCGCCAGTCCCCTTCCCTCGCCAATTGGTCTCCCATGGCTTCTCTCGCTGCGGCATGTAGGGTGTCGGCTCGCGCTGCATCGCAGCAGCTGCGCAACCATGGCGCGAGGAGAGGTGAGCATTCCGCCGACCGGACACGAGAAGTCGCTGATGGCCATGTGTAGCTCTGCACGCTGGACAGCCCTCGCTGGCTGCTCAGAACTTCAACATGCCCGCGCTTTCTCCGACGATGACCGAGGGCAACATCGCGACTTGGAAGATTAAAGAAGGTACGACCGACCCAGCCCACCACGCCTGAAGAGACGGACACGGAGGGCATCGAGTAATCGCTACGCAACGGAGCCATGAACGAGATGGACTGAAAACCGTGAGGCTGCGAGTGGCGAAAGTGCTGACCTACTCAGGCGATTCCTTCTCCGCCGGCGATGTCCTCCTCGAGATCGAGACCGATAAGGCCCAGATGGACGTTGAGGCGCAGGACGACGGCATCCTCGCGAAGATCATCCAGGGCGACAACTCTAAGCAGGTCCAGGTTGGCACCAGGATCGCCATCACTGCAGAGCCCGGCGACGACCTCAGCTCGCTCGAGCTCCCTGCGGAGAACGCTGCGCCCAAGCAGGCAGATGCTCCCACGGAGCAGCCCAAGCAGGCGTCGAAGTCAGTCCCTAAGGAGGAGCGCACTTCGACACCATCTCCGCAGAAGTCTGAGAAGAAGGCCTCCAGCAGCAAGGCCTCGACGCAGACATATCCTCTCTACCCCTCCGTCGAGCAGCTCCTCAAGACCAACGGGCTGTCCAAAGCAGACGCAGACAAGATTCCAGCGAGTGGACCGGGTGGAAGGCTACTGAAGGGCGACGTCTTGGCATATGTTGGCAAGATCCAGGAGTCATATCCCTCTGAGCTGGCAGACCGTTTTAAGAAGCTCTCCCACCTCGACCTATCCAATATCAAGGTCATGCCTAAGAAGGAGGCTCCCGCGAAGAAGCCCTCTGCGGCAGCCGCAGCTCCCAAGGTCATTGAGGAGCTTCCCGTCGAGATCGCCCTACCCATCTCGCTCACCGCTGTCACAGAGGTCCAGAAGCGCGTCAAGGACTCAATCGGTGTCTTTTTGCCCCTGTCTACATTCATCGCCCGCGCCACAGAGCTTGCGAACGAGGAGCTACCCAAATCAAAGACCGCCAAGCCTACTGCTGATGAACTATTCAACGCTGTTCTTGGACTCGACAAGGTGGCCGGAAAGAGCTTCTCTCGCGGTAGCTACGTACCCCAAGTGACTTCGCTTCCTCCTACAACAGTCAGCATACGGCCATCGAGCTTCAAGAAGCCGGATGTACTCGAGATCCTTGCAGGCAAGAAGTCAGTAGTTCGCGGAGCGAAGGCAGTTGGTGGGGCGCAGAGGGCTGTGGGCACCCTGAACGTGTTCAGTGTCAGCGTACCCAAGGGTGACGAGAAGAGAGGGCGCGTTTTCCTCGAGCGCGTCAAGGCCGTATTGGAGGCCGAGCCGGGCAGGCTGGTCGTCTAATTACCCTTGCACTCAATTACATAGCGTTGTATCATACTGCATCTTACTACCACTTAGACTTGCAAGAGCCGAACAAGGCACGCCTTGACATGCATCCATTTCTAGCAATTGTGCAGTGCATCTATTTCGGGCCATTATTCCCACTGCATCGCGCTAGTCCTGCTGCTCCGATCGCGCCCGCAAGCTCGAGGCGAGTCACCTCTGCAACATGACCAGTCGGTGTGTCATGCGCATGTGATCATTGCCGTCCAGCCGTGGGATATCAAGATGAAACTGGGAAATCGAGACGACCAGAACTTCAGGTACTTGCAACACTGACAGGTGTTGATGTATCAGCGTTCAGGTACTGAAGAGAGCTCCCCCTGTTCCTGGGCGAGCGGCACGCTAAGAGCTTGACAGGTGAACCTTCTTTTGTCCGGGAAGCACAGGGCCTCACGGAGATGGAGCGCGCAAGCTGTTGATCGAGTCCATACCCCGGATCTCAGGGCTCAAAGAGTCATCGCGCACGAATGGCTCATGCTCAATCTTGAATCGGCCACGACCGGGTCCAATTCCAATCATTCGGTGATGGACAGTCGGCAGGCGGTGACGTCCTGTGTGTCGCCATGTCAGCCCTGCATGTCAGAAGGCAGGCAGCTGCATTTAAAAAGCAACGCAACAAGCAAGGAGACTCTTGTACAGTATTCATCATGTGATTCCAACATCCCAGCCACTGCCCGCTGTTGACTTTCCTCCGCCCGCGCTTTCCCCACGTTTTCGCCTTCCACCGAGTTAGTGCCTTGGAATAAAATCCTTAGCTCCGAGCTCGCTGTGAGCTCCATCCCGGACGGCGCGTTGGCCGACTCACTTCTCCCGCCCTTCCCTTTCTCCCGACATTCCTACATCCCCGTCCAGGACTACCATCGAAGCCAATTGCACGCTGTCCACGCGCAGCAGCTCTCCCTCTACTCACCATGGCCGCCCTCAAGGAGCAAGTGGGCGAGGTACTGCTGGGCACTTCCGAGGAGCCCCAGCTGTCGCAGCTCACGCGCTCAGCGTTCCTGAAGTACGCCCAGAAGGACGAGGCCACAGGCGAACACTTCCTCACCGAGGACGGCTTCATCGAGGCTGTCGCTCCCGAGAGCGAAGACTACGTAAGCAATTGCGCCTGCAATGTGTCGCGGTCCTAAATAGGGCGAAGCTAACGGCGCGCCTGCCAACAGCACAAGATCAAACGCTACCAGTACGGCATCCTATTCCAGGTTGCAGACCGCGAGCGGAAGGGCAAGGTCGACATCCACGACTGGGGCGTCTTCCAGAACCTGCTTGCGAAACCTGACGCCGAGTACGAGGTCATTTTCCGCTTCTTCGACAAGAAGGGTACTGGCTACATCAACTTCGACGAGTTCTACGACACATGGAAGGCGCACAAGACAGAGGACAGCCTGCCCTTTAACTGGGAAGCTGAGTGGGCAACGCTGTACATTGGGTCCAAGAAGAGGAGACACGCGATGACGTACCCGCAGTTCGCGCAGATGTTGCGCGGACTGCAGGGCGAGCGTGTTCGACAAGCCTTCTTGCACTTTGACGCCAACAAGGATGGATACATTGAGCCTTCGGACTTCCAACGCATCATCCGCGAGACAGCAAGCCACAAGCTGTCGGATTACCTGCTCGACAACCTCACAACTCTATGCAACATCTCTGTAGGGAGCAAGATCTCATACGCCAACGTCCGCGCTTTCCAGAACATGATTCAGCAGATGGACATGGTCGAGTTGATTGTTCGCAACGCGACTCAGAAGAGCACCGATGGCAAGATCACACGCACAGACTTCCTCAACGAGGCCGCCAGGATAAGCAGGTTCAACCTCTACACCCCAATGGAGGCAGACATCCTCTTTCACTTTGCCGGGTTGGACGACCCGTCAGGAAGACTCAGTCTGAAGGACTTCGCTCGCGTGCTCGACCCCTCGTGGCACACCGCTTCTCACCTTGGAGCTACCGCCATCTCTGATGCTGGCCAGAAGGTCTTTGCAACCACCAAGTCGATATGGCACGATGTTCTCGAGTCGGTCCACCACTTCGCGCTTGGTTCTCTGGCTGGAGCTTTCGGTGCTTTTATGGTGTACCCCATCGATCTAGTCAAGACGAGAATGCAGAACCAGAGGAGCACCGGTGTCGGAAACGTCCTTTACAAAAACTCTCTTGACTGCGCCCAGAAGGTCATCAAGAACGAGGGTTTCAGGGGACTGTACTCTGGTGTATTGCCACAGCTTGTCGGTGTAGCCCCCGAGAAGGCTATCAAGCTGACGGTGAACGATCTGGTACGAGGAAAGATGACAGACAAGGACACCGGCAATATCAAGTTGCCAGCCGAGATTCTGGCTGGTGGCATGGCTGGTGGATGTCAAGTGGTACGTACCTCTGCAGTGAGGCATTTGCGACATGCACTGACATTGCAAAGGTCTTCACAAATCCCCTTGAGATTGTCAAGATTCGTCTGCAAATTCAGGGTGAACTTGCAAAGAACGTGGACGGTGTTCCCAGGCGATCAGCTATGTGGATCGTGAGGAACCTGGGTCTTGTTGGCCTGTACAAGGGAGCCAGCGCCTGTCTGCTCCGTGATGGTGAGTGGACCGATCATGTTCTTACAAGCACCGCTCACATATCGTAGTTCCCTTCTCCGCTATTTACTTCCCATCATACAGCCATCTGAAGAAGGACTTCTTCGGCGAGAGCGCTCAGAAGAAGCTGGGCGTCCTTCAGATGTTGACCGCTGGTGCCATCGCTGGTATGCCCGCCGCCTACCTTACCACACCGTGCGACGTCATCAAGACACGTCTGCAAGTCGAGGCGCGCAAGGGCGATGTTACCTACAACGGTCTGCGTGACTGCGCGAAGAAGATCTGGCAGCAGGAGGGTTTGAAGGCTTTCTTCAAGGGTGGACCTGCCCGTATCATGCGATCCTCGCCTCAATTCGGTTTCACTCTGGCCGGTTACGAAGTTCTGCAGCGATGTGAGTTGCCCGCATTGTCCACGCACATTCCAGAATACTGACATGTCTGCAGCTTTCCCTATGCCTGGAGGCGCTGATGCTGAGGCCAGTCTGGAGCCTTCAGTCGGTCTCGAGGAAGCCACAGCTCCTTTGCCCTACCTGCGGAGCCGTAACGCCCTGAAGGTCATTCTCGATCTCGACGAGAATTTCGGTCGCCCAAGATTGCCGACAGGGCAAACGTTCCGCGGCATCCCAGGCTTCGGCGGCAAACAAGCATAAAGAAATGGAGCATAAGTGTGTGGGTGATGAATGTCACAAGTGTGGGATGACACCAGCCGGTTCTCAATGTGGAATACCTCATTCGGCGCAGCATTGCTTCAGCGGCGTGTTTCTTGCTTTTTGGCGTTGGTCTTTCGACCGACAGGACGTTCTACTCGTCCTTTCAGCGACGACGTGTAGGGGGCGGTGAGCGTGCGCGAGCGAGTGGGAGGCCTCGTACATCACAGCAACGCAGTGGAAGCATCTTTGGGCAGCGATAGATGGAAGCATACACAGTGAAGACTGTACGATAGGCCGACATTGTCGTGGCCGGGACGACGAGGCGTGCAGAGGTGCTGTGTGTGCAGGTTCGACTGTATCTCGCACAGTTAGTGTAGTGAGCAGCATCAGCACATACAAAACAGAACATTGGTAGACAGCCTAGCATCTGGCATGAATTGCCCCTCAACCTTTGTTATGAGAGCCGCTGTGATCAAAGCGCTGCCTGCGCAATGTCGGCCCGGCATGAACATCGAACATCAGCACATGATGGCTCGCGGATAAATTACTACAAACAATCAGGCAATCAGGGCGCCCATGGCTGAAGATTCAACGAGACTGCTGCCGACCGAGGTCATCTCCGTCTTTTTTCACCATGGTACCGAGAAGAGCTCGCGGACCCGTTTTTCCATCCCACGATCCCCACATAGGCCGGGGTTCTGGGGCGGGGTGATAAACGTGGCTTAGCGCCAAAACGCACCTGCCGCGCTCCAGGTGGTCTGGCTCTGAAGAGGGGAAGAGCCTCATAATTGGGTTGTCAGCCGCAGCGGCCTGTCAGGCTGCGCCTCCCAGGAAACGGACACGGAGCTCGTGTAGAGGGGAGCTCTCAGGTCTTATCATGGTGAGCACACTCTCTTCTTCTCCACACTGAGCGCATCCGCAGCCTCGCAGTGTTACGTACTGGATTGCGCGCTCCGGGAAGACCTCTGGCGAAGACCACGCGCGACCAGATCCCCGCAATCAGCCTCTCACCGCGCCAGTCCGGGAACCTCCTTTCGTCTCGAACGGCCAGAGGGTCACCAGCACCCGTTCCTCAAGTCGCACACAGCCTCGCGACACTGACCAAACATCCAAACGAACACCAGCGCTCCTGCCTTCCAGCGCTGTTGATGCGGGCTGATCGGCGCGCTTTCTCCACCGACTTGAGGCTGAAAAGTAGTCGTCGCACTGGCACTCGGGTACGTTTCCACCGTGCAGAGCCGCCTCTTGTCCGCGGCTCTGAGCCCACTTCCAAGTTTCTCCACGCACTTTCTCCACAACTCAAATCTCATGCGATCATTTTCTCCGCTCTTTTTTGGAGCCGCCTCAACACAGAAGACGCTGTAACCCTCTGCTTGCCCATATCCTTGCTCGCCTAGGCTGCATGGGCAGTGTCCGTCACGAGCGGCAGCCTTGGACGCATCTGCCGGCATTTAAAGAGCCTCCATCCTTAGTACTTGTCTCCTGACCACCTCGGAGTTTTTCCGATCCCTTTTCCACTACCCAGCGCTTGAGTTCTGGCCTTTGTCTCCCAGAGAATGCGACACCCGGCCATGCTGACCGTCCTCCAGAGCCTCATCAACCACTGGTCTCGCTGTCACGCTTCGTCTCTGCACCGCGGCCCGAGATTATTCCTCGGGGCTTTTGAGGAGGTGTGCTTGGGATAGACACCACATTTTCCTAGCACTCCATCTTTCTTCATTTTTCCAGTGATCGCGGCCAGACCCTGTCAGAGCCTCAAGCCCGGTCCCACCACCCAATGCCTGGAGACTACTATACGGAGGAAGACGCCCTTGGTCCACGGTCACCCGGCTTACAGCCCGTTATTGTCGACGCAAAGCCCCAAGAAGAACCACCGCCTATTGTGACCCAGATCTTCGTTAGTCCCCCCTCCAATAGCCGTGAAAAGTCTAAACGTCGAAAGCATCGTCCGACGCAAGGCGACTGGGTTCTCATCCGGGAAATGGCCCCCAATCGTCCAGATATTGCACAAGCAGTCAGCCAGGAAGCCTTGAACTCCGCATCTGAACCAGAAACACCATCATCTGACGAAGACATGCAAGAAGCACCGGCTAAAGAGATGTTGGCTCCTTCCACCAATCTGCGATCTGATTCGTTGGCGGATGCGAATAATGACTTCAAGCAAAACACGCTCACTGGCGAGAGACGTGAATCGCACGCCTCGTCCAATGGATCAGCCCTGTACAGCGTGTACTCCAACACAAGCACAACTGCATCTTCCGTAAATGGCTCGGCCAACACAACGTCCTACGCCCACACAAATGGCGACCCATCGGACTCTCTTCATAATCTCAGACTGTCGTCGCCATCAAGAGCAGATCCAGGCGCAAAGCTACCATCGATCCAAACACAACCACCTTCAGCAACCTCACCAGAGTCAGCATCATCACCAAGCCAGCAACTGCCTTCAATAACGCAGTTCGATGAACTCGTCCGCTCCGCAACGAACGAATCTGAGCCGACTGGCATCTTTGTACATCGACAATCTATCTCGTCTTCGGGGCAGTCACCCTCCGCAGGCTTCCGGTCGTTGTCCATAAGCTCGCACCACTCACCAGCCGCGCAATCACCATTTCCGCCATTCAATGCGTCATCGCCAGTCAGTACGGGGAGTGATGCCTCCCGTGTAGGAGACGTCTTCTTGCGACAAAAAGAGCATCTCACTCTTTTTGCGCCAGGAGGCATCAGAAGACCTTCGCAAATAGCGGATGGGATACATCCTCGCTCGGCCTCAGTAGTTGAGTACAACAGTCCAGTTGGGTATAATGCAGACACGACACACACACCAATCGAAGGTGGCCGACAGCGCGTGCTTAGTATTGATGGTGCAATGGCGTCGAGACAGCTGCCGCCCCCTATCGGTTCCGGTATCCAAATACAGCATAATATCACTGGCAGCTACAAGTGTGATACCACAGGCTGCACGGCTGCACCCTTCCAGACGCAGTACCTTCTGAAGTGAGTCAAGACTTTCGGGAGTCTTCCTGATTCATACTGACCAGTCATTCAGTTCGCACATGAACGTCCACTCGCAGACTCGACCACATTTCTGCCCAGTCAAGGGGTGTCCACGTAGCGAAGGCGGCAAGGGCTTCAAGCGCAAGAATGAAATGATCAGGCATGGTCTCGTGCATCAGTCTCCCGGCTATGTGTGCCCCTTCTGCCCAGATCGAGAGCACAAGTACCCACGCCCCGACAACCTACAAAGGTATGTTCACATCGCGGTGACCATGATCATGCAGTCGCTGACCCATCATTTCAGGCACGTCCGCGTTCACCACGTCGACAAGGACAAGGACGACCCGCAGTTGCGCGATGTGCTCGCCCAACGGCCCGAAGGCGGCAGTCGTGGGCGGAGAAGACGAGTGAGCCATACCGCACCTTCCTCCCTTTACATCCTCTAACCTACCCAGATCTCCGCCTGCTAATGACCCATCACGACCATGCACTCGTCTCGCTGCAGTAGCCCCCTTGCAGCGAGCGACTCCATCATAAAAGGCCTTCATTGATTTACCCTTTCCTGCGTCCCGCGATCTTTTAGCGCAGCGGCTCCACAGGCTGGGTGGGCGCCGAACTGCAGGCTGGCGTACAGGGTGTCTACGGACGGACATATTCACGGGGCTCGGTCAGGCTCGACTTGGGCACAGGAACGGCTTGGGCGGCATGTGTTGTCTTGCTTTGTTTCTCTATATCATTGCCGTTTTGGGGGCCCTGGGGGCCCACTACTGGGTGAAGGGCAGATCTTACAGTCGTATTCTGTTTGAAAGCTAATCTATTCTCTCGTATGGTGTTCCTCTTTTTAATGAGGGTTTGTGTCTCGCTCCGTGCAATTTACTGCAATTGTCGGCCTGGACCAGACGTTCTCGGTGTGAGGATTGCACGGCTTGATCACCTCACTGAAACGTACTGGGTCTTAAATTATGATCGCGGAAGCATCTCACTGACCAGATCATGAGGCGTTGTCCAATGCCTGGGGCGATCCGGACACCAACGACCCCTTTCTCTGCAACAGCGAAGTCACCAGGATCACAGTAGACCTCGCGGTTAAGACGAGGCGTCGTTCCACCGCACTCTCCTACCAAAGTACAGGCTAGGCACTGAGGCAGCATAGCCGTTGCCGAGGCATGCATGCGTTCGTGCTATTTGCATCGATTAGCATGATAATCAAGAAAGACACCAGCAAGCTACACTATACTCATGGGAGACCTCTTTGCGCCTCTATGCAAGTGCGAAATGAGTCATTGTAGGGCTGCACGAGCATGACGCTAGCGAAGGAACGACAGCGACGGATGAATTGGCAAGGAAAGACAAGGCAGAAAATACAGTCGATTGGATCCAGGACACAGCTGAGCCGATCAACGCTAAAGGCTCAACCGAGCCTTCGTAGACCCACCCGATTAATTTTAGAGTGATGGGAGTACCCTTGTTCACAACGTGTTCTAAAGACGTTGTGAACTTTGCTCGAATTCTCTCCTTGCTTTTGCAACCTGAATCTCAAACATCTGATTCTCTAGCTCTGCGCGACGTGCTTCTGCTGCTATACGACTAGCCTCTGCTGCTGCACGGCTAGCTTCAGCCTCAGCAAGCTTATTTGCAATACGTCGCTCTTCTATAGTAAGCTCTGATTCAACAGTATCAACCCGGGGACGTTTTGGCCTGTATTATGTTAGGAACATGACTAAAACATGTTGACAAGATACTTGAATATACCTAGGAGTAGATGAGTATGAGTTTCTCGATCTTGATCGTGAAGATGCTCTACTTCGCGCTGTACTCTGTGGAGTACTACGAAGAAAGCCACTAGAGGATGCTTGGAACAGGATGTTATCATTTTCACAAGAAGGTGTAATTCCATGCTGTTCCAATGTTGATTCCTCTATTCTTTGGTGTCGAAGATCATCCTGACGTTCTGAACCTGTTAGCAATGTAATATTATCTAGATATAACATACTCCTTCGCCCATCCTGACTTTTATACTGAGCAGAGGCGGCAATTGCTCTTGATTTGTGGCGGATCCCAAAGTACTCGTTTGCGTCGTACTGGCTTGCATCAATTGCGTCCATCTTCATTCCACTGTAACGTGTCAGCAATTGTTCTCATTCACTGCGTCCAACCCCCTTCCCATTAGCGTCTGTGTTATTCAACAGTCATTCTTTTACGAGAAGTCAAAATTGTGGGCAAGACTCAATCAGAAAAGCCTCCGACCTTGACCCCAATTCAGCTTCAGTTCGACTCCACGATATACAGTCCACCTTCTTTCACCATAAGTCGTGTCATGAGTAATGTCGATAGACTATACACTAGCATGATTGCATGTAACGGTATGTTCTCTTCCCACCGAGTAGCCCCGAACTCGTCTGATTGCTCAAGGCTCTTTCGAAGTACCCACGAGCTTCAATGCTCAGATCCGCCGCTCAAGCTCGATGGAAGTCCATGTCGGATTCAGCACTGGAGATTTTCAGTCAAAGATCACGAAGGGCAGTGAGAGCTGAGCAAGGCATTGATATTGCCGTATCTTTGGTTGTTTCCCGTCATGTAGGATTCATGGATAAGCGCTCATCGTTCCACAAATGTGCTTCATTAGTATACTTTGCTGGTGGCTTCAGAAGGACTGCCCTGTGTTATACCATCCACCAGTGCTTGTCTTTGATCTCTTCCTTCAAGTGACACCATATTCACTCCGTAACGCAGTCAAGCCATCACAGCTCACACAGCAACGACATCAGTGGTTACACGAATGTCATGGCCTCAAACAGACTCAGCAAAAGTGGTGCTTGCATTTGAAACCTGCCGTTCGTTAGCCGATGATGATTGACATCCAACAAGCGAAATATACAACCCATGTGGTTGCATTCACCATTCTTTACAATGAGCCGTCCGCAGTTCGTCTCAGGGCACTACTTTGTTAGCCTTCCCACCGCTTGCTCGCTAGCCTCATTCTCCTTCTTGCGTTCGTCGCGGTCTTTCTGGCCACTGGTGCAGTACTCGTACTCCTCACACGTCTCGTTATCATGGTAAGGCCCTTCGTGCCGAACACAGAACCGCGCATGACACTCTACGCATTCGAACTCGTTGCCGAACTCTTCAACATCATAGATCTGCCCCGAGCCACAATCCTGAGTCGTGCACCAGCGGAAGTCCGGATCCGCACTGAACAAATTGCGAACCTGGATGGCGTCATACCTCTCGAAGATGTCCTTGCTGGCGTATGCCTTGATCTCTTCGTATGTAAGATTGACCTTTCAGGACTGCCCGGGACATTTTACTCCCTGCCAGCCGTTCTCCTCCAGCTATGATCCGAGCCATGCGGTGTAGCAGTCGGTGCAGACGTCAGCATCGTGAGTACAGGAAGATAATGAAGGAAGTTCAATGACAAGCGTTGCGTCGCCGCAGACTGCGCAGTTGCGGGTACGTGACGCTGCCTGGCGCAGTCTCGCTTCTTGTTCTTGTTCCTTTTCCTGAATCTGGCGGGCGATTGCTGCGTCGAAAGAGTCGCTGAAGCAGACTCGAGGACTTCGATGATGATTTGCCGTTACGACGGATGCTGGAAGAGCTATCTGGAGCTTGCCATTTCGATTGCAAGGATGCAGGGTAACGATCCAAATCAATGGGTCTACCTTTTGTGCCTGGGCGAGCTTTTGTCCACTGCCCCTCCGTCAGTATAAGTATATCATCTTCCTCTTCTGCCGGCAGTCGCTCCGTAAGTCGACGGTCATCTTCCTCCTGTTGCACCGCTGTCTTTTTTTTTAGCGTATGTGACCCTGGGGAGTGCCCTTTCTTGATGTGCAATGGCGCTTGATGCAGAAATGGAGGGAACGAGACCATTCTCCCTCTCGGCTATCTCACAGCTTTGGCTTTGTCGCCTCTTCCTCGAAGTCGAATTCTCGAGCGGTTCTGCGCGATCGTAGCCAGCAGACTTGCGCAGTAGCTTCTTGCTTTGCAGACCAATTAGGTCATACCGTTCTGCTGTGTTGCTGAAACTAGAGGAACCTCTGAAAGCTGTTGATTCATCGGGCGGCTCCTTAAGTCCCGAGCCAGAACGTCCAGAACGTCGTTCACGCACAAAGAGAGGATTGTCACCGCTTCCCTCGTCACCGTCTGTCATTACCGGACAGATAGAGTTGACCGATAAGGCGAGGTCTCGTGGTCGTGGCTGCTTGTTCTTGTCGAAGTCGCAGCTCATGTCTGAGCGCTTCCGTGGAGAGACTGGAGAAGTTCATACTGGTAAGTTTCCGCTACATAATGCTGGGTGTGTTGTGTGGAGCAAAGGCTGTATTGCATTAATTGAACAATCTTTGCAGGCCCAGGCCGCTTAGAGAGTCACAGGTCAGATAAAGGTGATTTGTCGTACTCCAAGTGAGAGAAGTTGCCCATTTCGCGCTAGCTGTTTCTACGTCAGTCCGTTTGTTGTCAGCCAAATTCACCACACAAGGTCTTCGAGTATTACATATAATTTGATACATGATACTATACGGTCCACGTTGCCAGTTTCGTAGTGGAGGCTGTCTCGGCAGGCCTGAACGTCAATTTACAAGAACGCCTTGCTCCTCGCTCATTGTTGGAGCGTCCCAGTGTGATGTCATTACATCCGTGATAGTCCCGTCAATGCTTCCACGGAAGCAAACCATACGGGTATATTTGAGTTGAGATCAAATCGCTGAAATCATCTGGTACTTCTGCTGTCTCAAATCTGCTGAGGTGTTGTGCCTGCAGCATGCGGCGGTGGAGGTGGACCAATATCTCTCCTATCGCTCAAGTCTCCAGTGGGCGACATTGTGTTAAGGTTAGGTGGAACGAACGTGTTCACTGGTGGAGGTGGGGGTGTGGGGTTCGGTGAAATTCCTTGCGGTGGATGGTAGCCAGTATCTGTCAAGCGTCCTGAGACAGGGTTATATGCTCCACCGGTCGGTTGAAGCTCGTAGGGCTCGTCGTCTTCGGAGGAAGAGTAGTCATAAGACTCCATTCGGCGCTGGCGTGCTTGACCTGCGGCGAATGGATTCGACGTTGGCATCTCATTCTGGTATCGGTTGACCTTCGTAGAGAGCGAGGAATCTATAGTGTTAGATCGGTAGGTCGAGCCTAGTGTGTCCGAGCGGTAGTTGCTGGATGCCAATGTGTTGCTGCGATCTACTCCCTCAGGTGCATCCGCCTGGCGTCTCCGTTGAGAGTTCGAAATCTGCTGTCGGAAAACATTTCCACTATGCTCGTCTGTAGTGACCGCAATACCAGTTGCTTCTCCACGCTCTTCATCGATCGGGCCTAATGGTCTGCCCATTTGTCGTAGTGGCTGAACGTCCTCGTCGGCCATGATCTGAGGAGCGGGTGGGGGAGCGGGTCCACGACCCCAGGCACGAATCGGATACGCACGTCCCTTCTTCCATGTCTCGGAAACCGGAGGGAAGTATTGTCGGTAGGCAGCCCATGCTACAAGTATGCCCAAACTGGCGCCAGAGAGAACGTCGAATGGGTGGTGACGAGCGTCCATAATACGCGTGCCGGTGATGAGAGCAGCGCCAAGGGTCGGGACCATGACGATAAATGTCCTCCAAACTTCACCCTTGGCGTCCAGAACGTGCAGTTTCGCGGCGAGATAGAGAGAGAGGTAGAACAGCCCAGCAAATGAGACTACTGCGTGTTAGCCAAGATCGGTAGATGCATGAGCCTGGACATACCACTGCTGTGTCCAGACGGAAAGCTCTTGAATCCGTCCTGCAGGATGTAGTTGTTGGTCTGCGTGCAAATATCGATGGTCACGAGTTCCAGACTCTCCAGGTTGATTTTCACGCCATCTTTAATCATGCATCTACAGCCTATCAGCTCTGCACGACAAATTCGATGTACAATCTAGCATACCGGGCAATGAGGTCTGGTCGCGGCTTTCCTATGGCGTTTTTCAATGCGCCCGTTATTGTAAAGGCGGCGCCCACACTCAGTCCAAGACCGAGAATGCCGCAGTTCAGCTCCCACAGGCGATCCTTGAGCCTGTACCTGCCGCTCAGACGCTTGACGCCCGCCCTGCCAGAAGGCATGGGGGTTTGGTGTGAGAACAGCCCATCAAGGACGAGTGTGTAGAATGCAATGATGACCATTGGGCCGCCAACGACGATGATGCATAGCAGCGGGACAGGCACGCGCTCCTTTTCGGCGAATGGGTAGTGGAGGGTGTAGTTCTGCAGCGAGAAATGCTGATGAAATGGCGGTACTTTGTCGATGATGGTGAAGACGCCAATGAGAACCCTGGACGATCGTGGTTAGCTGGGCGAGCTTGAGGAAGGCGGTCGTGTGCTTGGGGAAGGAGCGCTGAAGCCCTTACACTATGATAAGGTAGTCGATAATGTACCTGTATATGTCAGTCTACAATCACAACGCAAGTCTGCAGTGCTCTACGCACGAGAAGATGACGCGCTTGGGCAGCCGCTTCTTGGAGAAGGGCAGGCGCTCAGGGAGCTGTTTCGATGTCCAGTCCTCCATGGTGCACTATTGCATTCGAACGCACACCAAAAATATCCGACAGCTCCGGCGCACAATTGCGGTGCTTTTGAGATACGGTACGGCAGGCGACGAGGGATGTAGCTGGCAAACAGACGTCGAATGTTTTGGTGCAGGCTCGCGGTTTCAATTGTCACAACAAGCGCCCTCGCCCGGAGAGACACAGTGCAGCGGAAAGAGAGCAGAAGTGCAATCGACAGGGCGTCTGGAGTGTATAAGGACCAACTCAGCAGAGTGGGCAGTGAGCATGGCTGTGAGGCGCAGGCAGGAGCTGATGGACACAAGCGCAAGCAGCCAGGCGAACCCTGTCGTGTTGTTGATCGTCCAAGCCCGGATATGCTTGGCTCTCCCGTGATTCCCGCCCTTGCGCTCCATTAGCGCCTCTGTCTTGCGCGTCTTCATTTGACTCGCTCTGAGACTATCCGCCAGACACCGCTGGGCAGTGTTTGGGATGATTGGATCGCAGTCAGACGCAGTTGCTGTGCGCGTGGCGCCTGCTGCGTCGACAGAGTGTACTAGCGCAGCAGCTGGGCGATCAGCTTACCGTTTCCTCGCACCACAGGCAGGATCCGAGGTCTGTTTGTGTGCGGCTAAAATACCTCATTGGTCAACGCCTGGCTTCGTGGTACTTCACATCTTCTTTCCGCCTTACCAAGAGCCTCAATCCAGCTATGACGTCTGCTCTGGGTCGTTTCAGAGTCCCTGCCCCACATATGTACCTAATTGCAGGGGCATCCCTCGGCGGGCTGCTGTTTCTGCGACATGTGTCAAGCTCTTTGCGGGGTGACAAGTTCACGATATCCTTGTCACCAAGGGAGACTGCTTTGCCCAGATTCTCAGAAGATGAGCTAGAAAAATTGCCATATCCTCCGGATGCATTGCCAGGAGCACGAGATGTAGACTCTCCTTATGGCAGCATTCGATGTTACGAGTGGGGCCCTGAGGATGGCGAGAAGATACTGCTCATCCATGGCATATCGACACCAAGTATTGCGTTGACTGACCTCGCTTACAAGCTGGTTGAGAAAGGCTGTCGTGTGATGCTGTTCGGTACGTTGACCCATGCAGTGCAAAAGGATTCTAGGGGGATATCATAGACGCTCCTACATCGGTCCGTATACGACGTTTGAGGAGACATTTCCCCGTACCTAGGCAGCATGATGATCGTCATGTTCGATGAACGTCTGATATCCTCCTTCGCTTGAAGTGATGTTGGATCCTCATTCGAAGATGGAGAGACTCTCATTATACCACAATACAGAACTGATACCCCCCAGACCTCTTCTCCCGCGGATACTCCTCCGGCCCATCCCCGCATACGCACCGCTACGACTCCTCCCTCTATACCTCCCAGATCCTACTCACCCTCACATCCTCCCCCCTACGCTGGTCATCCTTTACTCTAATCGGCTACTCCCTCGGCGGCGCCTTGGCCGTAGACTTCACATCCTACTTCCCCAACCTCATCACCGGCCTAGTCCTCGTCGCGCCCGGCGGTCTTATCCGCAGGACGCACACGACCTGGAAATCCCGGCTCTTATACAGCACATCGGGCCTGTTGCCCGAATTCTGGGTCGAACGGCTGGTGGCGCAACGCCTGTACACTGGCCCCGAGGAGGTGAGGAGTATCGAGCCTGAGCCCGACACGGTTGAGAACGCGGAAGTCAAGAAAAGTAGTGGGGGAGACGCCACGTATGCGTCAAGCCACCATGCCTTATTACCGGGCAATCCGTTTAGCACTGTTGGTGCGGTTGTGGACTGGCAGATCGAGCACCATGGTGGGTTTGTGCCGGCGTTCATCAGCTCGATTAGGTATGCGCCGGTGCACGGGGAGCACAAAAGGTGGAGAGTACTTGGAAGGAACATTGGTGAGAGTATTGGGAGCTTGAGGAAGGTGTTTGTTGTGTTGGGTGAGACGGATCCTATCATCGTTAAGGACGAGATTATGGAAGATGCGAGCGAGTGCCTTCAGGCTGAGAACGTGGAGTTTGAGATTGTAGAGGGCGCAGGGCATGAGGTTGCTATTGAGAGAGCGGATGATGTCTTGCGTGTCGTTGGAAGGGCGCTTGGGAAGTGGTGAACAGGTGATAGAGTTTAGACGTAGGTCGTAGAGGTCATAGAGTCTAGATAATGTACATGCTCGCCTTCTGATACACATATCGACATCGTCTCCCGCCATCTGAACTGAACAACAAGAGCACAGTCGCGTTCGGAGATGAGCGCATGCTGATACCTGTCCGTTTCTCAAAACAACACCTTCCCGGCCAGTATGGCTCCTGCTTCGATCTAGGCACTTCGGAAACGTTTACGGCGAGAACCAGTCCTGCTGCGAGACCAATGCGCAATACAGCGCGTGCCCTGATCCACACCCTCTTGGAAGGCCGCCATGACCGCTTGAAGATTGAAGCCTCCTGCATGTGGACCAAGAGCCGTCGCAAAGGTCGCAGCAAGAGAACTCATAGTATGTATGTCCATATTATCTGGCTTTGAAATGGTCCAGCCATCCAGGATGCGCGCGACAAAGTCTTGTAGATGCTCTAGCGTGAAATTGCCTAGGTTCAATCCGAACGCTTTCGCAGTCTTGCCCAAGGCTCTTGCAGTTGTGGTGTTGAGCAGGACGTTGTTCTCGCGCAGGGTACTAGCAATGGTATTGGTCTTCGCAGCAGACGTAAAGGCGTTAAAGTGCATGAGATCATGACAGTCTGTGTCGCTATTAAGCTCCCTGATGAGATTTTCGAGATTTAGAACGTGTAGGACGGCATCACTAGGAATATCAGCCCAGACTAAGTGTTCTCCGTGACCTGAGTGTTCTCAGTGTGTACCTCGACAATCACGCAAATTCGGCTCACCCTTGTACCTCGCCCATCGAGCAAGACCCTGTGACTTAAGCCATGGGAAGACGTTAGCCGCATGATGCAACTTGTTCGTCTGCTGCAGTCCTGGTGCGTCCAGGTCGATCAACGCCAACTGTGGCCGCTGCATACTCATAGCGTACGATAAAGCTTGCAAAAGAGACTACGTAGGGTAAGCAAAGAAGCACACTAGATGACGGACAGAGAGCCACTTACTGCTGCTGTAGAAATGTAAACAGGTGTGTCCCCCTCTTTGCTCAAGTGTAACACCGTCAGGATCTTGCCAACCTCAGACGGATCATCGAGAGCAATGGGTGCTGGGAACGGACGAGGCCAGTCATTTTCAAAGAATGCCTGGGCCACGAAGCTACCGTCAATGAACTTCGTACGGTTTTTTGCGTCCCAGACTCGAAATGTTAGATGTGGTCGAAGGGGGGGAGGCTCTGGGACCTTGAGTGTCGGGCTTTGCTCGAAATCAGTGAGGATTTTCCAATCCTCTTCTGAAGGCATGCTTACAGCCATAGACATTGTTGTCAAAGATGGTGGAGCTTCTATGCGATTTCCTGTCATCGCAACTTGATTTGCTTGCCACTCTTCCTCTTCTGAGACTCTTTGAACCAAGAACTGGTAATATGTTCTGGTCTTCAGAGACTTCGCGAATTTGGCCGTCCCTGAGCGTACAATGGAGTCGCCCTGTCGTTGCTTCAGATCGAGATTAAGGGCTGTAGCCTCCGCTTCGACTAGTGCGCGTAGCTCAGCGTAGCTGTCCTCTGGATCATTGAAAGGCACTGAGAAAACCCGGCTGAAGACAGGATATGCTTCCTCACCATAGAGACGTAGGTGGTTCTCAAACTGAGCACGAACCCGTTTTGATGGAATATCCAGCTTAGTGATCGAGTTGAATATCTTTGCGAAGATGCGAAGCTCTTCAGTACGGTCTTGTCCGCAGTACCACCTGTTTAATATGCAGAGTAGCTCCCTCTCGTTGTCGTCCCAATTGTGTGGAGGCGGGCTCTCGATGTCAGCCAAATCTTGGAGAGATTGTGCATAGGCGCTTTTTGGTTTCTTGGTTGCCTGCTTCTTACAATCGAGTCTATTACCAAAGTCTGGACGTCGTATTGGCGGCTGGGTAGCACTCGACCGTGCTTTTGCCTTGAAGTGCCGACTGACAGCTCCAGTAGCGCATTTTGTGACTTTCTTGGCCTTGCGGATTGTAGGCGACGGAGATTCTTGGAAGTCAGTCCGTTCTGAGTCGTAACAGATGTCAAGGAAGTCTTCGGTGCTATCTGTCGTGGTTGCGATACATGGTTCGTTTGACAGAGTAGAAGCGCTCTCCGCAGCTTCTATCAGTTGAAGGACGATATCGGGGCTCACTGATGACACTGGAGTCAGCAGCCTTGTGGCAGACTCGACATCAACAAAGAGCTCTTCATCGTCGGTACCAGCCAGGGTAGCTGGCGAATAGTCTCTCGCGAAGTCGATTCTGGCTGTTTCGATAGGTTCGGGTTCCTGTTGAACCCAATCACCGTGCAAACTCTCGCAGGACGGCAAGATTGTATCGCTGACGTTTGACGCTTGGCTCTGATTGGTTTCTTACAGTGAGAATTAATAGCACTCTTGTTGATACAAAGTTTTGGCTGGACTCACCATGACTTGCATCAGCCGTGACACCTAATTGAGACAACAAATGCTTGGTATCTTCGATGTTGACTCTGGTCGCGGGCATATACAACATGACCCCAGGCTCCGCAAGCTGCCAATCTGCTTTGGACCTCATCCTGAGGTCTCTTGATGAATGGTCCTGTCGTAAAGAGCGAAGATAAGGAGTGAGAAGCTGAAAGAGAACGTCGGACTGCGATGGAGCAAATGCGGTGCTGCGGCCTGCCGTGAAGTCGTGGCGCTGGCGCTGGAAGGTAAGTTCCGCTCAGACGCGCCTCAGAGACGTGTTATTGACCTGCACGCGCAGATGAGTCATCTTGACGTCGCGGACGTGACGCGTGGTGAGGATGAGAGTGAGAGACTTGCCACCGGGCCCATAGCGCGGGACGCAGCGAGCGACATGTAGCAACGAAGCAAGGTCAGCGTCTGCCAGACCCTCAGGGACCAGAGGCCTCAATAATGCAACTGGAAACATCCCCGGCATAGTCTTGGCTTGCTGATGCTACCGTGGGTCGTTCACTGATTGTCAACGTTGTTCTGTTAGCTGCTGCGTATGTCTGAGGGGATGGCATGCTTACACTGGCCGCGAAGCCTTCCTTTGCTGATGCTTCATTGTCAAGACTGCTTTCTGTGGTAGTTATAGGCTGTCATCATTCATTGGTACGATCAAGGTGGCGTGAAGCACGAAAGGTGTTGTGTAAGATGACGCAGAATCTGTTAGCCTGATATCTCACTCATTGGCTACCAGACAGTAAAGCAAGAGTGCACAACGGACCTCATGTGAAAGAACGAACGAGACCATAGAACGAAAAGACGGTGAGTGTACCTACTTCAACGTTGCACTGCTAAAATGCAGAAGGAGCTCTGCGTCATACCAACAAGCAATGCTACCGCAATGCAACATGAAGCTTCCCCATCTATGGTAGAGTAAAGAGCAAATTTTCCTCCCACGGTACGTTACCTTCGTGATTTTTTGTGATTGGACAGGTAAAAGAGAAAAGCAAACGCAGCCACATTGCGCCGAGTGTTCTGCTGCCATAATGCAGCAATGAAAGGTATGTGGGAGGCCTGAAGATATTTTGCGCTGAAGGATGCATCCGAGAAGCGGACTTGTGCGGAGGTCACAGCTGTCCTGACTCGTGATAGAGCCGGAGCGAGTAGGGAGTGGAGGCATTCGAGAACTCACACCGCGACCTCGCCACTTCCCAGAATCTCAAACAACCTGCAGACCATTGGCGAACCGACTCTAGTTGGTGACGTTCAAACACGAAATGGCAATGGGCGACGGTTGTGGTGGGGAAACGTTGGTTGCGCATAAGCGCCGGACGCTGAGGAAAGTCGTAACGCACTGCTGCAAGGATGGTATGCGAGGTGTAAAAGCAATATAGCCCGCATACACACCTCACAGCGTGACTTCACATGCAGCGGCGGGCCAGACTCCGCTTCTTGTCGCGAAACAATGCCGATGCTCGACGCACAATGCGAAGGTCTCCCTGCACAACTTGCAGTCCGGGATCGCTTGTCGATCGTGGCCTCATTTGTGGCCATGTTGCTCGGTGCACACCTTTCTGACGACCCACTTCTCCCAGAACTTCCGCTGCGCGTTTGTCACTGATCCACCGTCGTCGTTCAGCAAGTCCACGCTATCCATATGACCGTTACAAGTACACCATGGTACCGAGGCGGGTGTATCCGGGGACAGCGGTGGAAAATGCAGGTTCCCACCCTCCTCAGGCTCGTCCGAACCTGCATCTGAATCAGAGTCGCCCACTGAGCCGTCGTCCCCGATGTATGGTTCATCCTGGTCATCGACCGGATCGTAATCGTCATCGTGGGGATCCCAATCGTCGCTCTCTTCGCTGCTGTCGCTTCCTAGGGGATCGTCCGGTACCTCTGCACCCATTGTCCAGGCATCATCAAAGTGCTTTTCGTAGTCGATCCGCCGGAGACTGACCCAGTCCAGTCGTGACATGTTCTCCCGCAAGAACAAGAGAACATCCCTCCATCGGCTGCCTTCTTTCAACAACACATCTCGTAATCTTAAGCCGCGCAGCGTTTCTTTGTGTCTCCTGGCAAGTGCGATAATCTCATCTGCCTCCAGGCGCCACGCCTGGATACCAAAGGCTTGTAGTTTGTCCCACTTGACGTTGTGGAAGATCTCTTCAAGCTTCAGTGTGAGCGGCCTGTGCGAAGGAAAGCCGATATGAACCGCTTCTATGTTCTTCGCAGCTGTGAATACAGCCTTTGACAATGACGAGAGGTCCCTCATCCGCTGATCGAGATCTAGACCGTCGTCAAAGTGGAGTTCGAGACAGGTCAGTCGTTCCGCGAGGAGTGCCATTGCGGTTGGCGGATTATTCGCAGCGCCCAAGACGCTCACTGGACTGAGCATAGGTGATGAAAACCTAGAACACTGCGATTTCGATGCGATCAATGCTTCGCCTATTGTTTTCGTTGAATGCAGGCAAGCTGGTGGCCATTTCAGTTCGACCATTTGGCTGACTTCGTGATGTGTCCGGATGTATTGCATGAGCATGCCGTCTTCTTGGTCTTGTAGCCGTAGTATCTGGACATGCTGAAGTGAAGTGAACGCCGAGATCGCAAGTGTGAGTACTCGAGCATCCTCTTGTGTTCGCACTATATCCTTCTGCTCTTTTACTTTCTGCACAAAATGGCTTGCGTCAAGAAGTCCCAGATCGCCTGGTAATGTTGTGAGGAGGTCCTGCACGCGTTCTCGTCCTGCAGCTAGTCAGCAACGTTACTACTGAAGCGGGTCATGCACACAACCTTCTACGTAAAAGAAAGGTACCATATAGCTGAACTTCTTGACCCGCTCAGCCAAATGCCGCTGGCTTGCAATGTTCTCTAGGCGTTCCAGGCCCCTCCTCGAGAATCTTGTCGTCACCCTCGAAAACTGATGGATCGCGCCGAGGTCTGCAAACTTCCTGCACGTGAGTCTCACGTTCGCGATTGTTTCGGCCTGATCCGGTTCAATTGGTGGGGGTGGTTTGAAGCTCTCTTGTGACAGGTAAGCGCGACGCTCCAAGCTAAGAAGTTTCTCTGGTTCTGAAGCAATATGCTCGAGGATAATCCGTAGAAGTTCGTCGGCAAGATCGAGGATGCCCATGGCGACTGCACGGAGACCATCCAGGTCTCAAGATGTGAGGTAAAGGCTTCCAGAATGCACGGGCGCAGATCCGAGCCTAGCAGCGGATATATACTCGAAAACAGAAGTAAACGAAGGCTCGGGCCGGTACGGCGTGAAATGCAGACGTGGCGGAAACTGGTGTGAGGGTGCAGCGGCAGAGACCCGAGGTCGTTTCAGCGGACTGCGTGGTGATGTCCGGGGACGGTGCTCTGTCAATCTGTGGACGCAGGCCAGCCGGAGGGGCACACTCGGGAAAATAAAGGAAGCATGACCTCTCCAGGCTCTCCAGCGGTCAGCTAAGCGTTACTGAAGGTTGCAGAGGACGACTGGACACAAAACCTGCACCCATACGCTACCAAGCTTGCCCTAACGATGCAGGCTGCGTCTCTGTCCAATTGCAAGGTGTTACTCATACTCGACGCGGTTTAGAGCGTGCAGATTCGTCACGTGCCTGTTTAGTGATGCGGGCGTCCTGGTGGAAAGGCGGATCCAAGGGAGGACCCGCGAGCGAAAACACGTCGATTCGTTGCTGAACACAGTTGCACGCCGTCCAGGGGTGGATCAGGCTGCGGCATTGTGATTCGAGGCATATGCGCTCCACTCCACATGCGACCATGGCCTTCGATTCAGGGCCTAATGCGTTGCCAACGAAGCATGCAGCAGAAGCGCTTGCGGACGCCTATGACCGCACCGTCTGGCTTGACTTGGATCATACCGCTGCCATGCACTTGGATCCGTATCAAACGCATCGTCCGAAGAATGGTGCGCTGGTGGAAAGACAGCAACGAGTAGCGACCGTAGCCTTGGAAGGCTGAAACGTGTAGCATAGCGTGTTTTTGTGTAATGCTCGGCGCTACTAGACGCGGCTCCACGCAGCAGTCTCTGCTCCCGTGCAAGCAGGAGACCGCTGCGTTGTCACCGATTATTGCTTGCATGGTATAATATTCCGTGTCGTCGCCCGACCACCGGTCCCGCAATCCTTGTCCCGCCTTGGACATCTGTCACAGAAGCAAAAGTTTGCAGCGCCGCTCGCAAGCCAGCGTACATACGAGGAGCTCTCTGACGCAAAATCGATGCCGGCGTGCTGCTGGTCGCCATTTTGAGATACGCCACCGTCTTGGTACGATTATACCTTGACACGAAGTTTACAGCAGCTGCATATGCTAGTCCACGCTGTCGTGCGGTCCGAAGGTACACGAGGCTGTGTACCGTTGCACACGACATGTACCTAGTCGACTTCCTGCGCGTCCGTCAAGCTATCGAATCTACTACAAACAACAATTCAACTCCTTGTCTCGGGCCTGCCTTCGTTCATGAGCAGGCAAACATCAACGTGGCATGTGCGTCATGTTGGTCATACACCCCTGGCTCACCATCACGCCTTCGCTCTGGGCTTGACAAGTTCACTCCGTTTCCGACGGATCTCCGTGCTGCTCAGTTTGCTCTGAAATGTCTCGTCTACACTGCCCTCTTCGCTGGCATCAAGTACTGCCACTTCGTAGACCTCCAGTGGGTCCCAGCCCTGCTCCCTGCGCTTCTCGTTGACAGCAGCGCCGCCACCTCTGGTCTCGAGCGAGAGCGCCAGTGCCGTGATGTCCTTGTCGGTGATGGTAGGCCCAAACGGATCCCAGATCTCGACATACTTGATGGTCAGGCCGAATGGGTAGCTGATATGCACAGCGTGTCCATTTGGACCAGGCTCATTGATCTCTCGTATTTGGATCCGGTTGTCGCCGGGCTGACCAAAGTAGATGATTGAATGCAAGAAGTCATGCGTTGACTCTTGACGAGCCTTCCAGCTCTCGAGTTGATCGGCGAACTTCTTGTTCACGAGAAGAGCATCGCCGGTAATGCCCACTGTAAGGACGCTGGGACTGTCTGACTGCCTTCGTCGACCTAGCACGAATGCAAACATGGTGAGCAGCAACTTGTGACCGATGTGGAGGTGGTCGAAGGTCCCACCCACAGCGACCGCGAGGTGCTTTGGTGAGTTTTCGAAGGCGCTGGAGGTGGTTGTAGCTGAATCACCAGTATTGAGAACCATGCCACCTCGTACTTTCGATACCTTTTTATTCTTCGAGATGGCAGAGAAGCTCTTCAAAAACCGTTCACCCTCTTCACTCTCCACCGAGTATACAGCTGCCCACTGCCTTGAGCTCCCGACAAGTGTGTGCATATCAATTGCAGGCCCTTGCAGTTCCTGTTCTGGCGTGGAAGGCTCAGAGGCGCTTTGAAGCTTGCCGTCTCGCGGATGCGCTACCAGGAGGATGCGGGCGTCAATGCCTTGAGCATCCTCTGTATCAATCGCGTCCTTGGCAGCCACAATTGTTATCAGCTTGTATAGGTCGGCGACGAGCTGTTGCGTAGTCTCGTACAGCGGTCCCCTTGCATCGCCGAGATGTCCGCACAGATGTGGGCATTGCAGAGCAATCTCGAGCAGCGTGTGCTGCTGAGTGCGTCGCAATTCTCCCAGAACGGTCGAAAGGGGGGCATTGTATGCAGCTTTTAGTGACGCATATGTGGAAGTCGTCGGCGGCGGCGGCAGCAACAGCAAGGCACGGTTTGGGGCTTTGCGGAGCGGAGGCATGGTCGCGAGCCGGCGCTGGAGCAGGTGAACACGAGACACGACAGGTGAAGCGGTGGTAGAGCGGAGGCGGCCTACTGCGACGAACAGGCTCATGTGACGACTATGGTGGGTGTGAAGGCAGCTGGGTTCCGCAGACGCGAAGCTACCCTGTTATGTCCGGGCAGCTTGGTGGGAGCAGGTGGTGGGGGAGCGAGTGGAGTCGCGCGCTACCAAGACAGCACCCACGACCCTGGAGCAGTCAGCCTTCTGACGAGTGCCAGCCCACTCCTCTCACCAACAGCTCGACGCTGTCTCCTCGCGGCGCAATGCCGTTTCACCACAACAGTTCGCAGCAGTACAACCTGGCCGCCGGGCTAGGCCAGGCTGCGCAAATGGGCTCCATTGCGTCTCCCATGGGGAACCTGAGAACGGCCACGGCAGGCACGACAGCGGCAGGCACTGACGCCTTCGCGCCTGCCACGCCCGCCGGCGCCCAGGACGAGCTGCATGGAGCCGCATCGGCATCTGCCCAGCAGCCGCAGCCGCAGCAGCAGATGTACAATCAGGCCGACTCGTACGGCGGCTCGGCGCCCAACATCAGCCTCCAGCAAGCCACGCCCCAGGGTTCTCATTACGGCACGCCTACGACACTACCTGGCAGTCTCCAGCCTGCGCAACGCCCCGGTCCTTCCTCTGCGAACACCGCGCCGGTGGTGCCTACCCAGAACATCGTCAGCAACGCCAATTCCTACACGCTCCCCACGCGCTCCAACACCATAAGCCAGGGCCACTCCTCCTCGCATACCTACTCGCGCTCGAGTCCAGCTGGCATGGGCCCCGAACAGAAATACATTCCTTTCTCGAACACCCCAGAGCAGTCCAAGTACACGGCAACCACGCCTTCGCAGAAGTACTACCCTTCTACGCCCACCGCCAATGCCTCAAATTCACCACTTGGGTTGGCAGATATCAGGCCACGCGCAAACTCGAGCATGGGTCCAGAAGGTGGCCTAGGCCCATCCAACGCCTTCACCAGCGAGCAGAACAAGGTCCCTACGAACAGCAACTACCTTGCGCCGTGGAGCATATACGCTTACGACTGGTGTAAATGGAACGTGCCTGGCGGCAACAGCGCTGGAAAGATGGCTGTGGGAAGCTACATCGAGGACAACCACAACTTCATCCGTATCTTGGACACTCAGATTACGCCTCAGCACGATGCTGCGCCAGGCACATCGCCATATGGTCTCGAGTACAACGCAATCGCAGAAGCTACCTGTTCGTTTCCCGTCACTCGCATACTGTGGGAACCTCCGTCGTCTCAGAAGCAGTCGACCGACCTACTCGCAACCTCTGGCGATCACCTGCGACTATGGTCACTTCCCCAGTCGTCCGGCAACACTCTGAGCAACACGATATCACGTACATCGTCGGTGAACACCAGGGAGCCTCAGCTGCCTAAGCTTACACCGCTTGCACTTCTCTCCAATTCAAAAACTCCTGAGCATACTGCGCCATTGACGTCCCTCGATTGGAACACCATGTCACCTAAGCTCATCATCACCTCCAGCATAGACACTACCTGCACAATATGGGATATCCCAACACTCACTGCGAAGACGCAGCTTATTGCACACGACAAGGAGGTTTTCGACGTTCGCTTCTGTGCAGGCAGTGTCGATGTATTCGTAAGCTGTGGCGCTGACGGTAGTGTGCGCATGTTCGATCTTCGAAGCCTGGAGCACAGCACCATCATCTATGAGCCATCAGACAAGGGCAACGACAAGGACAAAGGTTCGTCGACTCCTACAGCAAAGCCTCCTCTGCCTACTGACCACTCTCTAGATTCGCCAACAGGGCGTATGTCTCCAACAAAAGCACAACAGACCATGTCTTACGCACCTCCCCTTCTACGTCTCGCTGCTTCTCCCCACGACTCGCACCTCCTCGCTACCTTCGCCCAAGATTCGAACGTTGTCCGCATCCTCGACGTACGGCAACCGGGGCAGGCACTTCTCGAACTTCGTGGACACTCTGCAGCCCTCAACAGCATTGAATGGAACCCTTCACGGCGAGGCATGCTTGCTTCTGGTGGTGACGATTCTCTTGTACTTGTGTGGGACCTTCTGCATGCCCAGACTGGAGCTGCCATCAGCAGCGAGCACGCTGCAGCACCGTCGACTCCAGCAACTACACAACCAGCCAACGGCACAGGTGCTCAAAATGTTCCAGTAGGACAAAAGGGTCCATACGCTAGCTGGCGATGCGACTACGAAGTCGGCAACATCAGCTGGGCACCTCAGAGTGCTCTGACAGGGCAGGGAGGCGATTGGATTGGTGTTGCTGGCGGGCGAGGCGTTTGGGGCGTCAAGTTGTGATGAAGATACCTATGCAAAAGGACGATTAAGAGGGATGCTTATACGATGAGCGATGCGGTGTATGAGTGACGAGAACGGAATTTGCTTCGAGTATAACTTCGGAGGCTTGAAAGTTACTACCGTCAGCGCAGAAAGGGCGTTTGGGATGATTGAGACCTAGATCAAGATACCTGTAGCTCGAGAGACGCAAAACACATGTTCTCACTCCAAGCTTGCCTACGTGATTCGTAATGCCAAGATGGACTGCAAAGCATCACACAAACGTCGAGTTCACGATTGTCCAGAAAGAAAGGCGATTGAAGATCAGAAAACAGCAAAGCCCTACGGAAATAAACAAGCGATCTTCCGCACGACCCCAGTCTCGCACTACAAAGCGCTGAAACCCCCACAAAGTGTGCTTGTCGATCGAGATGGGCGACGTCAGGCTCCTTCCGGATCGGAAAATAGTCTACGGAGTGGCTCGCGCGAGCGCCGTCCCTTGTGGGCGACTGGCTCCCTGTGTCAAATGAACCAGTCTTTGTTCAACTGTGCAGCCATTCACACAGCCTTCTTGCTGAATTTAGAAATTGTGCGGACAGTGATTGGGTGACAAGTATGAGAAAGGCTGGGGTCCCGATGCGTCAAATAGACCCTGACCCAACCTTTGGAACAAGCTTTTCAACGATCCGGTCAGCACTCTAAGTTTAGCCACCGTTCAGCTGCGAACGCTGCTCTAGAGCTCTCGACACGGTTAAGCGCTGCCACTCAAGCTCAAAACTCTCTCTTTATCGATTACCGGGGATCGTTAGCCTTCGTACCTAATCCACATGTGACGTAGCTAGCGGCGATCGACGGATCAAGTTCGAGAACAAACTCAACAAAGTAACCTCAAGATGCCATCCCGGCGGTATTGCGCGTACTAGAGTGGCTCGTAATTTCGGTCCCTTCGACAATTCTCACCTTTCAAACCTCCTCGTTCTCCCATCTGTCCTTTGAGCGAGGTTGTTGTTGTGATTTGAGCACCATACACATTTTTCTTTCGCCTGTCGTTTCCTCTCGTGTAGCGGTCCCGCCGCACCCACACGCGATCATGGATCTCTTCACGCGGCGGAGCCAGCAGAGCTCTGGAGACGAGTTCCTGAATTTGATTGCTGATCCATTCTCGACATCGGTATGCCGATTGACTTCCGGTTCCCTCTATGTGAACGCTAACATGCACTTATAGATCCAGCAAAGCTCCATCTACGCCGCAATCGTCTATTCCTTCGTCGTCACTGGTCTACTCTTCCTAGTCTTCTGCTTCCTCCGACCAAAGAACAACCGCGTATACGCACCACGAGCGAAACATGCCGACGAAAAACACCGACCGCAGCCGCTGGCTAATGGCCCGTTCGATTGGATCAAGGCCGTCACGCAGACAAAGGAGCAGGAGCTTGTGGACAAGATTGGCTTGGATGCCGTTCTCTTTATGCGATTTTTACGGATGATCCGGAACATCTTCATCGCGCTCAGTGTCATGGGCTGTGCAATTTTGATCCCTGTTTGCATCATTGGAGGCGGCAACTTCTACGATCAGTACAGCAACATCGCGACGCTCATGAAGTTCACACCGCAATACATCGGCGGATCCAAGTTTTGGGCGTATGTTATCTTCGCGTACCTCGTCGAAATTACCTTCTGCGGATTCATTTGGTGGAATTACAAGGCAGTCTACAAGCTGAGGCGCACATACTTCGAGAGCGCAGAGTACAAGGCCAGCCTTCATTCACGAACGTTGCTGGTGAGTAAGCTTAGCTCTTTACTTGAGTCTGCAACTGACCGCATTCCAGCTTACCCACATTCCTAATTCCTCCCGAACCGACGCCGGAATCGCCGAACTGGTAGAATCAGGCAGACAGATGGATGATGTCCCCCGCACTGTGGTCGGTCGTAACGTCAAGGATCTTCCCGAGCTGATTGAGAAGCATGATGAGACAGTACGAGAGCTCGAGCAGCACCTTGCCAAGTACCTCAGCAACCCGAACCAGCTACCGGCAAAACGACCTACCTGCAAGGTTAAGAAAGACGACACTACAGCTTATGGAAAGGGCAGAGTTGATGCGATCGAATACCTTACCGACAGAATAGCGAGATTGGAGGTGTCCATTAAAGAAGTGCGAGAGGGCGTTGATATGCGGAACCCCATGTCCTACGGTTTTGCTTCATTCGCCCGTATCGAAGACGCCCATGCCGTTGCATACGCCACGAGGAAGAAGGGTCCAAGGGGATGCGATGTCTACCTTGCACCGAAGCCCAACGACCTGCTTTGGCAGAACCTCTCCATGAGCAGGAAGACACGCCGCGCGAGAGCATTTTGGGACGGTCTTTGGATGGTACTACTGACAGTAGCCTTCATCGTACCTAACATCTTGACCTCTGCCTTCTTGTCTAATTTTGCCAACCTTGGTCTTGTCTGGAGGGACTTCCAGACCAACCTGAATGCTCACCCCACCGGATGGGCTATTGTGCAGGGTATTCTTGCTCCTCTCGTACAAACACTCATGTACCTGGGCGTTCCCATCGTTTTCCGCCGGCTGTTCACCCATTCGGGCGACGTTTCCAAGACTTCCAGGGAGCGTCACGTTGCGTCACGTCTTTACGCTTTCTACGTGTTTAACAACCTCGTGGTCTTCTCCGTGTTCGGGTCGGTCTGGCGTTTTGTGGCAGCTGTCATCGGCGCTCAAGATATCGGTGTCTGGGATGCCATGAAGCAGGGCCAGCCCTTTACACAGCTGGTCACTGGATTGTGCAACGTTTCCACTTTCTGGCTCACCTGGCAGATGCAACGAAATCTCGGCGCTGCGATCGATCTTTCGCAGGCCTGGACTTTTGCTTGGTCCTGGTGCCGGCGAACTTTCTTCTCACCCACACCTCGAGAGCTAATCGAGCTCAGCGCGCCTCCGCCATTCGCGTATGCCGAATACTACAACAACTATCTGTTTGTTACCACAGTCGGTCTCTGTATGGGCTGTCTGCAACCTATCATCTTCCCGGTCACTGCCTTCTACGTTGGCATGGACGTCGTCTTCAAGAAGTACCTCTTGCAATATGTCTTCATCACCAAGACCGAATCGGGAGGCCGTTTCTGGCGCCTTCTCGTCAACCGCCTGCTCTTCGCCGTTTTCATAGGCAACGCCGTCATCGCCCTCGCTGTCGGCGCTAAGGGCGTCGGCAACCAGAACGTCTTCCGCAACGGAACAATGCTGTACGCAATGGTTCCTCTACCCTTCATCCTCCTCAGCTTCAAGCTCTACTGCAAGAAGTCGTACGATGACAAGCTCCTCTATTATTCTACAATCCCCTTCTCGGATCTCGAAAACACACCCGACGCAAACCACCCCAAAGCCCGCAAGACCGACAAGGTGGGCGTCCGCTTCGGCAACCCGGCCATCTACAAGAAATTGATCACCCCAATGGTCCACGCTAAATCACAGCACCTGCTCAAGGAAATCTACGGACACCGCTCCAACGCCGATACCCACATCTTCGCCGCCTCCGCCGACCGCGCAACCCCCGCGAATCTGGGCTACGGAGATATGTACCTGACGGACATGGACCACGCCGCTCCCGGACAGCGATCCAGTACTGACGGTGCCGCGATGCCGAACATGGAAGTCGTCGAGGAGGCGGATCTTGATTTCGAGAACTTCAAGCGGCGCGCCGAGTTCAGGGAAGAATTCGGCGGCGACGGCGCACTGTACGGACGCCCCGAGGATCTGGTCAGCCGCCCAGGAACACCGTCGACGTTCACGACGTTCGTCGAGAACTCGCCACACCTGAAGCGGAACTCGGCGTCGCCAGCCGGGAGCAGGGCGAGTAGTCGGACGCGGTTTGGCGAGAAGGAGAGGGATCAGGGCGAGGGCCATACTTACGCGAAGGGGTACCAGCACACTCCTACGACAGACATGTTTCAGGAACAGGATATGGTGGATGTGGATATCCCTGCGACACCGTTGGATGCCGATGAGATGCTGAGAGCGAGCAACAGTAGGCAGCCATTGATGGATAGGTCGAGAGATGGGTCGCCTGCGGGAGGGTATTTCAACAGGAGTATGCGAGATAATACTAGCTACGAGAGTTACCGTGGGAGGTAGATTATGATTAGACTATAGAGAGACAGTGCGAACTATACATATGCTACGCAACGACATGCTGAATGTTCACGTGCCTAAACTTCAGCGTTCCATCAGCAGTGCTTGAGTCTCATTTGATCATCTCAGCACCGAGCGTTCTGAAAATGGGTAATGGACAGCGCTGGGAACGTCTTCACGCGAGGTACCAAGAGTCGAGTAAGTGCTGCTTATCTACACAACGAACGGGTATCTCTAAAGTATGCATCCCCTTGTCACAGACATGATCAGTTCTCACTCCACACCCCCAACCAACCATCCCCAAACCCCGCCCTCAGGCGTTTCCCAACCCGCAACCCTGACGATGGCCAGACCAACCGCACCAAGCAGACTCATACCACCTACAGCCTGACACAGCACGAACCCCCGTTTCTTCAGCTCATCGCTAATGCCACACAAGCCAAGGGGATCTTTCGAGTCTAATCCCGTAACATCGTACCTCTGGCCACTGACCAGCTTCTCATCACTGCCATGTCGAACGATGGCCCACTCCGCCCTGGGCCCGTCACTCGTCACAATTGTCCCATTCTGGACCTCTTCACCGACTCTCTCAAGTAACCATTTAGCCCTCTCGTTCCTTTGCAAATTTTCGAATCGATCGCGTTCGTTTCTCAAACTCCTGTGCAGATCTGTGGCCCACTTAGCGACGCGGATGTCGCTTGCCTGTGGGTTGGAGTTGATGTAATGGGTGAGAGAGAAGGTGGTGGGGTCGGTGGGGGAGCCGGCGACAGAGGACAGGAGGGGCGATTGGAGGTTCGAGTAGAAGGGGGAGGTGGAGCGAGGGACGAGGACACCGGATGGGGAGATGGCAGAGAAGACAGAGGACGTTGTTGATGCTGGTATATGTTAGCGGGCAAGATGCGTGCAATGTAGGAAGGGTCGACTTACGATTCAGCATAGTGCCAGCTAGTCCTACTGATGCTGTGGTGGGGCTACTTGGTTGCTGGAGGCCGTGTATAATAAATGAATCGCCCGGTAGATTTGTCTTTCTTCTCCAGGATAGGAACTTCTTCGCCGTTGTGTGCCTCAACCAGGCAATAGCATCAGGGTCAAAGACTTGCTCGATCATATTGGAAAGTTCAGACGGCATGAGAGGTTGAACGTAGTCTGGAGACATCAGTAGAGATGCGTCCATGATATCGGCATCTGATCCGTGAAGCGATGATACTGCGTACGGATGCGTTGGTGTAGGGAAGGGGAACTGATTGGGCCCCTTCGACTGATCTACGTGGATCGCGGTTGTTGGCGTAGCCATTGAATAGACGATGTCCAGGCCTTGGACTGCAAGCAATGCGTCGTCTAAAGGCTTTCCAAAGAGGAATGGTTTGACAGCTGTAGCCTGGAGGCGAGCAAGTACAGACGCCTTCAGTGAGATTAGTTCCTGGGCGGTCAGCGTCTCCGACTTTGCGATGACGGGTACGACGTTGGTGAACGCAGATAGCCGCTGCATGAATTCGACGTCCTTGGTTATCTCCTTGTCTTGGCCTCTGTCAGTGTCGCTCTTGCCGTGGTGCGCATAGTACTTACTCGGCGGCAACATATAAAGGACAACATCCACCAAGATTCCTCCACTGCCACTGATAACGCCGACTATCTCCCCATCTTCCATGTTGGTCACAGAAGCTGTCTGGTGCAGCAGTGACTCCAGGTACTCAACCACGAGGTTCATGTCGTCATGCTCTAAGCTCCCTTCAACGTAGCCCGGCGTGTCCACGAAGCAAATGTTTCTTTCCAAGATTGTGTCAGTGCTACTCTTTCTTCTCCGCAAAACCCTAGTCTCTTCAACATCAGTCCACCAGTGTGGATACGGTCTAGTGCTGGCATGGATCTCTGTCACGCGCAACGTAGCCCCCTGGTCTGTTTGCCGTCTACGAGACTTCGGTCTTCGGGGAGGCGGCTGCAAGAGCGACTGTGAGGGCGAGAGGGAGTCTACATGTACGATGTCATCGCAGCTTTGCACGATCGAGCGAATGAGTGAGGTCTTGCCGATACCTGTATCAAGTGTTAGCACTCAAAGCTTACCAAACAATGATATGCACGGTCGCTAGTTAGGGTGTACTGACCCGCTTGTCCAGCAACCAGAACCTTTAGCTTGCCCATGTTCTTGCCCTTATTTGTGAACGGTCTTCTCGTTGGCATCTGTATGCTCGGCATCACCAACTGTGGAAAGCTCATCGATGTGCCCTGCTGCGTCTCGACATCATCTTCCTCCTCTCCACTCGACGTGATGACCTGACTCCCAGTCTCATCAACCACAGAGCCCTCATCTGACAGCCTCAGCGAATGTAGCGACACGGACGTTGGTGTGCTTGGCAGAGCTGAGGTGGGCAGCGGGGACGGTGCTTCGACGTATAGGGGCGTCAGAGGCGTAGACGTGGTGCGGTTGGAAAGCTTCCTCTTCAGCTTGCGCAGTGGCGAGGCAGCAGGACTCTCTGGCGACTTCGCAGAGTCCGCAGATGGGCTATGCGATTCTGATCTCGCAAGGTGTCTGCCATGGCTGCCTGCGTTGTTCTGCTTATCCGCCTTCTTGCTAACTGTGGTGCTCTCAGCGCCAAATGCAGCTTCCAAAGTATCAGCTAAGCTCTGCACTCCATAAGTGCCTTCTTGCGGCCTTCTTATCGACTGTGTACTCTGTGATGCAGACAGTGACTGTTCCATGTCATGCTCGCTCCTCATGAAGAACGTGGTGGGGCCGTTGTTTGACAGCGTCGCGGCGTGATCCATGCTCGACTTGCGGGACCGAGGCTTGACAGGCGCAGGCAGCGCATCGCTGCTACCGGGAAGCGGTCGCATGCTTCCAGAATTCGACGAGTGCGTCGTGGGTACAAGAGCACACACTACTTCTCAAGCTGGAAGTAAGCCTGGGAATAAGTCACGGAGGACTTGCGAACGCCGAAGAAAGGCAGGTGATGTGATCGTCGTTGTCACGCCCCCGCCGACTGGAACCCCGCTACTAGGACCCCGGTTTCGCGATAAAGGCCAAATAGTCGTCGAGGGAGAGGAATGGGGAACAAACGCGCAGATCTGTACGTGTAAAAAGTATTTTTGGGGATCGCAAGAGGGAAGTGGAGGCTTTCTGCGACTTCCCTGCGTGAATTGTGACTTGCTGACCGGCGGCAGGCGCAGCTGGTCAATCAACCAGGCGAATCACGCGTCGATGTTGCGTGACGTTATCAGTAATAAGTGTTCACCAACCTGCAGCCCAATCATCTCAACATACAATACGCTCATTGGATCATACTCATGCTATCGTTCTTGTACCCGTCGCGCTCTTCCATCCGTATTCTGTTCTCGAATAATGCTGTGCAAGACCAAAGACCAAATGTACAGGCGAGCCAGAAGTACCCTTAACCCATTACTCCAGATCCTTTTTCCGCCTCCCATGTCCGCATGTGCTCAGATACCCATCCACATACATTAGGTAACCGAGAAAATGGGCAAAGAAACATGTGAAAGAAGTGGACGAAACGAGTACGTACAGGTACATATAGGGAAATACAAACATGAACCGACTCGCTATGCAAGGGCTCAAAAATCTCTCTCGGAGATGCGGACGCCCAGACTTTTCCGCAGGAGATGGTGACTTTTATACAATCGCTGAAAAGAGTCGGACACAGAACACATAACAAAAGCCGTGAATCGTTATGGAACGGTAAAAGTCGCTAAAGACTCGACAAACAGGGAGCAGGAATGAAGGGGAGATGAAGAGGGGCAGCAAATGCTATCCCGTTCATGACTCCTGAGGCGCACCACGGCCACGAGGGGCACCACCGCGGCCACGGCCGGGAACGAAACCGCCGCGAGGGCCACCAGGGCCGCCACGACCGCGCTGAGAGCCACCACCACGAGGGAAGTTACCCTGGAACTGACCCTGAGGGCGCTGGCGACGCTCCTCGACCTTGAGCTCAACGCCGTCGACGGTGTGAGGGTTGGCGGCAATGGCAGCTTGGTATCCGGCGGCGGTCTTGAAATCGACGAAAGCAGCGTTCTGTGAAAGACATTAGCTCAAGTTTCTGATATTGCAAGCATGCAAACTAACCTTGGGACGGCTGAGATCGAGGTACTCAACATCGCCGAATTTGGAGAGGGCGGCCCTCAGAGAACCCTCCTGGACCTGGCTGTAGACATTTTTGATGTATGCGCGCCTCTGGTCGGCATCGGCAGCGGGAGCCTGGTTCTGAGCGCGGGGCTGCTCCTTCTTGTGACCGCTGACTGATTGCCAGCCAGCCTCGCCCTGGCTTGCGGCCGGGGACTGTTCACGGGCAGGAGCGGGGGTCTGCGTGGGTGCGGTAGCGGCGAGCTGGGCAGGGGCAGCAGCCTTGGCCTCCTTGGGAACCTGCTGAGCGGCCGGGGAAGCGACTACGGGAGTAGCAACCTTGTGGGCGGAGGCAGCAAGGCTGGCCCAGGTACGGGGAGCGGCGGGCTTGGGGGGGCCGGCGGGCATGGCAACGGCAGCAGCCTCCTTCTTGGCCCCAGGAGCAGGAGTGGGAGAGGGCTCCTTGGGCTTCTCCTCGACAGGCGCAGCAGGGGCTTCGACCTCCTTGGGAGGCTTCTCAGCAACTGGCGTCTCCTCGACCTCGGGGGCCTTCTCGGCCTCGGCAACCTCCTCTGTAGGACCAGTGGTGGTGGTGTCCTCGATGGAGGGCTCCTCCTTTGCAACCTCCTCGAGCTTCTCATCGACCTTGGTCAGATCCTCCTCGCTGCTGGCGACCTCGCCCTCGGGAGCCTCTTCCTCAGCGGGGACAGCAGCAGTGGGGGCGGGCTCCTCGACACCGTTAGCAGCCTGCTCCTGCTGGAGCTCCTCCTCGGGCTCCTCAGCGAGGTAGCGGAAGATGTCATTCAGGACGAAGTAACCGTTGGTCTGCTCGGCGAGGATGAAGGTCTGGACGAATCGCTTGTGGGGCTGGCCCTGGTTGGAGATCTCACCAATGACCTGGATGACGATGTTCGCATCTGAGCCCTGGGAGTCGACGTTGGTGACGCGGACCTTGGTGTCCTTGAACTCGAGCTCCTTGATGCGCTCGTTGATGGGCTGACCCGTTGTTAGCTTTGCGCCATGCGCGAATAACCTGACCGTTTCACATACCTTCTGGCCGACGCAAACATTGACCTTCTCCTCCTCGACGCCAGAGACATACTGCGAGCGCTTGTTGTAGAAGAGCTATTTGTGTTAGCGGGAGCAACTCGATGTTATTTTATGTATTGTATACGTACGTAGAGGCGGTCAGGGCTCTTGCTCAGAGTGGTGTAGTACTGCTCGACGAAGTACCAGCCGACCTCATCCTTGGGGATCTCGGAGGCAGGTGCTTGTTGTGCGGGCTGGCTGTAGTCCTGTGCGTAATTGCCGTTGGTGGGCACGGATGACTCGGTGGATGCCATCTTGATAATGTGTGTTTAGAAAATAAGACCAATGCCGGCGGAGTCTCAGTGGAATCGTAGGCGCGAAAACTGTGGACTGGTCAGTTTCTGGCTTTGCTTGCGCAGCTCGGGGACTCAAGTAATGCGCGCGTGTGTTTGTACATACCGGACCAGGTGTTAGTGACGAAAGGAAATTGTGGATTGGCGACTCGCAGTCGATGAGAGCTAGCGATTACTGGGGTTGGATGCGATGGCTCCGAGAGAGTGATGGTGAATGCCGTTGTGGGCGTGAAGATGCAAAAACCTAGCCTTGAGCTCAATTCGTGCCTCGCCTCGCCTCGGATCATCAACCGTCTGTGCGTCTCTGCCAAGCCATGATCTCACCATGGCTCGTTCGACATTAACCCTTCAACTTGAATTTTTTTGGGAGGGGTGTCTTCAATTGCAAGATCCAAAATTACACTTTTCAAACTTGGTGAACCCAGGAATCTGGTGTACGGCCTGATCTTACATCAGCTCAGTATTAATTGAAAATCTTCGATCCGCCGGCACAGTATCCGAGCATCGTTCGTTCGAGCTCTCGAAGGCAAGAACGCAGGTGGACATTACTTCAGTGCTGCCAGCAACCCAAAATTATCCTCGTCAATCGTGACAGGAATACAAGAGCGTAGATGGCCCAGGCTTATGTAAGGTCTGCAAACAAAGCGCACATACAGGTGCTGCAACAATCGCTGTTTAAAGGTCAATACAACAGCAATATTCACCGATCACCATGTGGATAGTCAGACGTATGGCTCTATGGAGTTAGACATAATGCTTTGATTTCCACTCTTGATTCCAAGGTTGCCATACAACTTATGCACCTGCAGCTATGGGACCTTGTATGCTCAAGTTGTATCATGTTTACGGTCACGCAAGTTTGAAGAAGATGAGGACGTCGTACCATCCAATATGTTTAAGCCGTCAGACTATGCAACTCATCTACCTCGAATTTGGGGGCTGCTAATGTGGTGGTAGTGACAGCCAAGAGGCAGACTGTCAAACCACCCGTAAACGCAACGTCAGCCCCTCGTAGATCATGTGACGTTCATCATGATCTTGTTCTTGGGCCTCGATGTGAGGCCTGCCGTAAAGGCGTAAGAGCTTTCAGTCGTGAAGGTGGAAATCCAAGCACTTTTGGGGTCAAGTGGTCAAGTCAGCACACATCAGATCGCTTACCAGGAAGTAACCTTGCCCTCATCACCGCCAGAGAAGCCGCCATCGTCACCACCGAAGCCGCCAGCCTCGCCACTGCCGAAGCCACCACCAAGGCCATCGTCAGACTCATCATCGGTGCCGTCGCGCCACTCGATGATATCTGGGTCCTCAGGCTTAAACTGCTCCAGGAAGCCCGGGACTTCCTGCTTGGACTCGAGGAGGATCTTGACAAGGTCTTCACCAATGTCCTCGTTGCGGTCATTGTAGAAGGATGTCGCCTTACCCTCGTTACCAATACGAGCAGTGCGGCCTATGCGGTGCACATACTCGGTGATGCCGTCGTGCTGAGTGGAAGGAAGATCGTAATTGATGACGTGCTTGACGCTGGCAACATCAAGACCTCGAGCGGTGACACCAGTAGCAACGAGGATGGGGCAACGCGCTGTGCGGAAGGAACGCCTGGAGGAATTCAGAATTGCGAGAATAAGCTTTGAGTTGGGAGCGCTTACAGGGCGTCCTCGCGCTCGCGCTGAGTACGGTCTGAGTGGATGGACGTGCAAGGCATGCCCTTGTTGTAGAGGAAGTCGTCGACCATATCGCACTTGCGCTTAGAGTTGACGAAGATGAGTGTACGCTGAGGTTCGCTGGAGAAGATCAGGTCAAACAGAGCCTGGTCCTTCTCACGCTCGTCCACGTAGACGATGGTTTGGGTGATGTTCTGGTGGGTACTGCCGACACGTCCGACCTTGATACGCAGGTATTCCTCCTCCATATACTCCTTCGCGAGGCGGCGAGCGGACTTGGGGAAGGTTGCCGAGAACATGAGGTAGGTATGATCGGCATCAGCGTTGACGTCTAGATGGTGGTCAGCAAATCACTGTAGGGAGAGATGAGAGGACGATCTACCGGATCCAGAGAACAGCTTCTCCATGGCCTCCTCCCAGCCCGAAGATAGCAGCTCATCAGCCTCATCAATGACAGTGAACTTGAGACGGCGGAACGAGAGCAGGTTCAGGTTCTGCATGAAGTCCGTCAGGCGACCGGGAGTAGCGATGAGAATATCACAGCCCATCTCCAGCTGTTCGCGCTGGTTGCGGGTCGGAGCACCACCATAGACTACACAAGGGCGTAACATTGTGCGGTAGCACAGACGACGAGCCTCGTCGAATATTTGGCAAGCCAACTCTCGGGTGGGACAGACCACAAGGACAAGAGGTTCGGCACGGACACGGTCAGTGAGGGGGTTGTAGCGAGCCGGGTTTGGGCGGGGAGCTGCAAGCTGACGAGCCTTGCCCATCAGCTTGGACAGGATAGGAATAAGGAAGGCGGCCGTCTTGCCGGAACCTGGAGGATTTCAGTCGGAGGTAACGCTACTTTCGATGAGGACATACCAGTCTGAGCGACAGCAACGACATCGTGGCCAGTCAATACAGCAGGAATACAGTAGCACTGGATGGGCGTAGGCGCGTTGTACCTGCAAAGTTTGACGTTCTGGAGCATGACAGGGTGAAGACCGGCATCGTCGAACTGTGATGGTGTCAGCATAGATCTTGGGTGACTGAGAAGCTGAGTTACTCACCTCGCGAATAGGCTGTATCTTCTCGGGACCTTCAATCGCAACGTCATACGTGAGAGCCTTGATGGCTCCACCGGCACGCTGAATGTTATCGTCGTCGAAAAGCATCTTCTCCAACTCGGGATTGGGCTCGCCGACGTCACCAAAGTCGTCATCCCACTGGTAGATAGCGGCATCAGACAGCCAAAGGGCGTCCTGGCGGGTCTCATCCTTCTCAGTTTCACCGCCGACGACGGTCTCGTAGTTGAAGGGGATGGGGTTATTCCTGTGCTGGTCAGTATCTGCTGTAATAAGTCTAGGCGTTCGATAATCACCAGCCAGCATCCTTTGCACGAGCAAGGTCTTGAGAAAGTTGCTCCTTGCGGGCGGCGAGTGCCTCCTCGCTCATGGCCGGAGGAGGAGGGCGTATAGGAGCGCTCCCGCCAGCGTCCGACATGATGGGAAGGAAGTGTTGATGATGTTGTAGAAGGTGTCAGCCAGTGAGGTCGAGGGGAGAGTCTCGAGAACGGGCGTAGTGTAGGTGAGGAAAGGCCTGTGTTTGTCGTTTGCGTACGGCAGCGAGGCACGCTTTGACCTGCCTTGGCGAGAAGCGACGACGACGGGGGCGGCAAATTTGCAAGCAAGAGAGCGCCTGCGGCGGGGAAGATTGTAGGTGAGAGAGAGCGTGAATGTCGACGGGAGGCACTGGAGGAGCTCTCCGCACGGGCTGCTTCCAGTCTGCGACACTCAAGGCTACCAGAAGCTGTGTGCGACTGTGAAGTGCTTACTACAGCTGAGAGGCAGTGGAGAAGACTTTGCTGTACCGTACACGCCACAATGGATTCGACTGTGAATTTACCAAGCCTAGTAGCGGCAGGCTCACAGTCAGTAGCCCGCGAAAGACGAGCGATGTAAGTGCACTCTCACCACGCTAGATCGGAGCTACCTTCAATTGGGGGATGTAGACTATGTATGAGATTGTGACGAGAACAAGGAACCGCATGTCCGACACCCCCCCCACCCCAAAGGCGTGCCGAACAGGATTATTGGAAGTGGTCGGCAGTATCCAGCTTTGATCTTGATGTAACGTCGCACAAGAAGGTCAAAATGCGAGCTCCTCGTTGAAGTACATGTTTGCGGGACATCATTACCGGTGACAAAACAAGTGATTGCCTCTCCGGTCTACAGGTAAGGAACCGATGAGATAATTTACAGGCGTTGCTGATTGAAACTGAGATGGAACTATTCTTCCAGCTCTACGTGTCGACACTCGTACAGCCATAGAGGTAAGAGTCTGATGCTTCTTCAAGACTGGATGGTGGAGACGGAAACGCAGCATGTGTGAGGGCGTTAGGAAGAACTTCAGTTCCCAGATGGTGATGCTTCTGACGCTCAGTACATTCTTCTTGTTGTCCGTTAGAAATGAAGCATCCGCTAACATGATAATCAATGATCAAGCTGATGGTGGATGTAGACGGAGGATGATTTCTCCACACTCCCACGCAGGGATCTCACAGCTAGACCAAACACCGCTTAGGCCGTAACCTGCGAGATGAGATGAGGTCGATCGCCTCGGCAGTATAACGGACCACCGATTGGCTAGCTAGTCAATGATGCACGCTTTCATGGCGACTAAAAATTTGGAACGCGGCGAAAAGTAAACACTGCAACTTTCCTCGCTATCGAGTCGTCAGGGTCGTGCCGCTCGTGTGATCGGATTGAAAGACTCAATTGACTTTGCCTGCTCCATTTTGTCCCTCCTCGAACGCTTTGCTGCGTTTCCCGAGCCCTTGGACTTTTGCGCCTGCCATCCACTGTGCCCCTGAAGCCGCGCCTCCACATTCGAAGTCATGTCGCAACGAGTGACGCGGTCGCAAGCCGGCTATACGCCCAAGTAAGTTCAGATGGTCCAGTCGCAGCGACTGAACTGTGCGTTCGGTAACAGCGGCTGATCTGCATGCGCAGGAAACCAGAGAATCCGGGCTTTGTCGAGACACCTGGTCGCAGAAGGTCGCAACGCCGCAAGTCTATTTCCACGGAAAATACACAGCCCAATGGCTTTATCAAGCGCAGCGAGATCAGTTCGACGCCCGAGAAGCCGTCGAGCAACGGCTATACGAACGGCAACGGCCACACAACAGGGTATCCCAACGGATACGCCAGCAATGGACACGCCAATGGCTCTACGAATGGCAATGCTCAAAAGGAAGAGCCTGCCTTATCAGATGCGTCTCAGGAAGCAGCCAAGAACTTCCCTCCCAAGGACAAGGGCGGTCTGCACGAATTTGGTGGTGCTCTTGGTATGGGCGCCATGATGACCGGATTTCCAGCTTTGATGTACTACATGTGGATTGGCGCGACATTTTACGACGGAAAGTTCCCCAAGCCAGCTGAAGGTGAGAGCTACTCAGACTTTTTCGGACATATGTGGAATCTGGTCAAGACAGAAGCGTACCCCACCAACCAGGCGTGGCAGATCTACTGGTTCTTTGGACTAGTGCAGATGGCATTCTACATGTTCATGCCTGGTGTCTACCGCAAGGGCAAGCCCCTTCCTCACCTTGGTGGAAAGCAGCTAGACTACTACTGCTCCGCGATGTGGTCGTTCTACTCCAGCATTGTCATCATGCTGGCTCTCCATTTCACCGGCGTCTTCAAACTCTACATCCTCGTCGATAAATTCGGCCACATCATGACGGTTGCCATCCTATCGGGTTTCCTGTGCTCCACCATTGCATACGTCTCTGCGCGCGTCGGCGGCGCCACCGTGCGCATGACTGACAACGTTGTCGTTGACTTCTTCCTCGGATCTGAGCTGAATCCCAGGCTGTTCGGAATCTTGGATTTCAAGATGTTCCTCGAAGTCCGCATCCCGTGGTTCATCCTCTTCTTCCTGTCTCTCGGTACCTGCCTCAAGCAGTACGACTCATACGGATACGTGTCTGGAGAGGCCATCTTCCTCCTCTTCGCCCACTGGCTGTATGCTAACGCTTGCGCCAAGGGCGAGCACCTGATCATCACAACCTGGTGAGTCTCGCAATACACGCAAATGAAGATTTATAGGCTAATACAACTCCAGGGACATGTACTACGAGAAGCTCGGCTTCATGCTCATCTTCTGGAACATGGCTGGTGTGCCCCTCTCTTACTGCCACTGCACTCTCTACGTCGCCAACCACCACCCTAACGAGTACACGTGGCCAACCTGGTTCGTCGCCGCCCTGACGGTCGCATACCTCGGCATGTACTACATCTGGGACACCACCAACAGCCAGAAGAACCAGTTCCGCCAAGAGGAGCGTGGCGTAGTAGACGAGCGCACCACCTTCCCCTACTTCAAGTATGGCCGCATCGCCAACCCCAAGACCATCACCACCAAGCATGGAAACAAGATCTTGGCTGATGGCTGGTATGGCAAGGCCCGCAAGATCCACTACACCTGCGACCTATTCTTCGCTGTCTCCTGGGGTCTGATCACCGGCTTTAACTCGCCGTTCCCCTGGTTCTACTCTGTCTTCTTCGCTGGCATGATCATCCATCGTGCGCTCCGTGATATCGCGAGGTGTCGTGAGGTGTACGGTGAGGCATGGACAGAGTACGAGAAGCAGGTGCCCTACCTCTTCATCCCCTATGTCCTCTAGATGCTTCAAGAGCACGTGTTGCTATGCTGAACCTTTCAATAGGCTTTGGCTCTTTTCATCTAGGCGCTTTTGGCCGCCAGCACATATTCCCTTTGCACTTCTAGATCACATTTTTCCACACTACGTACTGTAATATCCCTTTCTCTCTCGCTCGAAGTAGGACAGTGAGGATTCCACGACGTTAATGGCAGTAGTAATCACGATGTATGAAATTAATAGATGATCGAAAGATTTTTCCACAGTCTTCGCTGACGTTCTGACATGTGGATCTTGACAGCCACGCAGCCGAGTTGCACGCTAAAATAATGCCAGGTTGCGTCAGACTCCCACCCCCTTGCCAAACAATTTCAACGTCCACCCAAACATCTCGCGACCATCAAACACCAGACGTCAAACACCGCACCCATGGACGCTCTCGGCTCTGCGATCCGCCCTATCCTGTCGCCCATTGCAAAGGGTCTTCCCAAACCCATCGCTGACGTCGGTGAGAACCTCCTCGGCCCCGTCTGCTACGAGACGCTCCTCCACGATGTCGATCTCACCAAGACCGAGTGCGTCAAGCTTGCCATCTCGAAAGGTCTCGGCATCGGCATCATCGGCGCGTCCTCGATTGTCAAGATCCCCCAGCTGCTCAAGCTGCTGAACTCGCAGTCTGCTGAGGGCCTGTCCTTCCTCTCCTATGTCTTGGAGTCTGGTGCATACCTCATCTCTCTAAGCTACAACGTCCGCCATGGATTCCCGTTCAGTACATACGGCGAGACTGCCCTCATTCTGATCCAGAACATTGCCATTGCGTCTCTGGTTCTGAACTACAGCGGTAGGCAGCCTGCGATCGCGGCATGGATCGCCGGGTTGGCCGGTGCAGGCTTCCTCCTTTTCAACGAAAACCAGGTCAACGAGGCGAACCTCAGCCTGGCCATGAGTGCGGCAGGTATTTTGGGCGTAGCAGCCAAAATCCCTCAGATCCTGACTATCTGGTCTGAGGGGGGCACCGGCCAGCTGAGTGCTTTTGCTGTAAGTCACCACTCAATCAGCGCACTTAACTTCCCAGTTACTGACTGGTCTTCTAGGTCATCAACTACCTCCTCGGCTCCGCCTCGCGTATCTTTACCACCTTTCAAGAAGTCGACGACCCGCTCATCCTCTACGGCTTCGTCGCCGGCTTTGCGTTCAACCTCGTACTCTTCCTACAAGTCGTGTACTACTGGAACGCACCGACCTCGAAGAACACTGAGAGCAAGAAGCTCAATAGGCCTGTTGCACCGGCGATTGCAGCAAACAAGGAGAAGACAAAGCGCGCTGTGGCTAGCGGCACTGCGCCCAGCTACTCAAATGTCGCGGGTAAGAGTCCCAGCACAAGGCGCAGGGGATAGACACATCACGTAGTCTCAGGTAGAAACAGATGCTGCTCTTTGCACAATCCATTACATCCATTCATCTAAGGTTGTTCTCCTCGTACTCTCCGACCTCCATAAACATGCACATCCTCCGGCCTTGCAACCATATATCCATACGGCGGCGGCGTATCACTCCTCTCCTCGTACTGTGGCAGTTCCGTGTCCACATCGCTCGCACACCGATCTTCCCTGCGCCACGTCGCTCGCGCCTCCATCCTTTGCACTTTTTGTGGATGAACCAGCCCGACTTTGAAGCGCGTTGGCCCGGGGTGCACAGATGTGCGCTTGCGTAGATGGTAGAAGAGCAGAGTCGACGTTGTCAGGAACCCGATTGCGACGATGACTGTGAGGATGGCGGTGCGGTTGGTGCAGGAGTAGGCGTCGCATTCCGAACGGCGGAGGAGGGCGTGGAGGGTGTTGTGAAGATCATGGTCCAAGTTGACGGGTGCCATGGTGGCAGGTAGGCTTGTCGTGCAGGCTTTGGCTGAGAGCCCGGAGCGGAGCGGTGCTCGTGGAGATGTGCTTGCTCTATGCTTCGATTGAGTTGAGAATTGATTAATCTGACTTGCTTCTGCGCAACTGATCGAACGTGTAGCGGAAGTCTTTGGAATGCTGGTATACAAATCCAAGGCAAGGGCATGCACTCGTACATAAGCACCTTGCCTTTGTCACGCCCCTTCATCCATTATCCTAGCCTCCGCAACAAAGCCTGGCGCGAGGCGACATCGAAGGCACGCAAAGGCTGAGCGATCGCAAGGTAGCCTCAAGGCGTTGTTCGCACAGCGACCTACTTGCGCACCAATCAACACTCTCACAATGTGGCTAGGCACGCAAGCTGTAAGCCTGTAGCGCCTTGTGAGGCGATCATAGAGGCAGTGCAGGCGCATGAAGGCCTCGCGCAGGTGCACGATACTGGCGCAGCATTTTAAAGCACTACGAAGGGAAAATCGCGGGATTTAAAGATTCTATGGCAACGAAGGAGATGCAGTGTGAGGGAATAGGGAATGAGGTTGTGTTCGGTAGAGAATGTTCAGTTCCCGGTGCCATATATGATTGTAGTGCTGATGCGCGCCAATGCTTGCGAAGGCAATCGCATAGTGTGTTTCCCAAACAGGTGTGTGAATCATGTTGATGAAGCGTTAATCCCCGTGCCGTTTCGGTGCTATGGCAGTGCTGATGCTGGGCTCGGAGGGTCGGCGCAGTGAGGAGCGGTAATCGCGGAGGGTACCGTATGTGCGCTGGCCAACATCATGCAGAAAGACACAGCTTTGATTCTCCACACCAAGGATGCAAAAACTTGGCTGACAGCAGCACCAGGGCGGAATGGTCGTCGAACTTCTCCATGTACAACTTACTGAAACAACAAGATGATCACATGGGGCATCACCTCACATGACGATTCTACTTCGCAACCGCCCTCACGACAATTTGGGACTTCGAATCGCATTTTGGTACCTGTCAAGCGTTCAGTGTCGTTGAAGACAGCCAGCCTCGTGCTCAATGTACCGCCGGCGTCGCACCTCACACACATTATACACGGTCTGTGCCTCAGGCGCTCTGGGCAAGGCTCGATCCGGCGAGCGCCGATAGTGCCTTCGAAGGGAGAGACAGAGGCGTCAATCCCCCAGATGGGTACCAGAGATCGGGTTCGGTGATCTCGGCAAGCGCATTGAGATTCACGGCTTCGCCATTGTTATGCTTCGTGCTGTGCCTGAGCTTTGTTTTATCCGCCCTGCTCTTTCTGTCAATTCTTCTCATGGCGTGATATCCGTCCTGTTTGGGGTGAGTAAGGAAGCTCCAGACCTTGATGTGGGGACTCCAAGGTTGTTGTCGTGATCTGCGCTGCGAGACCTTAGGCTGACGCGGATAGTCGTCTCAGCTAACGCAATGTCTACAGTGAAGCTTGAGAGGTGGATCGCTCCGGTAATTATTGAACGTTGTAACTCATGCTCGTGATGTTCCAGCCATCTCACTTCTGTCATGGTCAGTAAACATGGCAAACATGCATTTCTTCTAACGTGTTCTATCAGTAAGCTGCGCATATCAGTATCCTGCGCACCCCACCAAAACGCGCTCAACTCACCGTGCAACTGCTCCACAACCACATGGTCAAATTAAGTGAGGTTTTGAAGCAAGATAGATTAGATAGCTCTACATTGAGTCCTATTGTGACCTTGCACGTGGCATTTGCTACACGTTGGTGGTGCTCGCTGACGTCG